CCACCACCGAATCCGACGGATTTGTCGCTACTGATTCCGGTATTGTTGTAGTCACTTCTGCAAGTGATGGATCATGGACTACTGAGACTTCATTATTCCCAACCGAAAGTGATGTGTTTACTTCCTACACCACTACATTCACCACCACCGAATCCGATGGATTTGTCGCTACTGATTCCGGTATTGTTGTAGTCACTAGTAATGCAGCTGGTAGTATTATTACCTCCACCTCATTATTCCCAACCGAAAGTGATGTGTTTACTTCCTACACCACTACATTCACCACCACCGAATCCGACGGATTTGTCGCTACTGATTCCGGTATTGTTGTAGTCACTTCTGCAAGTGATGGATCATGGACTACTGAGACTTCATTATTCCCAACCGAAAGTGATGTGTTTACTTCCTACACCACTACATTCACCACCACCGAATCCGACGGATTTGTCGCTACTGATTCCGGTATTGTTGTAGTCACTTCTGCAAGTGATGGATCATGGACTACTGAGACTTCATTATTTCCAACCGAAAGTGATGTGTTTACTTCCTACACCACTACATTCACCACCACCGAATCCGACGGATTTGTCGCTACTGATTCCGGTATTGTTGTAGTCACTTCTGCAAGTGATGGATCATGGACTACTGAGACTTCATTATTCCCAACCGAAAGTGATGTGTTTACTTCCTACACCACTACATTCACCACCACCGAATCCGATGGATTTGTCGCTACTGATTCCGGTATTGTTGTAGTCACTAGTAATGCAGCAGGTAGTATTATTACCTCCACCTCATTATTCCCAACCGAAAGTGATGTGTTTACTTCCTACACCACTACATTCACCACCACCGAATCCGATGGATTTGTCGCTACTGATTCCGGTATTGTTGTAGTCACTTCTGCAAGTGATGGATCATGGACTACTGAGACTTCATTATTCCCAACCGAAAGTGATGTGTTTACTTCCTACACCACTACATTCACCACCACCGAATCCGATGGATTTGTCGCTACTGATTCCGGTATTGTTGTAGTCACTAGTAATGCAGCAGGTAGTATTATTACCTCCACCTCATTATTCCCAACCGAAAGTGATGTGTTTACTTCCTACACCACTACATTCACCACCACCGAATCCGACGGATTTGTCGCTACTGATTCCGGTATTGTTGTAGTCACTAGTAATGCAGCAGGTAGTATTATTACCTCCACCTCATTATTCCCAACCGAAAGTGATGTGTTTACTTCCTACACCACTACATTCACCACCACCGAATCCGATGGATTTGTCGCTACTGATTCCGGTATTGTTGTAGTCACTAGTAATGCAGCAGGTAGTATTATTACCTCCACCTCATTATTCCCAACCGAAAGTGATGTGTTTACTTCCTACACCACTACATTCACCACCACCGAATCCGACGGATTTGTCGCTACTGATTCCGGTATTGTTGTAGTCACTTCTGCAAGTGATGGATCATGGACTACTGAGACTTCATTATTCCCAACCGAAAGTGATGTGTTTACTTCCTACACCACTACATTCACCACCACCGAATCCGATGGATTTGTCGCTACTGATTCCGGTATTGTTGTAGTCACTAGTAATGCAGCAGGTAGTATTATTACGTCCAGCTCATTTTTCCCAACGGAAAGTAGGTTGACTAGTCTTGCGGCGACTGATTTTGTAAGTTCCAGTACTACTTCAACTATTGATTTAAGAATTTCAAGTTATGGATATATGTCTTCGAGTGATGTTTTGTCATCATATCGACTTTATGCGAACAGTTCTATCCCAAGTGTGTCTTTGAGAACTTCAGGTGTTTCTGTTGAAATTTCTGAATACACCACAACCATTACTACCTTAGTTGGTGTCGGGGTAGTGTCTACTGAAACTGGAGTCATTATTTTGTATACAGACTCTTTGGGTAGCGAGTATACTACAACATCCATTATCACGGGTGATCCTGGTGACTTCAGCATAGGTGTTGCTGATCTGTCTGTTTCTACATCACTTCTTGCTGCAAGTACTTTGAGTATTAATGCAGCATCTGATTCAACTGATTCTTCTGACCCATCTGATTCAACAGATCCTTCAGACCCAACTGATCCTTCAGACCCAACTGATCCTTCAGACCCAACTGATTCAACAGATCCTTCAGACCCATCTGATCCTTCTGACCCAACTGATCCTTCAGACCCAACTGATTCAACAGATCCTTCAGACCCAACTGATTCAACAGATCCTTCAGACCCAACTGATCCTTCAGACCCAACTGATCCTTCAGACCCAACTGATTCAACAGATCCTTCAGACCCATCTGATTCAACAGATCCTTCAGACCCAACTGATCCTTCAGACCCAACTGATCCTTCAGACCCAACTGACCCAGCTAACCCAACTGATCCAACTGATCCATCTGATCCAATTAGTCCAACTGATCCTTCAGACCCAACTAATTCAACTGATCCTTCAGACCCAACTGATTCAACAGATCCTTCAGACCCAACTGATCCTTCAGACCCAACTGATCCTTCAGACCCAACTGATTCAACAGATCCTTCAGACCCATCTGATTCAACAGATCCTTCAGACCCATCTGATTCAACAGATCCTTCAGACCCAACTGATCCTTCAGACCCAACTGACCCAGCTAACCCAACTGACCCAGCTAACCCAACTGATCCAACTGATCCATCTGATCCAATTAGTCCAACTGATCCTTCAGACCCAACTGATCCTTCAGACCCAACTAATTCAACTGATCCTTCAGACCCAACTGATTCAACAGATCCTTCAGACCCAACTGATCCTTCAGACCCAACTGATCCTTCAGACCCAACTGATTCAACAGATCCTTCAGACCCATCTGATCCTTCTGACCCAACTGATCCATCTGACCCAACTGATCCATTTGACCCAACTGATCCATCTGACCCAATTAAACCAACTGATCCAGCTGATCCATCTGATCCAATTAGTCCAACTGATCCTTCAGACCCAACTGATCCGTCAGACCCAACTGACCCAGCTAACCCAACTAATTCAACTGATCCATCTGATCCAATTAGTCCAACTGATCCTTCAGACCCAACTGATCCATTTGATCCAATTAGTCCAACTGATCCTTCAGACCCAACTGATTCAACTGATCCTTCAGACCCAACTGATCCATCTGATCCAACTAATCCAACTGATCCATCTGATTCAACTGATCCAACTAATGCTTCAGACCCAACTGATCCATCTGATCCAACTGACCCAACTGACCTAACTGATCCGTCAGATCCAACTGATCCGTCAGACCCAACTGATCCGTCAGACCCAAATGATCCAACTAATCCTTCAGACCTAACTGATCCATCTGATCCAACTGATCCAATTGTTTCTTATGGTCCTTCTGATCCAACTGATCCAACTGATAGTGCTAGTGCTAGTGCTAGTGAAACTCACAGTGTTGATGAGCATATTACGCAATCTACTGGTACGGCTCTTGTTGATCCAACTTCAACCGAGCTTTTGCCCATCAATGAATATAGTACAGCTTCATCTGCCACGCTTATTCGAAGCACTATTAGGACATCAATAACTTCGTCTGGTCCTTCGATAACATTATCTGTTCCTGCTTCTTCTAGTGTTGCAGCAGTTGAGTCAACTATCAATTATGAGAGTTCAGCAAACTCCTCTAGAGTCCACAACTTCACGATAATCATTGCAATTATAACTACTTTATGTATGTTGATATTGGTGTGATCTTTTGGCTGGTATTTATTATTCGCCACATTTATTTTACTTCTTATATTCTTTATCGTTTCTCTTATAATCTTCATGAAAGATTCCTTTCGGTTTCATTATCTATTCATTACTTTCAAAACTAGATTTCAATTCTGCTTCCTAAATTCTGGTCATTTTAAAATTATCTATTGTTTATTTCTCGTTATAGTTTATTATATATTTGTTATATTTATTATATTTATTTAAATACAATTTTGTAGCTTATTGAATAAAGGTGTTGTTTTTATAGCGATGTCATTCCAATCTAAAAAGATTTGACAAAGAATTCCAAAATTTAGGTACTTGAAGCACATTTATCAAACTTTGTTGCTAATTTGCTATTAAAAATATGATGCATCCACATGGAAAATGAAAAATTATACATATATGTAATAGTTAATTTTATTTCATACGAATTATCCAAATTAGTATCGTAATCACATTGAAGGATTGAGAATTGTAGTTTTAGAATAGATATGGTTGCAAAAATAGGTATATTCACCTGCATACAAACAACATCCTAACTGTTATATATAAGTATCTACTTGAAAGTGAACAATAGAGGAATTACGGCGCACCCCAAGAAATCCACAGCGCCAGAAAAAAAAGTTTGTCGATGCAAGATTTAGTCATCCGAAATAGGCAAGTCTCCAAATGATCATTTAATAGATTTTTGTGTAGGCTAAATCACTTTGCCTGATTTATAATATGACAGGATATGAAATAACATGAGTAATTACGCATTCTTATAATTGTTAGGCTGGTAATGTATAGGAATGTGACATATTACTGTTGTATATGTCAATTAGTACTGTAACTACTGGCAGAGATTAATTTTGTTAGAGTCCATTGTATAGTAAATTCTATGTTAATATTAAATATCGGGCTTCAGATATTATGAGTTCATCGATTAATTTTCTAGAGTTTGATAGAAACTTCTTTCAAAATTAGTCAAATGATTGAAACACTAGAACATTCCCCTGGGGGTGTATTATTAACATTATTAACATTTTTTTGGAGTGTGTGACGTATTTATATGCAGTCGAGCAAATACGCTTATTATGTAACACCACTTTATTTATTATTCGGTACTGTATGCGCAGCGACAAGTCATTGCAACTAATAAACTAAGAACAACCCCACCCCTTTTAGTTTTCGAATGAACGAAATCCTTGCCGATGTTATTTTAACAAGTATAAATAGATCAATAATTCTCTCTATATATTTATTAATATTGTAGATTCTCTTTTTATAATTATCATACAATTATAATAATTACTACGATAACAATTACTACTACTACTAGTACATATTTTGCAATCGCTCACTACTTGATAACAATTTTAAAAGAACAAACATGACAAGAACTAACAAATGGACAGTTCACGAAAAGCAACCAGAACCAAAATGGTTTACTCATCATGGTTATATAGACTCTGATCCAACTAAAGTAAAGAAAGAAGGTGCTGGTAAGAATAACTGGGGTAAACCTGGTGATGAGAATAATGTCAATATGTATAATCAATCGAACAGAAGAAATTCAAATCATAATGAAAATGAAATGAAATTAAATGAAGTTGATGAGAAAGTTAACGAGAAGTTATTGTAAACTATCAGCTTCCTGAAATTAATTTAATTTGATATTAGAGTTTCATAACATTTACGACTAACGATATTTCCTTATAAATATATAATTAACATACAATACACGTTCATAATGAATTAAATTAATTGTAATAAATAATATGAGAATTGTCTAAATAATTTATAACTAAATAACTAGTCATAGCTTTATGCTTTGGAACTCTCATCCTCCTTCAACTTGTTTTCGATTTCTGCTTTCCACCCCTTTCTCTTTTGCCTCTCTTCATATGCTGCCTTATTACTTAAAACTCGATTAACTATAAACTCAGTATTCATGAAATCATATTTATGACCCTTAACTTTATGGTATAATTCTTTTGGTACGTATTTATATTGATTTTGTCCTTCAGTCTGGGTTGGTCCATGATATACTCTAGTGACTTTTCCAGGTAATTTATTTAAGAATTCCGTCGTTGGTTCATATGGTACACCCAACACAGTACTATCAACATATCGACATTGTAATGTACATAAGGATCTTTCCAATATATTCATAATTGGATAATTGAGTCCTTCAACTTTATTAATGGTAGAATCATCATGAATTCCAACAACAATCTTAACTTTATTAGTACTAGCTTCAGCATCTTTTCTAATAAGATTTAAAATTTCAATATGACCAGGATGAAATAAATCAAAACCTCCATCAACATAATATATTTCATTAATATCAGCAATTCTAGAAGATGGTTCAACTAAAGTATTTAATTTTTCATCACCATAATAATAATAAACTCCTGATCCAGATTGTAGACCAGTTGAATCACTTGCATATATCTTGAATTTTTCAATATTTTCTTCATTCAACAATGGATTCTTTGAACTTTGATCAATACTCAATATTGATTTGAAATGATGATTCTTACTCATTAATAACATTCTTCCTACTAAATCTGTGGTTGAAATATTAGGAGTTCTCTTTACAACCACAAATCTACCTAAATCTTTAACAATTTGATAACAATCTTCACCATTTGCATCTGTAGTAATATCATCACCATGGACTACATATTTGCAATCAAATTTATCCATAAAGTTTGGATCTGTAACATATGGCGCATCACCAATAGCCTTGGTAGACCATTTACAAGCTTCAACAGCAGTAATACGTTCATCTAATTTCATAACTGTTGGACCCTTATTCAAAAGAATTTCTTCATCAGAATGAACCCCAACATATAACTCTTTACCTAATTGACGAGCTTGTAACATGGCACCAGCATGACCATGGTGTGCAAAATCAAAACATCCATCGATCCAAATTCGACAATTTTCAATTCCTTCTGGTCTGGCAAACATCTTCAATTACTTATTTCTACAACTTAACCATTACCATAGTTAACATCTGGTTTATCGGCTATCTTCGATATTTCTGTGCGCGTGGTTTTGGTGCGAATTACTACTTTGGGATTAACTACTTAGTTTATTAATTTACACTATATATCATACAAATCCAGACTGTTGTTGGTCATGAACTACAATCTCATTAGGTTTGGTAACAAACCTTCTTGAATAGTTAGATTTACTATTATTATAAGTATTAGGATTAATTTTAGATTGAGGTGCAGTTTGTAAATTTCTTGAACTCTGAGGTTGTTGACCAAATTGGACAGGTTCTTCAACTTGACTTGCTGGTGCTACATAAGTAGCAGTTTTACCTTCAACTCTTTGCTTTGCTACAAATTCCATATATTGATATATTAATCCGGCATTACGAGTCGAACATCCATGTAACCAACCAAAGAAAGATCCAATTAATGGAGGGAAAGTAATGATCAAATCTATAAAAATATTACTTTGCATTTTACCTATTAATTTATTAGGTATATTTAATCGTTTCTCCGCCATAGCAATTAATCTTGCATGAAGAATATACATTAAAACTGGTCCTAAACCAGGTAAGATTAAGACTGCTAATGGTACTAAACCAATCCCACTAATTTGATTCCCACATCCCATAAAACATTGGTCATGAACCCAAGCTTGAGATTGAATAGATTTCCATAATTTCTGTTCTTCCTTTGTACACTTATCTTGAGATAATTTTAATTTATGACCATCTTCATCGACAAATGGATCAATCTTATTAAAATGACTATCCATGTAGTCATTGAAATAGTCCATGGCTACATTATAGCCTGGAAGGCTTTGCATTTGTGATTGTAATTGTGACATATTATGCTTCCACGCAGTGATTAATAAAATGTTTAGATCTTAACTTACTTATAATAGTACTCACAATACACCTAGAATACTATATACTGAATATTATCATTAAATATTTTCTATTTACACTGCTAAATAAAAACTATTACTAAAAGAATTTCAATTGAAATTCATAAGCCTTCTCAGTATACCTTATAAATCATCGCCAAAAACAAAAGACTACACGGTTGCGACTTTTTTTGTGCAACCATTAAATATCCGTATCACTTCCGAACTATATATTACATGGTCTATACATTGTAACTACCCATATACAATGACTAATTGATTAATTTTTGTAATTGACTTTTCAGTAGAGGAATAATTATTCCATTAGTATCTTTTGAACATATGAAACATTTTACCTTACCTGACTTATATCTAGTTAAATAGCAACTTTTACAATATATATGTCCACATTCAGTCTTAATAGGATTTTGATAATCCTTCTTACATAAAACACATTTAAATGGTAATATTTCTGCTTGGTGTTCAGGTTCAGGTTTTGAATTCAGTTTACTCTCACCTGCTCCTACTGTTTCCCATTCTTTTTCAATAACTTTAGTAGCTTTAGATTCATTTCTTATATGAAGAAATTTACATGTATCTCCATATCCACAGTAACCTGTTTGCATGAAATCCTTACAGACATCAGGTTGGAAATCAGTTAATGTCGTAACTGTTATATGTGCAGGTAATGGTTTTATCTTTGATTTAGTTTTAGACTCAATAGGATCCTTATATATTTGTGATCTGGACTCTTCCTCTACATTTGCTTCAGTATGATTCGCTATTACTTTATTATCTATTACAATAGGATCTGTAGTATCTTTCTCTAGTTTTTGTCGCTTTTTAAATGGATCTGACATATTAGAATCGTCTCGCTTTATTATGGGTTGTATATCATCACTATCTTCATCCCCAACTGAAAAACTCCGCTTACTCGCTATACCAGTTGACTTAATACTATTTGCCCCATTACTCTTAACCACTCTTTTCTTAAACATTATCTTCTATATACCTGACCTGATAATGTATACTATTAATTGTTTGTAATCAAATGGAGTTTGCAAAATTGGATTAAAGAGATGATGACCAATATGCAGTCACATACAAAATAATCTAAAGGAGTATAAGCCGAAGCCGAAGTATCATCGAACCGATTCTATCAACCAACAATTCTGAATTCTGGTCCATTGTAAATTTCTAAGATGATAACGAGGTCATTGAGTAGACGTGCATTAAGTTCCAGAATAGGACATATATGTTCATTAAGATTCTATACCGAAATTTCTTCACCATCCACTATTAATTCATATTTTGATCTCTTTCCTAAGAATTTCCCTAATCGAGGTCCACCAGGGGATTCATTTATTATTAATGATAGATCGTTAAGAAGAGAATTTAGAGGATTACAAAGTGAAAATCATCCTGATATCTTAATTGGATCTTCTGCTTTAAGCTCCGGATCTTCCGATACTAACACTGATAATAATCATTCTGATTTTTCAAGTATTATAAATAAAGCTTATACAACATTAAGAAATCCTTATAATAGAATAGCTCATTTTATAAAACTATATCATCCTCAAAAACTTGATATTACTGAAGATAATGTATCTAAACAATTAATTGGTGAGTTAAATTCCAACTCTCCAGAATCAAGTCAGAATTATAAAGATATGTTAATGGCGGTATTAGATGCTCATGAATCATTAGAAATGGCTAATGATGAAAATGATTTACAAGATTTATCCACAGAGAATGATGAACGAATTAAACTCAGTGTAGCCCAATTGGATTCAATAATTCAACAACAATGGCCTATCCAGAATTGGGATAATATATTAATGGAAGCCATTAAATTGAAGTACTGGGTAAATATTCAAAATGGCATAAAAGATTGGGAACCTGGAAAGCCGGTACACTTAACTCATTAAGCTACCTCTCTTGTATATACGTTTAAACAAATGTTTCATTTATTACTACTAATTACATTATATTATATTGTATGTAGATGCATATATTAGGAACTGAAGCAAGTGTAAGTACAAGATTACAATAGTTATACAATGATAGAATGATAAAATGAAGGTTTAAAATGATCGAATTATATATAGATTACTCACTAGCCATAGTTTTATCATCGTCTTCTTCTAGCTCTTCATCATCTTCAACTTCTTCATCTAAATCACTACCTAGAGCATCAGGATCTACTTCTCCATCACCTCGTATTGGAATACTAAATTCACAATTATCATATTCTTCCTTTTCCTTGGCTGATCTTGGATGCATCTTTAACCATTTCATTCTTGGACCGCTAAGACTTAATTCATTAATTTTAAATCCAAACAATTTTAAACTGAAATCATTTTGATTAAATTTATTAATTCTTATTCTACATTGATTTTCAATTTCTGGAAACATTTTAACTAATAATCCTGGGAAAGTTGTACCAAAAAAGGCTCCATCAATATTTAGATATCTTGAACTTGATGGTATATAAATATCATTACAACATGGACAATATAATCTTACAGTTTCTTGACCCGGGATATCTGTAGAACCTACTGGAATGAGATGCATTCCATCACAATAAAACCTTGGACATGAACCAAATTCATTTCTTTCAAATTTTGATGCCATAGCAGTTAATCCTGGTTTTGATATGATATATCGAGCATGAATTAATCCATATAATAGTTCAGCTGAATGAGCCAATAATGCTTTGTTTGGTAATTCTGGTTTTTTAGATGATGTGGTGGATGAATTATTAGTGGTATTATTGTTGGTATTATTGCTATTATTAGTGAGATTACTAGTACTATTAAGATTTGATCCATTACCATTAATATTACTTGAATCATCATTATGATCTTCGGCTGTTTCAACTTGATAATCCAATATAGTATATAAAGCTTCTCTATAATAGGGTACTTGAGATGATAAACCAGTTAAATTAAAATCATCTTCAATGAATTCTTGAGCAATTGGTACAAAGTAATCATGACCAAAGGATTCACAAAATTGTTGTATCCAAGGTATATAATCGTCTTCTGGATCACTAGGCATATTGGATTGGATTGATTAGATTCTATTCTATTAGTATGAATGATTATGATATGTATGTATGATCTATGATGGATCTATAACTGATAAATTGATAAATTGATAATATGATAATGTGATAATGTGATATATGAATTAGGGTCTTTGTAAGGACAAAGGGAACTCACACCGATAATGAGTCACAAAGGGCGAAAATTGAATGGTTTAAACCACTACCTAATTGATGTAATGGATATGGATGAGTCTTTCTACAGTCTCTGATACTGACTGGTCTGTTCACCCCAATGATGATGTTCTCACTAGTATTGGTGCTAGGGTTAAATTAGGTCGAACTCGAGACTATCACCATATTAATTTTTTTTCGCCTCATTACTCCCACCCAAAGTGTTATATGAAGGAAATTTAATGGTGGCCAGCGCTTTAGCCAGAGGTAAGTAAAGTAGAGGGTAAACTAGAAATCACTACCCCACCCATAATAGTAGTGCACACATATATTTATATATACATATAACATAAATCAATATATACCATGCTAGACTGGATAGATTTACATCCATATACATTATTGATTATAACCTTTATAATACTTGTAAGTCAAGAAATTATTGGATTTATTGGTAAGAATCAATTACAAGAATTTGTGTGGTTAGTATATGTTAAAGTGGGGACTCAATTAAGTTTATCAGATTCATTTAAATTATATTCAACTAAAGTGAGTGAGATTCAACGTTTGAACAAAGAAAAGAGATTGATTAGTGCTCAAGATGAGTATGCGAAATGGACGAAGTTAAATAGACAAGTAGATAAATTAACTGGAGAAATTGCTCAATTAAAAGATGAATTATCGAAGAATAAGTCGAGTATTAATTCATTGGTTAATTTATTCATCACTTTATTGACAACTGTACCTCTTTGGTTCTTTAGAGTATGGTTTAGAAAATCTGCTTTATTTTATTTACCTCCTCATTATTTACCTCATACTTTAGAATGGATATTGGCTATTCCTTTCTTCCCAGTTGGTACTATTGGATTAACTGTATGGATCTTTGCAGTTAAACAAGTCATTTCATCACTTGTATTCTTATTGACATTCCCCTTTGAACAACCAACTTCTAAGCCTGTCAAAGTAGAGAAAGTCGTAGAAGTCAAGAATTAGCACTTAATGTACATAAATAAATATATATAATATATATGTAAGTTATTAATTAAATATAATACAATGCAATGCAACACGTTATCTCTAAAGCTAAATTAAATCTAACAATTCATTATAACGAGAGACCATAATCTCTTTCAACTGAGTAAGCGGTTGCTTGTCTTCAAAGGCATACGAGTTGATCTTTCTACGCTTAACATCGTTTTGAAAATCATTAAAAGTTCGATGAATTAAGCTATCAATGGTACTTCCATCCATCCTTTGAAGCTGCTGAATTTCTTCATCATTGTAAGCCAAATAATAATATGAATCAATCACTTTAACCCAAGTCATTAAATCCAATGAGTATTTGAATATATCATAAGTTCGATTGGTTTGTCCATTAAGAACTATCAATGGAGTTCCATCTTTAGAAGAGACTTCAAAATATCGAACTGATTGTAATGCAATATTAAGGGGACGATTATGATCATAATGTTCAGGTAAGGAGATCTCAATATTATGATTAAGAACAGCCGCTAGAGATATGCCTGATAATATACGTTTAATCCCTGCTTGTTCATCATTTAATTGCCAACTATATATTAACCCTTTACTAGTCAACATCATAAGATAATTATTGACACTTCTTAATGCAATCACATTGAATCCCAATTCAAAGGATGGGCAAACAAATTGACCAGTTGAAGCTTTAATAATTTGAATGGTTCCATGAAATGATGCAACCACAATAAACTGTAATACTTCATCAATTACCATTGGTAAAACATGTTGAATTCTATAAGGAAAGAATAAACTATAAAGTCTTTTAGTAGGTGATAAATCATTTGATACAATAAGACGAGTTGGATCATCAAAATCATTATCACTTTCTTTAGTCTTATCAAGTTCTTCTTCTAGTTCCATCTTCCAAGGTTGACCATTTCTAACTTCAATTATAGTTCTTATATTCTTTATTGAATCTTGATCTTGATCTTGAGCTTGTGATTCTATATCATCATCTAATAATTCATTAGATTTATGAATATGATTAATACTTTTGACAATGACTGAGAATAAAACATCTTCATCATATTCTAATTGTGAATTAGATGATATTTCACTTTGAATACCACCATTTTGATCCTTTTGTAAAACAATCTTACTATACAATGCATTTAATTCATTGTTTAATTCACGAACATTATTATTAAATACCATAGGAGGTAAATTGGATATAGATTTAAAAGTATTAGGATATTTATCATCCATAATTTTTCTTTTAAGTCTATTATATTGTCTTTTTAAACTTGCTTCAGAAATACTTCCATTAGCATTACCATTTTGAACTGTACTATTTTCATCAAATCCTCCAATATCTTCATTATCATTATCATTTAAATCATTGGCATTAGAATTTAACCCATTTTCTTGAGCTCCAACATTACTAACAGATCCCGAATTCTCTCGAGATTTATAGCCATGAACTGAAGTTTGAACTCCTAATCTTGGTAAAAAGTAAGATGATTGAGATATTTTAGAACTTATTTGAATCTTTTTAACACTAGAGAATAATGATGATACTTTTTGAGGTGATGATTTTGAAGCATTAGATGTTGATACCAATAATGGAGCCACTCTCTTTTTACCATTTTTAGTTATGGTTATATTTTGAACGAGTTTAGTAGACTTTTTAGGACTTAAACTAACTATTGAAGGTGGTGGACCATCAATACTTGGAGGTGAATTAATTTGAGAAATAGTAGGAGGAGATTTAATTATGGGTTCCTTTTCCAGTTTAACTTCTAATTTTACTGGTTGGATAAATGCTTTTGAACCCTTTCTATCAATTTCAGAAGATATATCTTCTAATTTTAATTGTTCAATACTTTCAGGAAAGATATTAGATTCTCTATCAGCACCATACCTTGTTAATTGAGCATCTACTAAATCTTCACTAACCACTTTACCACCTAATTCTAAAGAATCAAATGATACTACAGTAATTGAACCATCTAAACAACTTAAAAATAAAGTTTCACCTTGAGGAGTCCAACATATATCAGTTATAGTTTTCTCTACTATATCTTCAAGAACAACTAATGGTTTTGTATTTGAAGTTGACCAAATTGCAAGAGTTCTATCTTGACCACCAGTGGCAAGAATTGTTGAAAAAGTCTTATTATCATCCTTTTTCCGTTTATTTGATAATGAATTATCATCATTACCTAAATCAAATAATCGTGGAGAAAATGAACATACTTCACAAGGAGCTTCATGACCAATTAATGAAACATCAGTTGCCCAAGTACCTCTACTTATAATTACGACTGATGGAACTGGACCATTAGTACCATTTGGTACAGCAATATGTTGACCATCAGGTGACCAACTCATTCTTCGAAAATATGATGTTAAAGGAGATTTTTTAAATGGATCCATTACTATATGTTCCATTTGAAAATCATAATTATTATATTCATTAATCTTTTTATAATATCGAAATATTCTAACCGTTCTATCATCTGATGCAGTAGCAAAGAATTTATTAGCTGGATCAAATACTATACCTTTAACCATAGATTGATGAATATCATATCGTTTTATACGTTCAAATGTGAATGCATTCCATATAATAATTGATCTATCTAATCCTACCGTAACCAATAATGAACTATCAGGAGACCAACAAATATCTTGAATATCATTATCATGAGCCACCAATCTCTTTTTCACCGTCCAATGTTCTAAATCCGCTTCTGTTTCTCCAAATTGAGGTTGTTTATTCTGATTCTCATCCTTCTCCCAAATAAGACAAATCTTATCATCTGATCCTGATGCTAAATATTTGCCATCGGGTGAAAATTTGACTGATGTCACCACTCCATTATGACGACTCATTGAACATAATGGTCTTCGAAGGGATTTAGGTGGTAGATTATCATTATTAGTAGTATTATTAGTATTATCTATACCGTTTATAGATTTTTCATTTTGATCTATTTGCTTATCCTTAGGAGGCACTTCGGTAGTTAATTGTTTGAATTTCATAATAGTAGAAACATCCCATATCTTGACATTGCCATCTAAACCTCCAGATGCCAATCTAGTCCCATCCTGACTAATACTTATTGAGTAACATTCAATAGTTTTATTATCCGCTATAGAATTTAATGTTTAGTTAGTTAACTGACTGAAATCCCACTTATTTTAAAAATTTAATTAGTTAGTGAGTTAATTACTTACTTCGATGTCCAAACCATGGGAGTTTGAGAATATGCATATCTCCAATACTTTGCTACCTTTATGAATTACTTATTATTAGTTAGTATAGGTAGTTCATTAATATTAATCGGTATCTTGGAGCCTATGCACCCATGCCGCAGCACATTCACCGGGATTTGCAATTACCCTCCATAAACAAAACAAGAAGACAGTCAGTGAAAAATCCGGCATATAGTCGCAGGTCTCAGGTCTAAGGATATTTATTAATTTCTACATATACATATATACTACTCTACTTATAAACCAAATTCAATCTTAACAGCCTTACCGAAACTGGCAATACCCTCGACTAATTTGTCTAAGGGAACAGCCGCATAAGTACCTCTAAAGAAAATATGAGTCTTATGAGTAGCATTTTCACTATGAATATGTTGAGGTGGATTTGATTGTCCTTCAACTTTAAACCATGAACCAGGAATCATTAAACATCCTTGCTTTATAGATTGTTCATAAATGGCATTTTCAACTTTCAAAGGATCTTCATCATATTCAGATTTAAATTTTGGATGTTGAGAGGCATCAATATTAACCGTAAAGAACATACCTGCCACTGGTGGTAAATAACTTACAACTTGTTTTGGTAAATATTCGGCAACAGCATCAATTGCAACATCTCTTTTATGAGTATATTCTGATCTTAAACCAATTAACCAATCTAAATAACCATTTTGACCCCATCTTTGTAATAAACCATTAACTAAAGATTGAGTTAAACCTGAAGGACATTGAATAGAAACTTCATGTAATCTAAGGTATCTTTCTAATAATTCAGCTTGTCCAACAATCCATCCAACTCTTAAACCAGGTGCTAAAACTTTAGAAAATGAATCTAATCTGATAACTCTACCTTCAACATCAAGAGAAAGGAATGATGGAACTAAAGCTTTAACAAATTCTTCATGATTATGAACTGCATGACCAGTTCTTGATTCTTTATCTGAAGTATAAGTTTCCATTTGTAAGAAATAATAAGGTTCATCTTCAATAATTATAAAATCATGTTTACAAGCAATTTGATAAATTTCTTTTCTTCTTTCAGCACTTAATGAAGAACCAGTTGGATTTTGTCCAGTTGCAATTGTATATAATAATTTTGGTTTTGGTCCAACCCAATTATCTAATAAATTAGATAATTCAGAAGGAATAATACCATAATCATCAATTGGAACTGGGAAAGTATTAACACCTTGAGCACTTGCAGTTTCTAAAGCTGAACTAAAAGAATATTCTTCAACTAAAATTGAATCACCTCTAGTTACAAAAGTTCTTAAAGTTGATTCCCAAGCTTCAGTATTACCAACCGAAGCTATAACATCCCAATCAGAATATGGAACTTTATGAATTAAATCAGTATGAGTTTTAACAAAATCAATTAATTCAGTATGACCTTCAGTATAACCATATTGTAAAGATCTTGATAATTCAATTTCATTAGGTAATTGATTTTTAGATGCATCCTTATAAACTTCAACTACAGTTTTATTTTCTTCAGTAACTTGAGCTCCAATTCCCTTTGCAAATCCTGGAGTTGGAATATCAGCAGAAACTTTATCAAATGGGAAATAATCTGATAATGGTAAACCTCCACCTAAAAAGACAATACCTGGTTGTTTAAAATATTTAAAGGCAGATTTCAAAGGAGAGTTTTGTCTAGATAAGGCTTCTTGTGATAATAAATGGGTCAAATCTTTAGCTTGAGGTTTAGTCATATTGAATAGGTAAAATGTACTGGTACTTGTACTGGAACTGGAGTTAAACTAAAATAAGTAATTTAATGAATCAGTAGAGTGAAAAAATTCGGTGCTTATATATTACTGATTATCGCGAATTAGACAGGCGCATAAATTTCCTTTATTAGTAATTGCGGTAATGAGTCAGTACACGCTAGTGGAGATCTGAGTAATTTGACCGGTAAGGTTTATCTCAGTACAGGGCTCAGTTGTTGGAGACTAACTATGTTTGTGACAATAATACTTTAATACTATCGGGGAATTGTGTTGCTGTATGGCTTAGTATCCACTCTGCAATAATAATGAGTCAATGTAAAGAAACATCATCCAATAGAGTATACACCATAACTCGGAGTTGTTGTGGCAGGCGGGGATTTCAGTGCGGGATCGGGCTCGGGCTTGAGCTTGGGCTTGAGCTTGGGCTTGTTGTTTGAGCTAGTGGAGAGCCTCACTAAAAATGCCTTATGGTTTGTTCTTATCTCTAACATAAATTTACTGACATTTAAGTTGTGTGCCCTTCAGATATGGTCCCCATCATTATATTTGTTGGAATCCGATCTGCACCCAAAACATTTAGATTATTGACTATTCTCCAGTAATACTACTAGTTATAGTACTAGTTATAGTTCTAGTAGCACTAATACCTCTGCGCTATGATTATGTTTTTTACTGAGCGCACTCACTACTGAGAACACAACTGAGCAGTCTCACTAAAATCTCACTAAAGTCTCACTAAGTCTCACTAAGTCTCACAAGTCTCGCTAACTTCAGCTCATCTGGTTGCAACATTTTTCAGAACGCGTTATTACCGTAGTATCTCTAAATCTCACCAGCTTCAGTACACCACTAATAAGGACCAGTACACCCAACACGTCATGGTGGTTAAGCAGAGATTCTTTAAGACTCAACCAGCTCGTGAACGTGAACGTGAACGTGAGCAACTGTCTCCACCAACAGAAGACTCACTCTTTGTCAATGACGAGTCCGATCACGAAATCACCTCAGAGATCTCTAGCGATCCCAGTACCATAAGTCGAACTTCCCCTGAAAAGTCGATACCACAAGAATTATTCGAAAGTCAAATTACAAACACTATAGGCCATGTACCGTCTAGATCATTGAGGTACCTCTATGAGAAATATAAGCATGATTCCAAGAATGTTAGACATGCTATTAATGAATATTTAAATGGAATAAATCCTGAAGATATAGATAATTTACTTCAAGATAGCACTACTACTACCACCACCAAAAGACCATTAAGTTCTTTAGATCTCAATTCGCAACTTGAATTAGTTCATAATCAAATGCTGACTATATCTAATACTATTCAAAAGAATAACATTAACAATATTGAACAATCAAATGATGAATGGACAAGATTTATTGGATCATTAGATGTTCAAGCCTGGGCTACACGGCCAACTATGAAACCATTAAATTATGCTGAGAAATTACAATTGAAACGATTAATCCCTAAGAATTCAACCATTGCAAATAGTTCAATTATTAGATTATGTACTATAGGAGAATATAATCGAGAAATTGGTAGAATTCCTGAAGATTTAACGAGAATTTTATCTCCGTTATTTGATTTAAATATTGCTAAATTTGAAACAACTATATTAGAAAGTACCAAGCGGAGATTATCTACGGGAGATTCATTTATTATACAAATTGATATCTTTTTAAAGAGTACCGCTTTTGAATTACATGATGAACTTGAATTAAATTTATCAACTCAAGATACTCATCCTGCTAAAAAGCTTAAGATGAATTTTAACTTTTCAACTGAAAGTGCTGGAGAGGCTACTTTACGATTACGACAATTTGCATTATCTAAATTATTTGAAAGATTACATATTAGACCTCTTAGAATATCTACCAATGTTAATAGTAACAATGATATTGAATATCTGGAAGAAGATCTAACTCAAACTCAAACACAGACACAGGAGAGTAGTAACAGTAATAGTTCACAACCCATTACGGTCAACTTAGACTCAGACGAAGAGGATATAGATCAAGTAGCAATTCAACCGGTGGATGAAGTGAATCTTGATCAATTAAAACAATTCTATCAACAGAATAATCAATCCAATCTTCTTAATAACTTACCGGAATCAACTATGCCTCCGTCAACTAATTTCAAATTAGATTTAAGACCCTATCAGAAGGTGGGCTTATCATGGATGATTCTTCGAGAAGGCGAGACTTCAGTATTGCAGGAGTTATCTAATGATTCCAATTTCGATGTAAAGGATTATACTGATGATGGAATAATGAATCCGCTCTGGAGGAAATACCGATGGCCTAAGAATAATAACAACAATATCAACAATGATACTATTGACTATCCGTACTTCTATGCTAATATGTATAACGGAGAGCTATCCCTCGAGAAGCCGATTATAAAGGCTTCTAGGAAAGGAGGCATATTATCAGATGAAATGGGGCTAGGCAAAACCATCTCTGCATTAGCATTAATCAATTCTGTACCTTATGATACATCTTATAGACCACCATCAACAATATCCAAAACTCCCTATGCGTCTAAAACCACCTTAATTGTAGTGCCCATGTCATTATTAACTCAATGGAAATCAGAATTCGATAAGGTTAATAATAATCCTAATCATTATTGTCATATTTATTATGGGAATCTGACGGATTCTCATTTAAGTTCTACCTTAATTAATCACTCCTCTAAACATATCCCTATTGTAGTATTAACTACTTATGGAACTATTCAAAATGAATACATTAAAATGATGAAACGAGAATCTTCATCGAGAGCATCACGAGTGGGGATCTATTCAGTAAGTTATTTCCGAATCATCTTAGATGAAGGTCATAATATTCGGAATAGAAATACAAAGACTGCTAAATCGATATATGAACTTGAATGTTCAAGAAGATGGATCTTAACTGGAACTCCTATAGTTAATCGATTAGATGATTTATATTCATTAATTAAATTCTTACAATTAGATCCATGGTCGAATTTCTCATATTGGAAAACGTTTATAACTTTACCATTTGAACAAAAGAAGATTAGTCAAGCCTTAGATATTATTAAATCAATTCTTGATCCAATCTTTCTTAGAAGAACTAAAAATATGAGGGGTAATGATGGGAAACCATTAGTTGAATTACCAGAGAAACAAGTGATTATTGAAGAAATCAAATTTAATGAAAAGGAAGCTAAATTATATAATTGGTTAAAGACTAAAGCTCATAATACTTTTAGTGAAGGATTAAAATCTGGGCAATTACTTAAACAGTATACGCAAATCTTGGCTCATATCTTAAGATTAAGACAAGTGTGTTGTCATATGGATTTAGTGGGTGGACCCAATGAAATGGATATGGAAGAAGCAGAAGCAGCAGAAGAAGCCCCTGATGATGATACAAAGAAATTTGTTAAGGATGTGACTGAACAGAAGGTAGGATTCTTAAACGATACAGAAGTTAGACAAGCCATGTATAAACTCTATGATAAGGTTAATTTAGAAGATTCAGAATGTTCTATATGTACTCAAAGTCCTATTTCAATAGGAGAAATGGTTATAACTCCTTGTGGTCATACATTTTGTATGACATGTCTTATCGAACATATTGAATTTCAGGAGAAACAAGATAATACTATTGACAATCGATGTCCGAATTGTCGAACTATAATCTCCAAGTATAAGTTATTCCGATTACGCAATAAAGTTACCAGTTCAAAAGATGTACGATTCCATACTGCCACACAGAAATCTATGCTTATAGATGATAATTATGATAAGAATGAAGATCTCAGTAAGAATTATACCTTTCAGTTATATTTGTATAACCCCGACAAAACGTCTTCTAAGATCCAGGCCTTATTCAATCATCTCCGAATCCTTCGAGATCAAAGTCCAGGACAAAAAGTGATTGTGTTCAGTCAATTTCTGTCATATTTAGATATAATTGAGAATGAACTTAAGCTTCAATTAGGAGAAGCGGAATTCTTCATATTGAAATTCGATGGAAGACTTCTGATGAATGAACGAGAACGAGTACTACAGAAGTTTAATGATAATTCAACTTATCCTCGTACTACGATCTTATTATTATCATTAAAGGCAGGAGGTGTAGGACTTAATTTAACCCAAGCATCTCGTGCTTATATGATGGATCCCTGGTGGTCCCCCAGTATTGAAGATCAAGCCATTGATAGAATTCATAGAATAGGACAGAATGAAACGGTTAAAGTAGTTCGATTTATTATGGAGAATAGTATAGAAATTAAAATGTTAAAGATTCAAGAACGGAAGAAACAGATTGGAGAAGCGGTGGGAGTTGAAGAGGAAGAACGAAGAAAGAGACGAATAGAAGATATCAAGATGCTTTTTGAAGAATGACTTATATTGTATAACTTATATAGTATTATAGTATACTTAACGAGATTTGACTAAGGGAGCAGTCTCTCTTCTCAACCATTTATACACATAACTATTCTTATCAAATGATTCATGTAATTCATTCCATATAATATTATGATATCCATTAACCCAAGCTAATTCTTCTTCAGTTAACATATCCACATTAATTAATTTTCTACAGAATGGGACTCTCGTAACGGTTTCAAATTCAAAGAATTTCTTACCTCCATAAAATTTCCCACTATCTTTAATAAACATTACATTTTCAATTCTAATACCATATTCTCCATCTTCATAATAACCTGGTTCATTGGAAATAAGTTGACCCGGTTTTAATGGATTAGCAGCAGCATTAGGTCTTGGACCAATACCAATTGGTCCTTCATGAACATTAAGAAAAGCTCCAATTCCATGAGATGTCCCATGTCCATAATCTAATCCCCATTTCCAAAGATGTTGTCTAGCAATTGAATCTATTAAATTCCCCGTAGTATTTTCAGGAAATTTTAATGTTGATAAAGAAATATTTCCCTTTAATACTAAAGTATAATTTTTAATTTCTTCATAACTTGGTTGATCAAAATGTACAGTACGAGTGGTATCTGTTGTACCTTCTAAAAATTGAGAACCTGAATCATTAAGATATATTTTACTTGGATTAATAGTTGAACAAGTTCCCTTATGAGGTTTATAATGAATTACTGCTCCATTTGGTCCAGTGGCACTAATGGTTGCAAATGATAATCCAACAAAATTTTCTTCTTCCTTTCTAAATTCAGTTAATTTCTCATCCGCCGTAATTTCATCAATTAATTCTTGATTATTAATTAATTGATCTTCTAACCAAGCTAAAAATTTAATTATAGCTCTTCCATCTTTTAAATGAGCAATCTTGGCACCATTTAATTCAGTTTCATTTTTAATTGATTTAATATCTTCAATAGGTGATAAAGTTTGATTATAACCACATTTTAAATGTCTAATAACATCCCAATTGGAATTATTTGGTACAAGAAATTGTTTGGAATTAACATTAAATTCTTTTGATAAAGTTAATAAATTTGAATAAAATGATTCATAAGATTCAACATTAATATTATTAAGTTGTAAATAAGCTAAAACTTCAGGACTTAATCTTAATTTATTAATAAATAATGTAACCCCATGAAATTTAGTAATAATTAAATAAGAAAAGAATACTGGATTATATTCAATATCTTGACCTCTTAAATTTAATAACCAAGCAATTTCATCTAATGCAGTAACCACTAAACCTTCAATATTAGTTGAAGTTTTAAAAATATGATTATGAACTTGAGATAATTTATCTTTAACAGATTTACCAGAATATTTTAATTCAAGAATTGAAATTGAATTCTTATCAGGAGAATTTGGTAATGATTCAAATTTTTCCCAAATTGATCCTACTAAATTTTCTGATACAGCAATTAATTCAACTTTGGCTTGAGAATTTTTTGGTTCATTAATTGAAGTTTCAATTAATTTAATTAATTTTTGATATAATTTATTAGTAATTAATTTTGGATCAACTCCAATATTGACAGTTAAACCGGAATCTAAACTTTGTTGAATAGCTTGATTAATTGCCCATTGTTCCCAAGTTGGTTGATCAATAGATCCTTGTTTTAATAATAACCAATTAAAATCTAATTCATTAGTGGCTTGATTAAAATATCTTCCATCAGTAGATAAAGCAGCTAAACCTTCAGGAATTTCATTCATACACATTAAATCACGAGTAACTATGGCTACTCCTGCACTACCTTGAAATCCACTAATAAAACTTCTCTTTTGATCAAATGATGAAACATATTCTGATTGATGTTGATCTTCGGATGGAATAATATATACTGCTATATCATTTTCGGCCATTTTTTTTCTTAAAGCAGTTAATCTTTTAGTAGTATTAATTTCTTTAACATCAGGTAAACAAAGGGATGCAGCATCAATTGTAAATACTGAACCTTTTCTTGATTGTAATCCATTTATGGTACCAGATTGAGATCTTTTAATATTAATCTTTTGAGCAAAAAGTGATGATCTTCTATTGGCTCTTGATAAAAGTCCAGGAGAACATGTACAATTGGCACATTGGCCTCTACTTATTCTAGCCGACATTTTCTAATTAGTTTAGTTAATTACTTAGTTAAGTCACTAGAGGTTAATGTCGGAGATGGAGTATGCTGAGTAAAACCAGCAGATTTTCTTTTTTTTTCCTTTTCCGATCAGACATTTGGGAATTGATTTTTTAGATAACTTCTGGGGATGGAGAGTAGTGTATCCACCACCATTACTGGTCAGTGCTCAGTGCTCTGCTCAGTGCCATTTACTGCTGTGGCAGTTTAATGGTGCGGCATGGGTGTATTCTTCCACAAAGCTTAAACTAACTACTGATGACTGACTGTTTCACTGACTCGAGTAAGCTGATAATTGCCGTAATTAATGACTCTGATTAACTATATATTTTTACTTAGACTTTCTCTCCATTCACTAACTAAGTAAATAACTAATTCACTCTTTTCTTTTGTAGCTGTATTTCATCCATGTTATCGCCCTTAGTCTATAAGCCATATATATGCGATGTACACTTTATTATATTCTATACAATCTAAAATCTAAAATCTAAGCTTACACTACCTTCACATTCTCAACCACTCCTAAACAACTAAAATCCAACTAATACAACCTTCAGCTAATGATAGATTCAAACAATTTCCCTTATTTTGCAATCTATACTTAGTGGGCCCTCCTGCACACAGTCGCAGCCAATCAGTTTACTGAAAAAACCAAAAGAGTAAGCATAACCCAGTGAGAAAAAAAATTTAACAGTAATAACTAAGTGGTGGTAGATCATCTATATTGATTGAACATATCGTTACTGTATTTTAATATAGTAGAATTTCAAACAGGTTGAGTTCAGTCTTATTGAAATAATTCATTATCGAGTTATTTATTCAATTGCATATAACTATCGTATAGATCATTCCAATCATTAGCATTAACTTATACATATAATACATTTAAACATACAACATCATACAATCATACAATTAAACATGTTATCAAGATTCATTTCTAGACCTATAACAAGAGTGTCACCATTGTTATTGAATGCCACCAGAAATTCATCCATTATTTCTGTTCATAGAGATACTAAAGTCGATAATCAAAACATTCCATTTGAATTTAATTCTGAAAATTTAAAAAGAGCCGATGAAATTATAGCTAAATATCCCCCTCAATATAAAAAAGGAGCTGTTATGCCATTATTAGATTTAGGTCAACGTCAATTAGGTTTTACATCAATTAGTGTCATGAATTATGTAGCTAAATTATTGGATATGCCACCAATGAGAGTTTATGAAGTGGCTACATTTTATACCATGTATAATAGAAAACCAATGGGTAAATATAATTTACAAGTTTGTACAACTACTCCATGTCAATTATGTGGTAGTGATGGGATTTTACATGCCATTGAAGATTATTTAAAGATAAAACCAGGTCAAACTACTCCAGATAATTTATTCACTTTACAAGAAGTTGAATGTTTAGGAGCTTGTGTAAATGCTCCAATGATCGGTATTAATGATGATTATTATGAAGATTTAACTCCAGAAAAGACTGTTGATTTATTAAAGAAATTACAAAATGGTCAAGAAATAAAAGTTGGACCAGTTAGTGGAAGAGTCAGTTGTGAACCTTTCAGTGGTCCAAAGGTTTTAAAGAGTAAAGAACCTACCGACATTAGAAAGTTCACTAGAGCCGACTTATAGTTTAGTCAAATAGCATTGTATAATAAGTAACTCATCTAATCTATACTATTCCCATTCATATATTAAAATGTACATATATAGATATATATAATGCAATAAGCCCATGCCGCAATACTTACTATTAGTTGAGCGTTATCGGAGCTGGCCATCCTGCAGACAATGCACCCCAAAAATTAAATTGTCACTGCAAATGATGCAATCCGAAAAATTTGACTCATAGGCAGAGTAACAACTACTGTTCATATTACTATATTTACCATACTAAATTCAGTCATTTTGAGTGGATTATAGTTAAGTAACAAAGTAAAGTATAATACAATGGCACCTAAGAAATCATATAGTTTGGAAACTGAGTTGGTATTCTCCAAATCAGGAGATCAATATAATGCCTCAGTACCTCCATTATATCAATCGGCAACTTTTAAACAAGATTCATTATCAAATATGGGAGAATATGATTATACAAGATCAGGTAATCCTACTAGAACTCATTTACAAAATCATTTAGCTAAAATTATGAAGGCTAAAACAACATTTGCTGTTTCATCTGGTATGGGATGTCTTGATGTTATAACTAGATTATTAAAACCTGGTGATGAGGTAATTGCTGGTGATGATTTATATGGTGGAACCAATAGATTATTAACTTATCTTCATAAAAAGGGTGATATAATTGCTAAACATTATGATACAACTAATACTGAATTAATTAAATCTAAAATTAATTCTAAAACAAGAATGATCTTTTTAGAATCTCCAACTAATCCTCTTATTAAAGTAGTTGATGTAAAATCAATTGCTCATCATGCTCATCAAATTAATCCTGATGTAATTGTAGTATTTGATAATACAATGATGTCACCAGTATTAATGACTCCTTTAGATTTAGGAGTTGATATTCAATATGAATCTGCAACAAAATATCTTAATGGTCATCATGATATTATGGCTGGAGTTTTGGCTACTAGATCAGATAAATTAGCTGAACAATTATATTACGTAATAAACTCTACTGGATGTGGTTTATCACCTTTTGATTGTTGGTTATTAAGTAGAGGTTTAAGAACTTTAGCTATTAGAGTAGAAAGACAACAACAAAACTGTATTAAGATTGCAGAATTTTTAAAGAATGTCGGATTTAAAGTCAGATATCCAGGATTAAAAGATCATCCTCAATATGAATTACATAGTTCAATGTGTAGAGGTTATGGAGCTGTATTAAGTTTTGAAACTGGTAGTGTTAAATTAAGTGAAAGAATTGTTGAAAATACTGATATCTTCGGAATTGCTGTATCATTTGGATGTGTCAATTCATTAATTTCTATGCCATGTAAAATGTCTCATGCATCAATTGATGCCAAAACTAGAAAAGAACGTGATTTCCCAGAAGATTTAATTAGATTATGTATCGGGATCGAGAATGCCGATGATTTAATTGATGATTTGACTAAGGCACTCTTAAGAAGTGGAGCTGTCAGAGTCAACGAGAGAGATGAATTATTCAATGTCATTGGGCTTCAGCCCAAATTATAGGCTAGGGGCCGTAAGTTTTCAATTCTTTATTATTGTGTATATTAACCTGATAAATTACATATTAACAAATTATACATTATATACATTATATAACAATTAATGCATTCATACCATTTATAACAGTTAGTACAGAAGTGTAAATTATATATACATAATTATAAGACATTATACATAGTACGAAGATATTATACATAGTAACAGTACATTAAAATAGATTAACAGTCCAAACATTTGCTTCTTGTTGTATCTACATGAGATCTACTATTCTGATAAATCCATGATTATTGGTTATGTTATTTTCTTAATGCTTGGAGCTTTTAAATTATATTTTACAATCTCTTTCCTTAATATTTTTGTGTTACACTAAAAGCTGCGAAATGTGCAACCATATTACCATTAATAATTACCCTAACATTTTTTTCATGTTTGATACAAAAGCTTCCTTTACAATATCTGGAGTAAAATTAATACTGTTCATTAAGAAACCATGCCTCCTATTAATTATATACTCTACAAGGATAGAAATAAATGGTGGGCCAATTATGGTAGACCTTATAATACAACATGTATGAATTCTCCTCCACAACCACAAACCCCAGCCACCAGTTTAGAATCTTTTCACAACAGTCTATTGATTACAATAATAGATATTTTGAATCAATTTGATGTATTAAATCTATGCCGAGTCAACTCAAGGTTTCATTCATTATGTATGAAGAAATTGTACAAAAGAGTGCTTGTTTACGACAATGCACGAAGACTTGTAACACACTTCCGAACAAATTCAATTGCCTATTATAATTTTACAGTTATAAAAAGTTTGAAACGAACCCCACATCATAAATTTCAACACATTATATATCTTTCTAATGTTAAGCATGAAACTGGACAGAATTATATCATACCAGCAGACACATACAAGAAGCCTCCAAATATAAATACTCAACTAAATGAAAGGTCATTTCATATTCTAAATGTGAATTTAAAAGATAATTCACGAAGTTATATAGTTTGTAAGAACAACTTACGTAATTTTAAATTATTCAAGAAAGTGGAATTATCATCGATGTGTAGTTCACTCGAGACTCTCGACCGGTTGCAGGGAGTCTTTGATGGAGCAAAATCTTTGTCTTTGGATCCTATCCATCTTCATGGATCTAATTTGTACTCCATTCTATCACTATTCATTTTGAAAAATATTAGAGAACTTGAAATAAAAAAATCATCAGCATTTCATAATCATGATTCCCTATTTAAGTTAATGAAATTAATGCCAAATATTCGAGTCCTTGTTTTACATGATTCTGGAGTATTTGATGTACCAGGAATGGTTAACTTTGCTATCCTGAATCTTCCCAATTATCCCCTTGAAAAGATTTCCATAGACGTATTAAAATCCTTAAAACTATCTATCAGTAAAGAGTACTGCCATTTAGTTAAGAAATTGTTGCTAAATTGGGGTTCGGCTCTCAACCTTGTCAAAATTAATAGAGTAAGAGCCGGAGAAGAAACAAATTTATTGACTGTTGATCTATTTCATTATCAAAATTTTCTAGCTGGTAAGCATCTTAACCTTGAGATTCTTGAATTAAAGGACTTTATATCAGTTAATTTTTTTAAATTCCCAAATTTAAGGTATTTTACATTTTACAACCATCAGTATGCGATTATATGGGGGTCGGAAGGATATTCTTGGTCAATTTACACAGTTATGAGCTCTAGAATTTGACTTAGTTTGTCACATTAGTTTATTTCTAAAAGTGTATCAGTTCAATTTCAAGTGAAATTACTTTTTTGTTTTCTTTTAAATATAATTAATTTTTTGCAGTACATCATTTTACTCTTTCTCTTATTATGTTTTATTTTTGTCATCCAATAGTGGTGAAATAGTACTTGAAAATATATAACACAACATCCTGTTATAATTTTTGACCATCTTAATTCTTATTTTGAGACTAATACATACGATACAAAATGTGTAGCCAAAATACCCTATAATCATTAGTACTATATGTTTAAAAAGCCCCTTATTAACATTAAGTAGTATTCTTATTTAAAAAAATTAAATAGTTGTGCATATATCGCAGACTTTTCTGAGTCGATATCCTAGATTTTAACGGTTAAGATAGTCAAAATTACTGATGTTGGATGTTGGATGTTGGTTTATTTGAGCTAGCGAATAATTCATAGCACTTGAGACATAATTAAGTCTCTTGATCATCAAATTAGCTCAAGGCATACTCGCAGATTAATCTGTTTATCTTTGCTCCTGCTTTTGAAGGAATCTAAAGGAGAGCTCAGTCGTATCGACCATCAGGGCCCGAGGCACCTTGATTGTTTGTGTTTTTAAGAGCTAATGTATACTCATCTAGGTCGAAGCTTTGATTGAGTTGACGTTTCTGATAATTGGAGAAGTGCTTGCTAAATTTCAGAATATATTGACACATGTCTGTTGGATACGTTTTAAACATATCCTTATAGTATTGGTATATGGCATCAAAGATTTCTGCAGTTGTTAATAATTTGATCTAATTAAAGAGATGATGTTGTTAGAGTAATTACTGCCATTAAACGATTCCTTTAATTAATAATTTTTTCATGATCAGTAATGGGGATGTAGACTCCATTGATTCTACGTGGGGTTTGTTAATGCCTATTGGTTGGATCAATTGTGTTAGGTCGGAGATATTTAAAGCCGTCGTTATTAATAAGTCGAATGAGACGTCGAGTTGCTTGAATGGCTCTGGCTTTTGATGGTGCCCATGAATGAGGTATCTATATAAAAGAGATGGTATTAGTGATTATATATATATAGTGGAGATAGCAAGTGGTAGCGCCGCAATAAGAGGCGAGCTATGGATCGTGTCCCACCCAAATACTGACACGGATCGCGTATTAAAAATTCATTTCAAAATAAACCCCAAAATCTATACTATTAGTTAGAGCAAACGCGTTTCATCCATTGTAGAACCACAAACAGACATCATGAGTAGTATGGAATCATTTGACTTTTCCAAAGGGGCATTAAGAGACGTGTTTTCTGTATCCAAGAGTGACAGTGTGGTGGGACCATTAACATGTTTAGTTAAATATATTAAACCAATTCAAGTCGAAAATGAACTTAAAAGATATCGATTAATTTTAGCAGATGGAGAATATTCATGTCATAGTTTAGTTGATGAGAAAACTGTACCATATCTTTCAAATAATGGATTTGCCAGAAATTCCGTTCTTAAAATTAAAGAATATAGTGTTTTCAGTACTATAAAGAAACTTATATTTTTAATTAACGATGTAGAAATTATTGGTCAAGTATCTCCTTCTCCTGATAATATTAAACTTATAAGTATCGATCAATATTTTCAAGAAAATCCTGAAGAAGATAAATTACGTCGTGCAGGAAGTACTAATTCATCTTTTACTTCCAATACTCTTGGTGAAGATTTTAATCGTAATTTATCTCCTGCTCCAGTATCTACACCAATTCCAAATAATACTGTTTCAAAACCAACTACCAGTACTTCAAGTGCAGGTTCAACTTCTAGTTCAGGACTTAGTGATGAAAAAGTCGTGCCAATTGACAATATCTCTCCTTATAGAAATTTCTGGACTATTAAGGCTAGAGTATCATATAAGGGAGATCTTAGAACTTGGCAAAATAAGAATAATGAAGGTAAATTATTTTCAGTAAATTTCTTAGATGAATCAGACGAAATTAAAGCTTCAGCTTTTAATGATGATGCAGAAAATGCTCATAAAATTTTAGAAGAAGGTAAAGTTTATTATATTAGTAATGCTAAAGTTAGAGCTAAAAATGCTAAATTTAATCATTTACCAAATCCTTATGAATTAATTTTAGATAAAGGTACTAAAATTCAAGAATGTTATGATACATCTAATGTACCAAAATTATCATTTAAATTTGTAAAATTAGATAAAGTACAAAATTTAGATTCCAATTCAATTGTTGATGTTATTGGAGCATTAAAAACTGTTCTGGAAGCTTATCAAATTACAGCTAGAACTACTGGTAAAGCCTTTGATAGAAGAAATGTAACTATTGTAGATGAAACTGGTTATGCTATTGAAGTTGGATTATGGAATTCACTTGCAGTAAATTTCAATATACCAGAAGGTTCAATTATTGCCTTTAAAGGAGTTAAAGTTCAAGAATTTAATGGAAAATCATTAACTTTAACTCAATCTGGATCAGTAGTTCCAAGTCCAGATGTACCAGAAGCTTATCAATTAAAAGGTTGGTACGATCACGAGGGTGTTAATAAGGATTTTGCAACTTTAAAAGTTGAATCATCAAGTTCTTCATCAAATTTCTTTAATAGAAGAATTACTATTGAACAAGCACAAAATGATAATTTAGGTAAATCTGATAAACCTGATTATTTCACGGTTAAGGCTTCAGTAAGTTTCCCTAAACAAGATACTTTCAGTTATCCTGCTTGTAATAATCAAGTTCAACTTCAAGATTCTACAAGACCTGCTACTTCATGTAATAGAAAAATGATAGAACAACCAGATGGTACTTGGAGATGTGAAAGATGTGATATCACTGCCAATGAACCAACCTATCGTTATATTTTGAATTGTGCTATTATGGACAGTACTAATCAAATATGGATTACATTATTTGATGCTGAAGCTGCTAAAATTTTAGGAATTTCAGCTGGTGAATTATTAAAATTACAAAGATTAAAGGAATCTGATGAACTGAATACTGAATTCGTTGATGTATTCCATAATATTTTATTTAAAGAATTTAATTTCAGAATTAAAGCCAAACAAGATACTTATAATGATGCTGTTAGAGTAAGGTATCAATGTGCTGGTGTTGATCCTATTGATTTTAAAGCTGAAGCTGAATATTTGGCTCTGCAATTGGAAACTCTTCTTAAGTAATTCTTCTCATTTTGTTTTCTTTCTCTTTATGTTTACTTATCTATTTAGGGCTCGTTAATTTATATATTGAATTAAACTATAACTTTATAATTAGAAATTGTAACAATAACCACAACTATGTCATATCACTGGCCAGAAGATACAAAGAACCATTTAAAGTTTCCCACTTATGTGGTTTCACTTGTCTATCTATCATAAACACACAACTATAAAAGGTGAAAAATTTGAGTTTTGGGTATTGATCTATATTTTCATCTATCCATTTTATTAAGCTTTCAACAGATTCCTTAATTTCTTCAAACTTATCTTCCTCTATATGATAAAGTATGTCAATTGTAGATAGCCGTGTAAAATATCCATCTGTGTGAATAGCAACAAGTTCAAGATTAGTGCCACAACTATTCAATAAACCTTTGACTAAATCAATATTTGTTTCAGTATACAGATTGCTTGCAATTTTTCTTTTATAGTCAATACAAAACTTGTCAAGTGAATAATCAGCCAATAACTTTAAAGTATTATTTGGAATTTCATAGAACAATGAACAAAGAATCACAAGTATCTTTATATTTGGCATAAATTTTATGCAACTCACGATAAAGTCATCAACGACATATTCTTGAGGAATTTCTAATTGAAGTTCTTTAATATTTTGAGAACAGAATAGAGAATTAGTTGAAGTTAATATGGACCCATCCACGATATCATATTTTAAAGACAAACTTAAAGAAATAACTCCAGAAAAGATTCCTTTTAATTGTTTCAAATAATTCACTGGTGTATTTTTTAATCTCAATTTAACATTTTTGATTGAACAAAGCTCTTCTTTCGATTCTTGAATAGAATCAATGTTACTTTGAGAAGCCTTTCTTAAATCTATCGTTAGCATTTGAATGGATCTTTGAAATTGATTGGAAAGTGTAGATTTCTGAATATCTTCAATGTCTATAAGAAAATCATCCAGTAGATGATAGTAAAGAAAACTATTATAGTAACTCTCCATAATTTCTTTAAATTTCAGCATAGGGCACTTATGTTTTTCATGTAAAATTGTGAAATTGGTGTATGTAAAGGTGTTTAATTTCCGATGAAATATAGGCTTTTTAGCAGGGCTTGCAATAAGAGCTCTCTTTAATAATTTATTCATACATAACAGATAAAATTTTGTATTGACAACACATAGGTCCAAGACATCAAATTGATTTAAGTGATCAATAATTCGGACTAATATTTCATCAGGCAATGACTCCAAATTGGTGATTGATTCAGGCAATTGCGGAGTTGAAGTTATACATGTTTTTTCATGTTCAACTTTCCTTTTTTTCCAGAGCATAATTGAACAATATACCAAGCAAATTAATTGAAAGCAGCCTAGACATAACCGTATGTTCATTTTGTAGTATTGATGGTTGTGAATATTTTGTTTAATTAAAAGTCCAGCTGTTAGATTTAATTATGGTATAAACATTAGATAATTGAAGAAGGGATATCGGTTATAACTTGCCTTTTTTTTGCAGCAACTTATATGGCGGTTTAGCCAGCAAACGACCTTTCAAAACATACGTTACTATACATATACATAGATAGAAGTTGCAGGAGTGATGTATATGAAGTTATCCCATAGTTAGATAGAATAAAGAAATAAAAGTTCTACTCATTGGTTTCTAGTTATATTTAATAATGTAATATTCTACTCAACAATTTTATTACGTTACAGTACTATTTGCATTATCTATCTATTTGCAGCTATTGCTTAAATTCTACTAAATTATTACAGTCCAACCAAAAGGCCTTTAAAACTTCATTGGCTTGTCTTTGCCCTCTTGTCAACATAAGTTTACTAATAAATTGATCGACAAATGGCCCATTGAACTTACCATTATCTACCAACTTATGAATTAATTTTACTCTCAACCAGTTCTTAACTAGTAATGGATATTTGGCTACCAACGTTCTAAACAACTGATAGAAATATTCTGTATTGGATCGAGGATTATCGATGAATGAATCAATTAAGCTAGACAATAATGAATATCCCAAAGGATGGGAGTCATCTATAATGAACTGATTGCTAATTAGATCTCGTATAAACTCTTGTTCAGAAGATTTGCCTCGTCTTAGGGTTAACAACATATTCCAAAATTTAGTCACCGACTTTATAACATATGTCTCATTATATGTCAATGCTGAAATACCAAACTTTAATACAGTATGAGTAAATAACGGTAAATGAATAACTAATGATGGACTCTTTTCTAGTACAGTAGCGAACAAACCCATTGATGATTTAATCAAATCGGTATCGGCTTGTATGTAAGTCAATTTATCAATGAATACTTTTGTGACTAATTCTTCAAAAGAACTTAACGATATATGTATACTATTGGTTATGACTATTGATTCAATTAATTTATATATTAAAGACACTGACCCTGAATTACATTTTTGAATTTTGAGCATTAAATAGTTGAACATTACCTGTAATTCAAATTTGAATGGACCATTGATGGGTTCCAGTAATCCACATTTGAATATATGACAACACTTCTCAGTGCACAAAGTCTCATCAACCAATGGACTATAGTTTAATGATAACTCATTAATGACTTTTAAAATAGACTGTTTAATATGATGTTGATCTTCAGTCCAATAGGCTTGTGTTTGATACGATTGTTCGGCAGTAAAGTAATCATCAAGATCTTCAGGTAATTCAGTTGCCTTGGCAATCTCATCAATACAACCTAATAAACTGACTGCATAGTCCCGGACATCTTCCTCTTCATTAGGACCTAAAAGAGCAATTTTCTCAAGTACTACATCCACAAGACATGAAATAACATCACCTAGTTTAATAGGATCCTTCAAAGAATTAACTATTGATACAAAGGAATTGACAAGTCTTTCTCTTATTAAACTATCAAACTGGACATTCTTAATCACCGCAAGAACAATGGTTTGTAACTGAGGTAAAAATGGGACCAATTTAGTTTTGGAATTCTGACAGATCTTCAATATTGTTTTTGACGAAATTAAAGCTTGACTAGCATGAACTTTATCAGTAGGTTGATCTAGAATAATAGAAAATAAGTAATTAAAAGTTACAGTGATATGTTTATCACCCTGAGAAGTTTTAAAGTAGAATGGTAAAGATGATAGGAAATTCAATAAAGTAATATTGATTTGATGATCCTTAAAGTTTTGATCAATGATTTCAATTAATCCATGTTGGAATAATTGATCGATATGGGGGATTAGAGCTTCAGTTGATTCATCATCATAAAACGTCAAGTCATCAGTAATCTTATAAATTAAATAAAGAGATGCTTCAATATCTAGTGATACTTGTTGACTAGGAGTTGACCCAAATTCAATTAATTTATCTAGTATAGTCTTACATAATAATGAATAGATGGAAGTATTCAATAATGAATAAAGTAATTGAAATACTTCGGCCACTCTTATTCGGAAATGATTGAATTCCGTTGACATTTTACTACCAAACACATGACATTTTCTCCAGTAAATTATACCAACATTTATTAAAATCTCTGCCTGTAAAGTTGGATTAGTGTTTTTCATTATTTCTCCATCATCAATAAATGTACTAATGAATTCTTCCCAGAATATAAGAAATTGATCACTAAGTTTTTCATCCTCTATAGGATTACCAGGGAAATCAGTTAATGATACAGCCATTTCAAGAATTTGTAATACTTGAGGATTAGATAAATTTCTTGCTAAATATAAGATATTCAAATTTAAATATGCTATAATTAAATCAGCAAAATTCTCAATCTCTTGTTGATATATTTCCATTAATTCTTTATTATTAAGAATTGCTCTAGAGAATTTAACCCCAAATTGATCTGGTTCAAATAGTACTTGAGTAAGTAAAGGTTTATATGGATTTAAAATTTTAGGATAATCTTCTAAAATTTGAGATAATACCGTACTACATTTACTGACTATATCTATTGTATTTTCAAGATCTTCAAATTTTAATTGTTTAAATGTATACATCACTAATGGTTGCAAAGTTATTTCATTAGCAGTATATGATATTTGAGATCCATGTTCTGCCATTCCAATATAGGTAGACCATGCAAATAAACAATCCAATGCTAATTTATGTAATTCATGCAGTTCTGATGTAATATCATAATGAATAAGAAATTCATACATGGCTCGTAAATTGGGGAATATGACTGTGAATATAAGTTGATGAATTGATGATAATTTAGTATTATCACGTTTTCGAATATCTTCTACAATAATCGTATGTAAATGAATTAATAATCTAAACTGATCATTAGTTAATTCTGAAAAATTTGCATTGGCATTACCAATTTTGAAAAAGTATCTACTTAATGGATCAAGTAGCGCTTGATCTCCATTATCCATCCCATTATGATCTATGAATAATAAGGATATATTACTTAATAACTTTTTGATTATGAATAGATTGGAATCGAAATTATCCGTTTGTAAAGTAATTGTATAATCTATTAGTTCATCAAATATAGAAGTAATTTGATTATGAGTTAAGGCTTCTTTATAAGTATTTAAGAATACGGTAAATGTTAAGGCTCCAAAGTATCGACAATATTTGGAAGGATTCTTTACAAGTAGTTGAGCCAATTGATATCCCAGTTCTGACTTCTGTATAGTCTGTAAGTAATCCTGAAGTTGTCTAATCTTGTCAGTATCATTAGTACTATATACTGATTCGATGGACTATAGACATATAAATGTTAGTTATACCCCACAAAATTGGTGTAAAACCGGAAAAATCAGCGAATTTCCTAAACTGGAAAGTTACGTACCTGAACTACCAACTCTATATTCCAATCTTGAGCCATAATAAGTTGTGGTTAGTTTAGAGTAGTAACAGTTGTTGTAGTAGATGAACTTTTCACTTCCATATTGGGAATCAGGACCTGCATAGTGGCTCTCTCTCTCTCTCTCTCTCTCTCTCCACCACTCCACGGAACCCAACCATAAGAAGATATGGGGACGTAAAGTATACTCAATCTGAATACTGATATGTGAAGGACCTGTATATGGTGTTGTCTAAGTATTTGTCTTACTATCTGTGTATGTCTTAATAAGTCTGGTATGTCACACTACTTCATTGTCTCTTAGTCTCCACACACTTCTGTCACTACTTCCATTACACTATCTATAGACTACTATAAACTTACATACTATCACACACCCATAACCCACACTATGCCTTCAGTATCACTTCAGTATCACTATCACACCAGCACTCTTTACTAACCCTCTACGCTATCCCCTCTACACTATCCCCTCTACTATCCCTACCCTTCCATGCTGATTGCAAAATCCTCGCCTCCCACACGACCTTTCTCAACCACCTGCGATTTCCCACTTCGACCTAACCACTACACCACCACTGATAAACCCTCTATAAACCTCTAAAACCAACACTATTCAGTACGACACCCTCCCTAACAATCCATATAGAAGTTTCACAACACAAAAGGGCGTGTGGTGATACAATTTCAGGTGCTGTCAATATCCCCAATGCATCCTCCTGGTGAACCGTCTTCGAATTCGAATTTGAATTACTCAAACTCCAACTCCTCCAATACGTCTCAAAACAATACTACTACTAATAATAATAATAATAGTCGAAGAAATATATTTGAAACTCCCAGATCTCCATCTCGGTCAACTAGAACTGTAGATCCTCCTCGATTAAATGAAGCACCCAGTTTAATATCTACATCCCCACGAAGAAGAAATCATAAATCAGTATTTAGTGATAGGTATATTCCTAATCGTACGGGGATTGATCTTCAAACGGCTTTTAGTTTATCAAATGAAGAAGTTTTACCTGATTTAAGAAACAATAAAAATATAGACAATGAAATTGAAATTCGAAAGGAAGAAGAAGCTAATCGAACATTTTCTACCGTATTAAAAGCAGAATTATTTGGTGATAATGTTCCTATGACAACGGTGGGTTTATCTAATTCTTTAAATACTATTAATAATTCTTCAAATAATCGATTAAATAAACCAAAATTCCCTACCGTACGACCCAATAGTACGGGTAATATGTCTACTTCAAGAACTATTCCTGATCATCCAGTAACAAGTCTTACTGGAAGTCCTCCTCGACCTTCAGTACCTTCAACTCCATATATAAGTTCAGTTATTCCACCTTCCGGTTCATCACATAATAATTCAGCAACTACCAATAGCCTTAATTCAATAAATAAAGACAATGAAGATAATAGTGTAACGAGTACTCCCCGTCGTAAAACTAATCTTTTTACATATCAATCACCTCAAAAATCTCGACCTATATCAAGAGATTTACAGCAAGAATTATATTCATTATCACCAGTAAGACAAGAATCTCAAAAATTATTATTATCACCTCAAAAGAAACCTCGAAATATTTCCAAAGTTCCTTATAGAGTTCTTGATGCACCAGAATTATCGGATGATTTTTATTTAAATTTAGTGGATTGGGGTCAACAAGATATATTAGCAGTTGGATTAGGTGATAGTGTATATTTATGGGATGGAGCTACACAATCAGTTGATAGATTATGTAATTTATCCAATAAAGATAAAGTTACAAGTTTAAATTGGATTGGGTCTGGAACTCATCTTGCAATTGGTACATCTAAAGGATTAGTTGAAATATGGGATGCTACTAAAATTAAATGTGTTAGAACTATGACAGGTCATAGTCTTCGAGTTAGTTCATTAGCTTGGAATGAACATATTTTATCAAGTGGTTCAAGAGATCGAAGTATTTTAAATAGAGATGTTCGAATTGAGAATCATTATATTAATAAATTCGAAAGTCATAAACAAGAAGTTTGTGGATTAAAATGGAATGTTGAAGAAAATAAATTAGCTAGTGGAGGTAATGATAATAAATTATTTGTATGGGATGGATTAAATCCCAAACCTTTACATCAATTTAATGATCATATAGCTGCTGTAAAGGCAATTGCTTGGTCACCTCATCAAAGAGGTATACTTGCATCAGGTGGAGGAACTGCAGATAAAACTATAAAGACTTGGAATACTTTAACTGGTAATATGATAAATGATGTTCATACAGGATCTCAAGTTTGTAATCTTATATGGTCAAAGAACTCTAATGAAATTGTATCAACTCATGGATATTCAAGAAATCAAATTATTGTTTGGAAATATCCTTCAATGCAACAAATTGCTCAATTAACTGGTCATACTTATCGTGTATTATATTTATCATTATCTCCTGATGGTGAGACCATTGTGACAGGAGCTGGTGATGAAACATTAAGATTTTGGAATGTATTTGAAAAGAATAAACATAATGAACCTCCCAGTTCCGTATTACTAGATGCATTTCTGCAATTGCGATAGAGATGTACAGTGTATGTATATATATATTTATATATATATTTATATATATATGTATATATATATGTATATATATATGTATATATATATGTATATATATATGTATATATATATGTATATTTATATGTTTATATATTTACATATATGTTTAGTCTCTTAATGTTACAATTATAGAAGTTAAATTAATAAGCAATCCTCCTTAATCATGCTCTTTTCTTGTATAGGATCAATGTTATGCTCTTTACAGAATAGTTGGAAATTCCCAAGTAGAAGCTGAACATTGCCATGATTATCTGTTTGTAGTAACTTCATATATTCTAAAGTTAATAATATATCTTCCTTTCTAAACCCTGTCCAAGTGGCTAAATCCTTTAATGTAAAAGTATCTTTATCATTAAGATGAGCATATATAACTGTAGCTAATTTTTTAGACCAATAATTTAAATAAGATACTTTACCAAATGGAGATAGAGGGAATTCTGGTCCACTATAATATTGACCCGGAGTTAATTTAGCTAATTCATACAGAAATTCAATAAGTAATGAACCCAAATGTCGTCTTTGAAATGGAGGAAATATACATATACATGCTAAATTATTATCATTATCATAAGCTAAAAGTTCCTTAGAAAAGAATCCCATAGGTTTAAAGAATAATTCATCTTGTGCATCATCAGTATTATCTATACCATAAATTATATAGAAATTGAAATAATCAATATTATAATAAACCGATTTATCATCAAGAAATAATTTACCAAATAAACATAAATTTTGGGCAAATAGACTATGTTGAAATCCTCGTACTTCTCGAATTATATATGGTGAAGATGATGTATCATCTCTATAAACTAATCTGCCTACAGTTGGTTGATATACTCGATACGTACAACAAGCTCGATGTTTTTGAAATTCATTATTATTCATAGTATATGCAAAACAGAATTCACATACGTACAATTGATCTATCCATAGTGAATTATCTTTAGTTTCATTATCATTACTATCATTATTATTATTAGTAGTAGTAGTAGTATCTCCTGTTGAACTGAAACTTTTAGATGATTTCCGTTTCACACTGGGATCCAAGGCTATCTTATTGCTATATTCATAACCCAACATGGAATGTGACCAATCATTACTATTAAAGTAGGCAGCATTACCATACCAAGTATCACAAGTATACTTCCCCAATGTTACTCGACGAATATTAGGCTTATCTAATAATCCATAAAAGGTATTAACTTCTTTTTTGCTCCTACCTTTGCCTTTGGGCCGAGACTTGGTTGACTTGCCATCACTCATGCAATCGTCACTACAAAGTTTATGAGATATTCTTCCAATAGGGTTTGGAGAATGGTGTTTAGTATGTATGCCTAGAGGTGATTTCCGGTTGTCTGGCCGGTTTGCATGTTGGAGGGCTAACCTGCAAAAGAGAGGCAACCGAAACTATATAAAGTACTAATACTATAAAGTCTAGCTCAGTGTATATGACTAGTAGACTGTATATTGAGGTAGGTAGTGAATGACCTATTAGAGAGTAAGTTACATATCACTAACAATTACAAATAGTATACCGTAATAAACACCATAGTGTTAGCAGTATGTCGCTATTAGTATGCTACTGTTAGCGAGACGCGTAGAACCGAAAAATTTCAGTGCCTCTCTAAAGTACATACTGTACTATGTATTTGTATGTAGATCATCTTTACACAGTAACACACCCCCACAGAAGCACATTATAACAATAATAATACCACCACAAGATGCCACCAAAGGGATGGAGAAAGAATGCCGACGGACAGTATCCTCAACCAGCTAAGGACTCCGAATTGGTATCCATTGATGAAATCTTATTTCCGAAGAGTACAGTACAAAAACTTGCCAAGGGGATTATAAGTGAAGATGATGGTAGTAATAATATGATTATTGCTAAGGATGCTTTGATAGCACTTCAAAGATCAGCCACTGTCTTTGTATCTCATTTAATATTTCATGCCAATCAATCATCTAAGAAAGATACTAGGAAAACAGTTAATACTCAAGATATTATTACAGCATTAGAGAAGGCAGAATTTTCTGGATTTATTCCGGAAGTAAAGGAGAAGCTAGCGATATATGAGGGTAATATAGCACTCAAGAAGAAACAAAAGTTAGAAAGTAAAGCTAGAGCTAAGGAGGATACTGAAGATTCTGAATCTTTGGCTAAGAAATTAAAGACTAATGATGACCATGCCGTATCGGTAAAGGATAAGGAAGACAATGAAGACGAAAGTGGAGTTGAAGACAATGAAGAAGAAGGAGAAGAAGTAGAAGAAGTAGAAGAAGTAGAAGAAGTAGAAGAAGTAGAAGAAGTGGAAGATGAAGAAGAAGAAGAGGAGGAGGAACCAAGTGCTAACCCTATTGCACAACTAAGTAAAGAAGAGGCAGAATTAGGAGGTACAGTAGAATCAGACCATGAAAAAGTCGATTCAGAAGCTAGTGATGAAGAAGATGAATAGATATAATGTATATTACAAGTTTTTATTAGTATTGTTATTGTATAATATATAAATTGAAATTGAAGAATGACTACGGTATGCAACGACTAAAGAATGGGAACCCACATTGAGACCCTATAAACAGATATAATATAAATATAATGACTGCTGATACAATTAGAATGAATTTAAAATTGCCAAACCACATTTTCCTCTTAATTTGCAGAGCTCTCTTATGAAATACCAGTGATGATGTATTCAATCTATCAGTTTGATCAACCAATAAATTTATCTTATCCCCTCTACTTAAAAGTTTATTTATATTATCAAGCATTAATTGACGTACTTCATCAACTTCTTCATTAGCCAATAATAATTGATTAGGATGTATATTAATATTATGAGAAGTTTCTCCATCAACATCACTATCAATAGCTCCATAATTATAAATTTGTGAATTAGAACTATACTCTAATTCATGGAATTTAATTATTTGATTCATTATGAGTTTAAATTCTCCTAATCTCGATTTTGATTGAATTGGTGATCCATTAGAATGTTGTTGATGATGATTTGAATGGACTTGTATATCGGTTTCGGTATTCTCCGTTTCTTGTCTAAATTCAATATATTTATCTATAATTTTCTTAAGTACCGTTATAATTAATGCCCGATTTACATCGGAATGTGCTATGGTTATTACAGTTATTAAATCACTACTTCCATCTTTATTTACTAATACTTTTTTCATAAAATATAATACTAACTTAGTGGTAGTATAATTACTAGAAATAGGTATAGATCCTACTATAGTCTTAGAAGAATTTATAAGTCCTAATTCTTGAGAAATTATTTCCGAACAATTTAAATTATTTATTAAAGGAATTAATTGATGATTCTCATAAGTATATAAAGTAGTAGAATTTAATGTTAAAGTCGTATGAATCACTATACATTCTTGTGTTAGTATGGGGGGACAAAATTGTCTAAATGTTTATCATATCCACTATCGGTTTCTTAATACATACAATGACTATAGAGATCGGTATTACTCATATCATCGGAGTTAATAATAATAATATTGATTGTTGTCTATTGGTGGTGGTGGAGGGGGTGAAAATGTCGTTTTTTTAAGTAATTGCTCCATACTTTAGGCTGGTTCAAAAAATCTGGAGTCATCAACAATTAATTGTGTGTCTTTGTGCAGGAACACCTAAATTATATATATATATGAAAGAGGGGCGGCATGGATGTGCACCTTCCCCATTGGGACTCATCTTGAAAAATTATATACTACTACTAGAACAGCCAATAAATAATTGCAAAATCCCATAAATAACGACTAGACCACACAAATGGGGACTTATAGAAAGCGGTTCAATGAGAAGGCGCGGTCGGGAATGCTTGCCAAGCAAGCGGCTTTGAAAAAGGTCAGACAGAAGCAATTTAATCGAGAAGATGAGATAGATTCTCCAGTAGAAGTTGCAACTAATGAACCATCACAACAATTAGAAAATTCCAATGCAGAGATTTTACAACCAGTGACTAAAGAAGAGAAAGAGGAAAGAAAGAGAAAATTGGAAGAATCTTTATTTGGCCATAATAAAGAAACTAAAATGTCCCGAAATAAGAAGAAGAGATTAGATAAGTATATTGAACATCAATTAAAGAGAGAAGAGAAGAAGACATTATTTGAAAAATTATCTAAGACTAAAGTAGATACTTCATTATTTGCCCAATCTAAGGAATTGGGTAAGGGGAAACAGACCAGACGTGAAGAAATGGTTGAAGCTTTGGAATTGGAGAGACAAGGTAGAGGTGATGAACATACTAAAGAGATCTTATATGAGGAAAGACAAGTAGCTGAATGGCCACAAGATGAAACAAATGATATGTTTAATAATTCAGTCGGTGGATCAGATGACGAAGAAGAAGGTCATGATGATGAAGATGAATTAGATAAATTTGGAGACTTTTCTCAATCATCCTCATTTGTTGATAATAGGCCGTCTAAATTTGGAGGTAGTGGAGTTGGATTCGGATTTGCCAATTTAGCTAAAGTAGACAAGAAGCCCAAAGGAGCAGCTTCTCATAAAAAATATACTTGGAGATTAAAGGTAGATCAGGAAGAGAAAAAGAGGAATAAGATTGAGGATGAAAATGATTTCTTGAGTAGTGAAGAGGAGGAAGAAGAAGAGGAGGAAGAAGAAGAGGAGGAAGCAGAAGGGGAAAGCGAAGAGGAAGAAGAGGAGGAGGAAGACATAGGCAACGATGAAGAAGTATCGGATGCAGCTGAAGTTGATGAAGAAGAAGACAATGAAGACGAGGAAGATGATGAGGAAGATGACGAAGAAGAAGATGACGAAGACAGTGAAACCGAAGATGAAGAAGATTTACCAAGACTCTTACAAACCAAACCAAAGCATTCAGATGTCGCTCAATCTTTCAAAGAATGGGCCGAACAACAAGTAAGAAAGATGGAAGGTCGTGACGTTGAGATGACAATGCCAGAATTATCTGAAGAAGCCAAAAAGGGGTTAAGCCATACTATTCATGAAGAAGATATCGACCACTCATCGGATGAAGAAGGCTATATTCCCATCAATAAAGATTTACAAAGAGAAGCATTTTATGTAGATGTAACTCGATCAGAACAGATTCAACAACAAAGAATGCATTTACCAGTATTTGGAGAAGAACATAGAATTATGGAAGCCATATATCATCATGATTGTGTTATAATATGTGGTGAAACTGGTTCAGGTAAGACTACTCAAGTCCCACAATTCTTATATGAAGCAGGATTTGGAAATCATGAAAATAAAATATATCCAGGAATGATTGGTATAACTCAACCTAGAAGAGTTGCAGCCGTATCTATGGCCGAAAGAGTTGGAAATGAATTAGGAGATCATAAAGGAAGGGTTGGTTATCAAATTCGATTTGATACAACCATAAAAGATGAAGGTAAACCCAATGGAACGGCTATGAAATTCATGACTGATGGGGTATTATTAAGGGAAATGATGAGTGATTTTATGTTAAATAAATATTCAGTAATTATAATTGATGAAGCTCATGAAAGAAATATTAATACTGATATTTTAATTGGAATGTTAAGTAGAGTATTGAAATTAAGAAGAAATTATTATGAAAGGGATCCTCTGAAATATAAACCTTTAAAATTAATAATTATGTCGGCTACTTTAAGAGTGTCTGATTTTTCAGAAAATTCGCAGCTATTTAAAGTTCCACCCCCTATTTTAAAAGTTGACGCCAGACAATATCCTGTTAGTGTACATTTTAATAAGAAGACACATTTTGAATATCAAGATGAAGCATTCAGAAAGGCAATTAAAATTCATAAGAAATTACCTCCTGGTGGTATACTTATATTTATGACTGGTCAACAAGAAATCACATCTTTAGTTAAACGGTTAAGATCGGAATTCCCATTTGCTAAGAAATCAAAAGTACCTGTCTATGAATCAACTTCAGCAAATATAAAGAGTTCAGTTCAGAATGATTTTGAAGCTGAAGAAATTGATTTTAGTGTTAAAGTAGAAGTACGTGATGAAGAGAAGAAAGTCCAATTCTATGAAGATCTTGAAGTTAATGAGAATGATGGTGCCAGTGACAGTGATGATGATAATGAAGATGATTCTGATAACGAAGAAGGATTTGATGAGGAAAGAGAAGATCATCAAACTGATGATGATCCCTTATATGTCTTACCTCTTTATTCCTTGTTACCTACCAAACAACAAATGAAAGTATTTGAAGATCCTCCAAAGGGTAGTCGATTATGTGTTGTGGCCACCAATGTAGCAGAAACTTCATTAACTATTCCTGGAATTAGATATGTTATTGATTGTGGTAGAGCCAAAGAAAGAAGATATAATGAAGAGAATGGAGTTCAATCTTTTGAGATCGATTGGATATCAAAGGCATCATCGGATCAAAGATCTGGTAGAGCTGGTAGAACTGGTCCAGGTCATTGTTACCGATTATTTTCTTCAGCCATATATGAGAATTACTTCCCACAATTCAGTAAACCTGAGATTCTTAGAATGCCATTTGAAAGTATCGTATTATCTATGAAGAGTATGGGGATTGATCAAATATCCAATTTCCCTTTCCCCACTCCTCCCGATAGAAGTTCACTTGTAAAAGCTGAAAGATTATTAACTATATTAGGAGCATTAGATGTAGAAAAGAAAACTATAACTGAATTAGGAAGAACTATGTCACTCTTCCCATTAAGTCCAAGATTTGCTAAAATCCTTATAGTAGGAAATCAATTTGGATGTCTTCCTTATATAGTTGCCATAGTTTCAGCATTATCCGTTGGAGATCCTTTCATAGGAGAAAATGAACTTGGAATATCTAACAATAATAACAATAATGATGATGATGATGATGACAATGGTCATGGACATGAAGATCTGGAAGAAGAATCAAAGAAATTAAGAACTAAATTCTATCAATCCAGAGCCCAATTTTCTAGATTAGATTCAACAAGTGATGGATTAATGCTTTTATCAGCTGTATGTGCTTTTGATCATGTTCCAGAAAGTAAAAGATCAACCTTTTTAGCGGGGAATTTCTTAAGAGGTAAAGTTATGGAAGAAATATCCAAGTTGAGAAAACAAGTTAGTTACATTGTCAAAATTTCTACATCAAAGGATTCTATTTCACAACAATCATCAGAATCTGATTCAAAATTGGGAGTTCCTGATAAAAAGCAATTATCAGCCATCAAGCAAATGATAGCTTCGGGATTTATAGATCAAATTGCTATTAGAGGAGATTTAATTTCTTCTGATGTTAGTATTCCTAATAAGACTCATGTTTCTAATATTCCTTATAAAACCATTTTCCCTATTCATGGAAGTAATTTTGAAATGGAAGAATTTGTATATATCCATCCTAATTCAATACTTACTAAATCTGGTCAAATGCCAGGAAATTATTTGGTTTATCAAACATTAAGTACTGGCAATAATACTAAAGAAGGAGTAGCTATGAAAGTTAGAATGAAACCTTTGGTAGAGATTAAAGGTAAACAGTTGACTAGTATTTCTAAGAATTCTCCTCTTTTAACATATTCCAAACCTCTTGGACATCCTTATGCTCCAAAGAATATTACTCCTACTAAACGAGAATGTTATGTTGTACCAAGATTTGGTGCAGCTATAGGTTCTGGAGGGGTAGGCTGGGATTTACCGGCAATTAAAGTAATCCAAGAGAAGAGAGATGGTAATTGGATTATTGAAAAGCATATAATTTAGCATTATTTATAGGATATAATAAACAATTACTTAATAGATAGTTAACTTAAAAGGGGTTTTTGCAATCATTTGCACCTGGTAGCGCCGTACTGTCCGACAATTTCAATGTCAAATTGACATTGCGCTTTTGCGACAAATGTCGGCATCTCTGCGACACTTCAAATTGTAAACAAAGTGAAAAAAAAAATAATATCAATAATTATCGGCTTTGATCCAAAAGGTATATAGCCGAAACACTGAATTGTCCCATACTTTTGGTGCCCATCCACAGTCCATGATAGCTTAAAATGGCGACCAGATCTGTACAAGAGCCGCGGCCTAAGGAGGTGGTGGAAAGGCCACTAATTCTGGCGAGAATTCTTGATGAAGCATCTCAAAGAGTGTTCTTAGTATCATTATTTATAGCCATACAAAGTTGGAAAATATACGACATTATGTTATTAAAGACCAGTATTCTTGAAGTTGCCGGACAAAGTGTCGGAACCCTGTCGAATAACTTAACTATAGTATTAAAATATGCCATAATAGATGGAATATTTTTATGGATACTCCCCATATTAAATATTCAATATATTACTTTTAGTCCATTTATAACATTACTATTAACAATCATTTTAAATGGGATAACATTATTTATGGTAAGTGATTTAGGAGTAATATTGATAAGTGGAATTGCATTACCTGTATGGAATACTTTTTTTCATAATCGAGAATTAACTATAGGAGGAGATAGAATTGATACCAATCGACTTATTGATTTAGATTCCCATTTTAAGGGGAGATTAACAATTAATTATTTACCTGATTCTTCTGCCAAAATGAATCCCTTCCATTTCGATAGAATTTGTCTTGACTCATCCAATTCACATGCAAACCCCATTGAAATCCCTATAGAATTTAATACCACTACTGATATTGGATTCTTACAAATTCAACATACAACTCCCAAAAATGAAATTAAATTACTTAACTATACTGGCAATTCTATCAAGAGACTCTTAAGAAAAGATTATTCTCATTTATCCAAATATTCAGAGTATAAACAACTCGATAATATATTTTACGTAGAATTCCCTGTGACTGAACCAGGTTTATATCAAATTAAACAAGTTATTGATGGTAAAAACATTAATATTAGAACGTATAAATCAGAATTGGTTATACCTAATTGTCCAGGATCTCAATTTTATTATCCATCATCATATGATGAAACAAAGAATTATCAATGTATATCCCGTAATTCTCCTGAATTATCTGTTCAAGTACCTTTAATAGAATATTATGGTGTAACTCCAGGGATTTTAACATTATCTTCAAGAATTAATGGTAAACCATATCGAGATTTTAAATTATCTATAGGAGAAAAAGTTTCTGAAATCAATATTAAAGATTTAAGTTGGTTAAAATCAAATTCTCTTATACGAAATAGTCTTGAACAAGAATTATTAAAGGATGAAACTATCATAAGAAATGCTGGGGAAGGTACCCTTGAATTTCAATTGGTTCAAGTATCGGATACTTTAGGTAATGTTAGAAGATATAATCCTGTATCTCGAGATAAAGATGTTTGGTTTGTATTCAATTTAAGAAAGGCTCCTGTATTTGGTCTTGAAGATAATAATAAAGGTACGGAATTAATTATTGGATCAAACAAGAAATTATCACTTGTCGGCACAGGTTCATTACAAGAATCCGATTTCCCTGTAAGTGTAACTATATCATATGATAATAATAATAATAATAATAAGGATTTATTGGCTTCTAATATTTCCAAGACTTTCTCATCACTTCAAGATTTACTGAATGGCATAGAAGTAGAAAGAGAAGGTCATTATACTCTTACTAATGCCAGAACCAGATTCTGTCAAGCAGAAATTGATAAGAATAATATGGTTAGTTTGAAATTAGCTCAACCTCCATCAGTAGAAATTGAAGCCACTCCATTGATAGATAAATGTTTAGGAACTACTGGTTATGAATTTGGATTTGATTTTAAAGGTAAGGCCCCATTCTATATTCAATATCATGTCTATCAAAATCAGTCCAATGGAATTTTAAGACCTATTCATAATGATAGAGGAGTCACTTCTAGACTTTTAAAATCTTCTGATAAGAATTATAAATTCACATTCAGACCTCCAGCTGAAGGTAATTATGTGGTTAAATTCGATGATCTTAAGGATGTCAACTATTATAATTATCCAGTGATTGTCGATAAGACATATCTGACATATTTCCAAAAACTTTCACAGGTTTCATTGGGAGGATCAAGAACCATAAAATCATGTTATGGAGATTCTGTTAGAATTCCAATGAAATTTGAAGGGAATGGACCATTTTCATTTAGTTATGAATTCATTGAACTTAATTCCGGTCAACGGTTAACTCCTACGAATTCTATTCAAGGAGCTGAATCTTATGATATTGTTATACCTGCTACATTAAATGGTAAATCATTTCAAATTAAATTGGTTAAGGCGGAAGATAAGTTTTCATGTCCAGCATTAATTGATAATAATGAAGTAGTAATTGTTCAATCTCGTTCATTTATACCTGAAATTCAAATTGGAAGTGTTTCGGAAACTTTCACTATCATTGAAGGTGATCATGTAGACATTCCATTGCAGTATAAATCTTCAATTGGTCCAACTAGAAATGATAAGATTACTTATAAAATTATTAAAGATAAATCAATTGAACAAAAAGTAATTGGAGGTTCTCACATCTTACAAGCTAAAGATGAAGCTCAATATTCATTAGTATCTTTTGAAAATGATGGATGTCCTGGTATTATTAAGAATATTGACAGAACAGTGACAGTCTCTTATTATAATAAACCTAATTTAACTTTATCAAGTGATAATATTCTTAAACAACATAAAGAAGAGTCTACTTTACATTTATCAGCCGTTTGTAAAGATTGTAAGAATCCCTTGAAATTAAAATTAGAAGGAGCCAATCCATTTGTTATAGATTATGAGATTCGTTTCCCTAGTGGTAAAGTTGAATCTGGATCAATGAATATTGATAATCATGATGTAGTGATTAATTTACCTTCTAAAGAAGTTGGAAGATATCAACATACTTTTACAGCTGTTTATGATTCGCTATATACTAAACATAAGAGTCGTAATAGAAAACAAAAGAGTCAAATTGTACTTTATGATGTTAATCCTTTACCACTGGTTAAATTCCATGATGATAATAGATCAATTCAAGTATGTGAAAATAAACTTAATCAACTTGAAAAATCAAGTGCTAAAGTTCCAATTCTTGTATCAGGACAATATCCACTTACTGTTAATGCTTCATTAAAGCATGAGATTACTGGAAGAGTTGAAACATTAATATTCCAAGATGTTACTGAACCATTATTGAATATTTATGGTGGTGAATCGTTTGGATTAGGTGAACATATCTTAACCATTAATTCAATTACTGATGGGAATGGATGTAAAACAGAATCTATTTCACAAGATAATTATTTTGTCATTGTCATAACTGAACTTCCAAATATGAAAAGGTCAGATATAAAGAGAGATTATTGTGTTGGAGATCATATTTCTTATGAATTAAGTGGAGTAGCACCCTTTTCGGTATTCTATAACTTTAATGGACGTCAACAAAAGGCCGAATCCAATCATCATTTCCTGAGATTAGCTTCTAAACCAGGAATCTTATCTATAGAAGCAGTTCAGGATTCATCAGCCAGTAAATGCTTAGCTAATTTCACCAATATGCCAGAAAAATCAAATGAATTAACTCTTGAAGTTCATCGACTCCCATCAGTTGAAGTCAATAAGGGAGATTATATTATAGAAGATTTACATGAAGGAGATCAAACAGAAATTATATTTACATTTATTGGAACTCCTCCATTTAAACTTACCTATGTAAGAATATCTGAAACAGATCATACATCAAAGGCAAAGAAATCAGCACCTGGTAAACGTCCAGTAGTTGAAAAGCATGTTATTGATGATATTCAAGATTATGAATTAATCATTAAAGCTAGTCTTGAAGGTACTTATGAAGCCATTGAAGTTCAAGATGCCTTCTGTATTGCTCGACGTAGTAATTACTGATTCATAATTATATATGTATATAGATATCTACACTTTACACTAATTACAATACACATACTCATTACTTACTCGTTACTTACTCGTTACTCATACTCAGTATATGCTCGCTCAACCGCACTCGCTAACTCCACGTCGCGATCGGTGATTTGATTGCCGACATCGTGTGTGGTAGTCGTGACCCTCACTTTATTATAAGTAGTTTCAATTGTAGGATGGTGTTTTTGGTCATGTGCTATGGTGGCGATACTATTTAAAAATTTCCAAGTAGTTTTAAAATTTTTTAACTTATAGTGAGCTTCCAACATCTGGCTGTTGGTATTGGTACTGGTACTGGTATTGGTAGTTAATGACCATCGGGGGATACTGGCTGCATCATTGATTCTCTTTAGTTGGTCTAGCACCACTTGTCTAGCCAACACTTTAGACATGTACTGTACTCTATTGTAGTAGTATTTCTGGATTGTACTATACTCACAGGGTACTATTAGTCTGTACTGTGTGATATACCTACCGATCTCAGCCGATTTCCTCGTGCTCAGTAAATGCCGCGAACTAGTAACATTTTCTCGGTACAGATTTGGCGACACCGATCTTTAGTGAGGGACACAATTGACACTCACTAAATATCAATATAGAAAGAAACAAAGACAAAGATTCCGATTCTAACATTGTAGAAGATCCCAATATGGTATCTGCCTTGTATATACTACATTGGCCCGAATCGGATCTGAGAACTCTGCATAGCGAATTATTACTACAACGAAGGTATCATAATGATATACCGAATGATAATTTAGTCCTAATGGGATTCGATACCATATATACTCAATTACCCAGTCATGAAAGAGGACCCTTTTTAAATTTACGAGGAATTAATTATATATATATTAGAGGTAATAATGATATCATTCTATTAGCAGTTACTCCTAAAAACATTAATGCAATGCTGATAATAGTTTTCCTTAAACGATTTTATGATGTACTATATAATTATTTATGTACAATTCATCATCATAATGATCATAGTTCAGATGAATTTATTAATACAAAATTAGATAAGGATAAAATTCTTGATAATGTTAATTTAATATTTGAATTACTTGATGAATGTTTGGATTTTGGAATTATTCAAATAACTGATTATAATATTTTAAAGGAATTCATTAAAGTTGAAGCTAATTTACCAAAATTAGCTAGTGGACAAAATGGTGATATTAGTGATGAAGAAGATTCAAATTTTGTATCTGATGGTAAATCCAAATCTCTGTCCCTGGGTAAATCTTCAAATACTAAGGCAAAGAATATTACTTCTACACATAATCAAGCCATTAGAACAGATGTAATTGATCAAGATTCTTCATATGTAAATAGTTCAATTTTAAGAACATATTCACTGGCAATTAATTGGAGACCAAAGGGGATATTTTATCCGAAAAATGAAGTATATATCGATGTAATTGAGAATTGCGAATTCTTATATGATTTAGAGGAAGGAGTTATTAGAAGAAATGTAATTCATGGAATAATTGAAGTAAAATCTTATTTATCAGGTATGCCAGTTTGTAAATTGGGATTTAATGAAAAGAACATGTCCAGAATAGAAAATGATGATTTATATGTAGCCGAAGCACATCATGAAGAAATCCCTGAAAATCAATTGAAACAAGAAGAGGATGATGAAGATGATGAAGATGATGAAGATGATTTAGGGAATGGACCTGAAGATCATAAAGATGAATCAGTACGATTAGTTGAGGATACAAAAACCTCAGTAGATGATAATAATGTGAATGAAACTCCAGAAGGATCTGAAAAACGATTCCATATACCCTTACGAGATATTCAATTTCATCAATGCATAGAATTGGCCACTGTATATCGAGATAATATAGTAACATTTATCCCACCTGATGATAAATTTACGCTCATGACATATCATGTTGAGCAACAAAAACAAAAGAGGAAGTTACCTTTAATAATGATAAAACCAATATATAAGATTTATCCTGAATCTAATAAGGTTCAAGTACTTTGTGTATTGAGTACTAATTTCAAAAGGCGACTTCATTGTCGAAATTTGACTATACGAATTCCTATTAACCCTCATATATTTAATGTGAATACTGAGTTAAAGGGTGATTCATTAAAATTTAAGGCAGAATTAGGTGAAGTCAATTTTAAAATTGATACATCTGAATTATGCTGGACTATTGATAATGTAAATGGGAAGAAATGTGTACGAATGATGGCAGAGATAGCATTAATTGATGGTAAGAACATTACATTGGACATTATAGATAAGTATCTTCATAATAAGCAAATCGGAGATTCTGAAAAATCCAGAGGAAATAGTAAAATAGAGGCGGATCAAGCAGATGATGATGATGAAGATGATGATGAAGAAGAAGAAGAAGAGAAATATAACGAAACTATTAGCGAATTAGATAGATTTTATGGAGTGCATGGACAATCATCAACTATTCTGAATGAAATAAAGAGGATTTCCAAATTAAGATATGACTACAATGAAATTCAACTAAGTTTCAATCTTCCTCTGTTAACTTATTCTGGTTTGAAACTAATTTATTTAAGTATTCAAGAAGATCAATTACACTACACATGTTTCCCGTGGATAAGGTATATGACCAAATCGCAAAGGAAACAGACAGATAAGCATAATACTACTAGTAATACAAGTAGTGATAAAGATAATAATAATAATAATATTAATTATAATAATAATAATAACAATAATAAGAAAGGGGCCGTTACAGGCAAACAGGGTCATAATAGTAAAGAGTTGTATACCAATAATAACAATTCTGGTGATATTTCTAGTACCGATAATAATATTCAAAAGCAAGAAGACTATCGATTTAGATTAGGTAAAAGTTGTTTCCAACTAGTAAATAGTTAATAAGTTAACCATATGGACCCCGACTTTATTAAATAAATATAATTAATATAATTAATATAATTATTAATAAAAAGTACTATTAAAGATAAATACTTATTTGTAAATTTAATGGCCGCCTCGGGATAATCTTTCCCGATTGGGAAATGCCTCCCTATAGGGGTAGGGGTAGCGGTAGACGGCGGATTAATTTTAAATTTAATGTAAAATGATGGCCGTAGATGCAGGATGCAACCTACTAACAATTTTCTTTTTTTATTTAGCGGCTCTTATCTTATCATTTTATTTTTCAGACATTGTTGGAGAATGCATTATATGGAGGAAAAGTCCACTAAGAATGGGAAGCCAGTTTTATAGGAGTCGCTAATAGTTTTATATATATGGAATATTTTGCTGTTATTGGATGATATGAACTTTGAAGTATACAATAATCACACCATTTTTTTAACTTAAAACTTCCTGTTTCAGTATTAGTTAAAAGGGTTCCATTAAACCTTTGGAGCGGAAAAATGTCTCCTACCAAGAATGGGTTAGATACTACCAGTATCAATAATACTACTGCTACTACTAATACTACTTCTAATAACAATAATAATACTAATAGTAATAATAATAAACAAAATGATTCTACTAAACAAAAAATAACCAAATCAAGAAATGGGTGTCTAACTTGTAAGAAGAAACGTCTTAAGTGTGATGAAACAAAGCCCGAATGTCTCAATTGTCAAAAGAAGAATATCGAATGTGGAGGTTATGCCACTAATTTTAAATGGAGATCATTTAATGATTCATCAAATGATTTTCAAAGTGTTATAATGGCTCCAACTCCGGGTTCTACTACCAGTAGTAGTCATAGTACCAATCTTTCATTATCAATTTCCAATACCAGTATTAATTCTCTGGGTTCTCCTCCTAATCAAGTATATACTAGTCCTGAAGATGAGAAACTACCTTTTACTAAGAAGAGAAGAGTCTCAGATGTAAGTAGTAATAAATCAAGTAATGATTCTTTCAGAAGACATCTTGAATTGGCATCCTTATCAGTCACAGGGAAGTCAATTAAGGATATAAAGATTGAAAATGATTTGATATCTAAAGGGTTGAATCCTCAAAGTTATAAACGTAGAAATACTCATTCACATTCCAATCTCAATTCCAATTCCAATTCTAATTCTAATAGTAACATATCTGTAAAAAGTACTCAAACAAGTGTAACATTAAAGAGAAGTAATAGTGAAGCAAAGATAAAACTAGAACATAATAATAATAATAATTCTAATATTAATGGATCTAATTTACAAAGATCTTATAGTCATAATAGTGGTATACCTCCCGAAGTATTCACCATAAGAGAAGAAGCAAAAGGAAATCGACTTGAATCTTTAGCGGATGTGGCAGTCGATGAAATAAAAAGATCACCTTCTGTTTCAGGTAAGGAATTATATATTCGAAATACGAATAATTTAAGTCCATTTCCTCAAGCTTTTTCACCCAATTTTACCGACTTTATGAGATCCACTGTCGGAGATGATAATTTTTCAAAGGATAATAAATTTAAAGAAAACTCCTTAGAATCCTTTGATATCAACTTAACTCCTTCCCTTTCAGCTATTATTAATTTTGCAGTTAATATGGAAGACAATACTGGTATAGATTCAAAAGTAAAGTTTTCCTTAGAAAGTCCTTTAAGTCCTATGAATTTGAGTAATCCCCAACAAATAGAGTCCCATAACAATATATACACCAACAACAACAACAGCAACAGCAACAATCATAGTGACAATATTAATAGCAATGGATCTGATGCTAGTCTTGCTAGTCCTGAACATCCTGACTCCGCTAATCGTAGAAGAAGTGAAATCTCAGAACCTACATCATTATCTTCCATGACTGGGGAGTATGATACATTTGGAAAATTATCCATGTTGAGTAGTGGAGAAACACCAGTTTCAATACAAACTCCTATACCTACAAGTATGTCACATCGTTCATTAATAAAAACTTCAGAACAAGAACAAATTCTTCTTTTATATTCTGAATACACTTGTTCTATTATGTCTATTAAAAATGGAGCCCAAGAGAATCCCTGGAGGAAAATGATTATACCATTATCATCGAAATATCCATGTCTTTTTAATTCAATTGCATGTATGACCCTATTTCATTTGGCAGGTAATACTCAATTCACTTGTACAATTGGTGATTTACGATCTAAAGGTTATGCATATATGAAACGATGTATTTTAGAATTAGCTAGTGGATTAACTAGAATGAATAGTAGTGATGCAGAATCTGCTTATGAATTACCAGCTGATATTGCTTTAATAACTTGTTTGAATTTAGCTGTTAGTGAATCTTGGAATACTCATATCACTAGTGGGATTGCTCATTTAAAGGGAGCTAAATCAATGATTCAAAAAGTCTTGACTTTATTAAAAGATCAACAAAATAGTATCAATAAGAAAAAGCAAGAAATTATTAATTCTCCTACCCCTATAGACGGAGACTTTGCTTATCTGGAATTTATGAAATCCAAATTACTTGATTTAAAAAGGAAATTAGTGATTGTAGAGGATTCAGAGTGGAAATCAATGTTTAATGATAAAAGTGATATATCTGGTAATAATGGAGATAAACAAATCGAGAAGACTATCCCAATTCCTCAAACTTTACAGTTTTTATTTAATAACTGGATCTATTTTGAGGTGTTAGCTCAGATGACAACTGATACAAATTATGATGATAAGGGAATTGATTTGGTTGCTACTATAACCACAATGTTGCAATCGGCTCAAGCTCAAAAGCAGAGAGATCAAGAGACCAATAAACAGCAACATCATCTGCAACAGCAGCAACAACAGCAACAGCAACAACAGCAACAGCAACAACAGCAACAGCAACAACAGCTCCAAGATAATGGTGATCTTCAAAGTGAAGCCGGAGCCAGTGTTAAATCTGACTCAACTGAGCTGAGTTTTGGTGCTAGCTCTAATGGAGCTGGTTTTACTTTCTTTGATAACTTTGATAGTTTCAGTTATAGTACTGATTATGTGGATCCATTATTGGGTTGTGCACAATCTCTCTTTCTGATTATGGGGAAAGTTGCTAACTTAATTGCTAAGGTTAGAAAAATCAAACGTAGTGAAAAGTTTAAAGGTAATAGTAGAAATTCATTAACTACAATTACATTGGCTACTGAATTAAAGAGACAATTAATTGAATGGAAACCTACTATTACTGCCGAGATGGTTAATCAAGCAGGAATGTATGAAGATAATAATAATTGTAGTAAGTGGGATATACCATCATGTATAGCCACTGCCGAAGCTTATAGATTTGCTACATTATTATATTTACATCAAGCTGTACCAGAAATCCCATCAAGTGGATCTCATCAATTGGCTGAAAAGATATTTATATTATTAGCTTCTATTCCTACTAATTCAGATTTACATACTATTCTTATCTTTCCATTATTAGTAGGATCATGTGAAGCTGAACCTGGTGAAGAAAGAGAATGGTGTGAAGATAGATGGGCATTATTATCACAAAAATTATGGATTGGGAATATAGATAGAGCATTTGAAGTTGTTAAAGAAGTTTGGAAGCGTAAGAATGAGTATATAAGAAAAATGAAACAAGAAAGTAGAAGCCATTCAGGTACTAAACAAACTGAAGATGAAGATTCCTTAAGAAATATATCTGTACAAATTAGTGGATTAATGGCTGTGATTAATAATGACCAAAATTCTACATCTATTGATGATATTAAGGGAGGCATTACATCAAGATTACATTGGAGTAGTGTCATGAAAGAATGGGGATGGGAAGTTTTATTGGGTTAATCATTCTCTCCCTCCCTTGTATATAATTTATATGTATATATCTATATAAATATTAGAATGTATTGAAAATTATATCCGTCATTAAATTCTCACTATAAACTTGACGATAAGACTAGTTCGCATTCGGATCAGTTTAATGCGCTATCAGAGTTTGATATTTTTGTATGGGCAGATTTAAGGGTGAGGGATATCATCAGATGATTTTATTTCCAATAACAAATTTGTAGATGTTATTCTTCATATAGATTAGGGTAGGTAGTATGAGTAAAGTTCAAAGAGTAAACATTTCTAATAGTTGTAGATTAATTAAGAGACAATTGTCATCAGTGTCTTCCCAAAGTCCATTAATGTCGAATCCATTTTCCATTGAGAATACTCACAAGATAAGAGAATCATCATCCAAATTCAATAAGCCTAACTTTATATCATTTGATGCATTTGATACTTTGTATACTCCTAAGGAGCCAGTTCCATTACAATATCATAAGATAGCATATGAACAATTTGGAATTGATAAACCTCTAGCAAGTATAGAACAAGAATTTCCTAATATTTACAAGCAATTATTAAAAGAATTTCCTAATTATGGGAAATCTAGTCAAGAAATCGTTAGCACTGCCGATTGGTGGCTGGAATTAATAATTCGATTATTTAATCTTAAAAGAGGAGATGAAATTACTCAAACCATTTGTAACCGATTACTTGATCATTTTTCCGGTCCGGAAGCTTATAAAGTTTATCAAGATGTAATTCCGACACTAACAAAGTTAAACTTATTAGGTATAAAGTTAGTTATATCTAGTAATTCAGATGAAAGAATTAGACAAGTTTTAGAGTCATTGGGATTAATGAAATTTTTCAGTAAAGATGATATTTATTTATCATATGAGTTAGAAACAGGTAAACCTGCTAAACAATTTTTTGATAAAGTTAGTACTACAGTTCATTATGATATTAAAGGAGAAACTTTTAAGACTGATAAACTTAAAGCGGAATATTTAGAAGATTGTTGGCATATTGGAGATAATTATACCGAAGACTTTCTAGGGGCTGTACGTTCAGGATGGAATGGTATCTTATTGGATAGAGAATATAAAAGTCCATTCTTTGCCTCAACAAACAAGAACCACAAGCCATATTATGATGGATGTTTTACCGAAAAATCCATAGAGGATACTACAAGAAATGATGATTTTTCTATCATAGCCAATAATAGAGTAGTTATAACTCGAATGAGCCAATTGTTAGAACTATTTGAGTTTAATCCAAGCCAATAATCTATAGCGTGACCTATTTATAGATATGTACTTGGCCATTGATGATATCATAGTTTTTAAATTTAAGGCTTGGTCGTGGCTAAATTACTATGTTTTTTTCGCGTACTTCGCACTAGAAACTTGGTGGCCCTGTCTTATAGTATTCGTATAACACAGTACAGTACTTCTACTTAAGTATTATTAATTTACTATTAGTTGACTCTCATTATAATACTGATTTATTACTAGTTCTCTTCGAAATGAATATTTCTGGTGAAAGGCATAATTCCAAATCATAAAGAGCAGCATCACCTCTCATCGTTCTCCAGGCACAGGGTGCTGTTCCGTGCAGGAACCATCTAATTTTTAATTTTTAATTTATTATATTATTATTTAGTTTCTTTTGTTTTTTCTGTGTCCTAAAAAAAGAACCCGACAAAAACAACACACATTTAAACCCACGACAATTCCATACATTATTATTGGAAAGGGGTTACGTTACACTTTAACAGTCGATAACACTGCAAACCACATATATATCAAAGTATAAGTCACAGTTCATTGTTGACTACTTAAACAAGACATCTGCACTCCCATTGCTATACGTTCGTTAAAACTCCGTACACGACATAAATTCCTTTACGTCACATCGCTTCGCCTTGACCTGGATCAATCAATAAAAAAAAAAGGTCAGAATACGAGGAAAGGAAAGGAAAGGAAAGTAAAACCATTACACTGATATTTTTACACACCCTATAATATTGTACAAGTGTCTGTCTGGTAAATAACTACCAACTCAACTTAAAGATATTCATTCAATGCTTAATATAATAGTGGTAGTAGGTTACCTATTACTACAATTAGTAACCGTTGTTAATGGATTACAATTAACAAGTACTACTGATAAAGATTCCATTTGTAATGTAGCCAAATATATTGCTAATGGTGAATTAAATTATTACGAAGGTCTTAAATATGGTGGTGTTGTAGGAATGTTTGCTCCACCAAATTATTGGTGGAATGCTGGTGAAGCATTTGGTGGATTATTAGATTATTTTACATTCTGTGAACCAACTAATGATACTTTAAAAGAATTAATTTTTGATGGTATGTATCATCAAGCTGGTGCTGGTTATAATTATATACCTTCAAATCAATCAATGACTGAAGGTAATGATGATCAAGGTGTTTGGGGTATGGCTATTATGCAAGCTGTAGAAAGAAATTTTACTGATCCACCTGAACATAGTTGGTTATCTATGACTCAAGCTGTTTATAATACTATGAATTCAAGATGGGATACTTCTTATTGTGATGGTGGTTTAAGATGGCAAATTTTTACTTGGAATTCTGGTTATGATTATAAGAATTCTATTGCTAATGGATGTTTATTCCATCTTGCTGCAAGATTAGCTAGATATCTTGGTAATGATACTTATGTAGAAACTGCTGAAAAAGTTTGGGATTGGATGTATGGAGTTGGATTTATGGTTCATACACAGCAAGGATTTGTACTTTATGATGGTGCTGATATCTCAACTAATTGTACTGATATAACCAAATATCAATGGTCTTATACTTATGGTATTATGATGGCAGGTTGTGCTTATTTATATGATTTTACTAATGATGATATTTGGTTAGAGAGAACTCAAGAATTGGTTGATACTTCAAATTTCTTCTTTAATAACAGTATTATGACTGAAATGCAATGTGCTCCAAGTAATAAATGTAATAACGATCAAAGATCTTTCCGTTCATTATTTGCAAGATGTTTAGGGTTAACCAATGTATTGGTTAATTCTACAGATATCACTTCACAAATTGAACATTGGCTTGATGTAAGTTCTGTTGCGGCTGCTCAATCATGTTCTGGTGGTAGTGATGGAGTTACTTGTGGATTTAATTGGTCTGTTCAGGGTTGGGATGGAGTTTATGGTTTAGGAGAACAACAATCAGCATTAGAAACTGTATTATCACTTTTAACTGAAATGCCATTGTCTGCTAAAACCGGTGGTGTATCTCAAAGTGAAGTTAATGCAGGTTTGAATACACAAGACACTATAAATAGAAATGTCATTTCAATTTCAACTAAAGATAAAGCAGGTGCTGGTGTATTAACTGCAGTTGTATTAGCAATTATATTGGCTGGTGGTGTTTGGATGATACTATAGTTTGCCTTATACTATAACTTTAAAAATTTTCATATTTATTATCTGCTTTTACTTAGTTACTTGAGTACTTTCTTCTTGTCTCTCTATAATTAACAGTACTTGTCATAAACTTCTTATGTATGTCATTATATTATTATTATTATTATTAAAGTGTGTCTGTCTGTCTCTCTGTCTGTCTGTCTCTCTGTCTGTCTGTCTCTCTGTCTGTCTGTCTCTCTTTCTATAAGCGCGCTTAATACCAAAATGGAAATAAGCCTGACAAAAAAATTAAGCATCTCATTTTTCAATTTATTACTATCTTCGTTACTATAGATAAGCTCTAATTAGTATAGAAATTGGTAATAATGGTGTTATTTCCAACTATTAACAAGTTTGCCAATCCAAACAATCCTACCGGTATACCCGGAGGGAAAAGAAGAAGATTATTTATACCTCCATCCACTAAATATCCATTATTCTTATATGGAGAAGGTGATGATCAACGATCATTTTTATCATTAATAGAAACAAGTTCAAGTGTAGCAGATGATGAAGATATAAGTGATGCTGCTAGTGTTAGTACATCACGATCTTTACCGTCGACTTTGAATTCAGTTCAAAATAATGATGATCAAGAATCTTTCCATAGTTGGCTACTAGAAGAACATCAAAGAAGATATCTGGCATTATCTGATGATGAAGATGATGAAACTCATAATCGTCATCATAATCATAATCATCATCAAGCTCCTGAAGCTTATGAAGATGGACGAAAGAAAAAACGTCGTCATAGTTTTGAAAGACGTATGTCTTCTGGTGGTTCATTATTATCATCATTACTTGAAGAAGATCATGAAGATTTTGCAACTATTAAGACAACTTATACTAAAGAATTTAAAACAATTGGTAGATATTCCTTACCATTGGTTATAACCTTTTTATTAGAACATTTCTTTTCAATTGTTTCATTATTGGTGGTTGGACATTTAGGTAAAAATGAATTAGCTGCAGTATCATTAGGTACTATGACATCTACTATAACATTTGCAATATTTGAAGGAATTGCAACTTCTTTAGATACTTTATGTCCTCAAGCATATGGTGCAGGAAATTATGAATTAATGAGTATTTATGTTCAAAGATGTATAATGTTTTCCCTTGTTGTATATATTCCTTGTGGATTATTTTGGTGGAATTCTTCATTAGTTTTAAAATATGTTATAGAAAGTGAAAAAGTTATAAAATTAACTAATGACTTTTTAAGAACTTTATGTTTTGGAGCTCCTGCTTATATCTTTTTTGAAAATAGTAAACGATTTTTACAAGCTCAAGGTATATTTGAAGCTGGAACAGGAATTTTATTTATTAGTGCTCCAATAAATATTTTCTTATCATACTTCTTAGTATGGAATCCAACTTATGGAATTGGATTTGTTGGAGCTCCAATTGCTGCTGTTGTTAATTTTTGGACCATGAGTATACTTTTTATATTATATGTTAAATATATTGATGGGAATAAATGTTGGTTTGGGGTAGCTAAGACTAAAGATATCTTTCAACAATGGGGTCAATTATCTCATTTAGCAATTCCTGGGATTGTTATGTTAGAATCTGAATATTTAGCCTATGAAATCATGACATTATTTGCATCTTATTTTGGAACAACTGAATTAGCTGCTCAAAGTACTGTTAGTAGTATTGCATCATTAGCTTATATGATACCATTTTCTGTTGGAATTGCTTCATCAACTAGAATAGCTAATTTTATTGGAGGACAAAATATTGAAGGTGGTATTAAAGCTACAAGAGTTGCATTAGTATTAGCATTATGTGTTGCATTATTTAATTGTATTACATTATTTACATTTAAACATCAACTTGCCCGATTATTTTCTCAAGATCAAGATGTTATAGATTTAGTGGTGAAATTATTTAATCCATTAGTTTCAATTATTCAAATTTTTGATGGAATTGCATGTGTAGCCAGTGGTATTTTAAGAGCTCAAGGATCTCAAAAGATTGGAGGAATTATTAATTTTGTTGTTTATTATGCATTTGCATTACCATTTGCATTGTTATTAAGTAAAGTTGGTGGACTTAAATTGATTGGTTTATGGATTGGTATAGGTAGTGGAATGATTTTGATTGGATTTAGTGAAAGTATGGTGATTTTGTTTAGTGATTGGGAACAAATCATTGTTCGAGCAGGATTATTAAATGAATTTGGTGATGATGATGAAGATGATGATCTTATAGGTTAATAGTAATAGGATAATAATAATAGATTCTTAGATAATTTGCGAAAAGTAGAAAAAATGGGTGCAAAAACGAACACTAAAAAGAAGTAGAACAAACAAAGAAAAAGACATGTTATACATAGTGCTTGTTGTAGATGACTATGTCATTGGAGCATAGTGTTTAGTGGTAATCCACTTGTGTCACAATATACAGTAATAGATGTGACACATTAACCGAGTACTTATTCTTCACTGTATATAGTGCTATATTACCATAATCACAACAATCAACATAAACATAATGATTATACTGTGAATCATCCATACTATGTCTTTATATTATAATTGTCTACATAAAAATGCATTCGATAGAGAATATCTACGAATATCCATGAATATCTATGATCCGTGAATACCTAACAGTCTCTATGAATACCTATGAATTTCTATCAATTTCTATCACTATCTATCAATACCTAACAATATCTTTAACTATGGAGGCTCCTAACCTGTAAAACACAACCTGCAAAACAGCACCAACTTTTTTGTTTTTCTGATGAAATGTTCAACGCGACGAAATGGATTAACAAATAAGTACAACAAGACCTCACAACTTAACTGTGGTATTTGTTTTTCTGGTTCTCGTGATACATTTACTTAGTGAATTAATTGGAAAAAAATGGTTAAGACAGAGTCAACAAACTCGAGCGGTATCGAAGGTATGTGTGGAACTTTTTTAGTATGAATCGTTAAGGTCTATGTGAAACAAGGGATATTTCCATTGCCATATACATTAATAGAGACATAGACATAGACATAGACATAGACATGAACATTATTATTGATATATGATACTAACTATTTATTCTAGATTACTTCCCCAAATTATTACCCGATTTATTCAATGTATACCAACTGGCAGATAAAGAAACTCAAATTCTTAATACGGTTGAACTTCCTAAAGATTTTTATGAAGGAGATGCATCATTAATTATTTCATCTTATCATGAATATCTTAAGAATCATAAATCAATTAAGTATACAAGTATAATTGAAAAATTTAATAATAATGATCCTGATTATATTACTTCTCCTTATAGACTATATCATGATATTAAAATTATATCAGCCATTAAGATTAGTAAATATTCTTTAGGTACTAAACCATATAATGATATTGATTTCTTTTATAAATTCACTACAGAATTATTATTAAGAGAATTAAGTAAATATAATTTTGAATTAGATCAACCAACCGAATATCATAAATCAGAGTTAGAATCTCAATTAAGCGAAGATTTCTCAAAAATATTAACTACTTATAATTTAAATAATGGTGAAATAATTACTTATATTTCTAAAACTGAAGAACCAGAACCTCAATCAACTTTTGCACCTTATTATAATCAAAATCAAAATCAACAACCTACAAAGACAACCATTCAACCATTATTTTCATCTTTAATTAATAGATCTGAATTAGATACAAATGTTCCTGTAGTTCCTGAACATTATTCTATTTCAAAAGTTGTTCCAACTAATAAAGATTCAGTTAGAAATATTTCAACTTTAGATGGATTATCTGCTGTTAATACTAAAATACCTACACCTTTAGATCTGCAATCTACTGAAATTTTAAGTGATTTCTTTCATCCAATATGGTATACTTTACCAGTACCAACTTGGCTTAATTATACATCTCATGTTGCTAAACCACCAAGTCTGTTAACATCCCAACATACATCATTTAAAGTTCATGCACCATCAGCATCTAATCAAGCATCTGGATCAAATGAAAACCCCAAATTAAGTATCCTTCAAAATAGAGGACTGAATTCTGATAATACATCAACTACAGTTACTTATGTAAGTACTACTGGAGATAGTTTTAGAAGTTTTGCTCCTCAAGTTGATCTGAAAGATACAATAATTTCCGATGAATTCAAAGGAAAGATATGGTTAAGTCATATTGGTTATGAACAAATACAATTGATTAAAGAAAAATTTTTAAATTCAAAGAAAGAAGATGACATAGATGAAGATGAAGAAGATGATGAAGAAGATGAGGATGACGAAGATGAAGAACCTGAAGATCTGGTTGAAGATATTGAAGTTGATGTTGATGAAGATGGTGAACAAGTTAAAGTAGTACCAGAAACTATAGAAGAAGTAGAAAGTGAAAGTGTTCCTAAACAAATTAATATTGCTAATCTTATAAATTGGGATCCAGAAAGACAAGCAGAATTTGATTCTATTAAAAAGGCTAAAGAAGATATAATAAAGTCTCCCAAGGCCTTACAAAGAATCATATCAACCACTTTATTAAGATTGAATAAGTTAAGACAAGAAAGATATTTTTCAAGTGATAATAGAAATGTTTTAGCTCCAAGTAATGAAGAAATTAGACTTTATAATAAAGCCATTAAATTAATAAGTCTAGGAGTTCAAATTTATAAACTTAAACCTCAAGATTTAACAAGTAAGTTGAGCTTTAGTTCAAAGATTCCTGTATTAATTTCTGAATATAATGGAGTTTTACCAGGAGTTCCTCCTACTAGACTTGGAACTGGAACTATTAGTAATGTAAGTAAGAGTTCATCATCTAATAGATTACCCAATTTAAGAACTAATACTTATAAGAAAAAGAGATATTAGTACTTGTGTTATGTATTATAAGAATTAAATTAAATTAAATTAAATGTATAAATGTAAATTAATATATTCTAGATATCTGCCCCCTTGGCAAATGCAATAATTAAATATATGTTTAAAAATGTAATAATTAACCAGGTTAAAATACTAGCTATTCTTAAAAATAAACCATTTTCAAAGGTAACCTTTTTAACTGTTAATCCTTGATCAATAGGTGTTTGACCAGAACTATTTAATAATAAAGTAGTTTCATCATTATTAGATACTAATTCAGATGCATCATAAACTGTCATATACTTTTTAGAACAAGTAAACCATATTAATGGAGCACTTACAATTGGTAAGATAAAACTTAAAACAACTTGAGAAGAATTCATAATTTTAGATACCCCTTCTCTTCCTAATACACTAATTACAATAATAACTGGTACAATAGCTAAAGTTCTTGTAACTACTCTTCTAATCCAAGGTTTTAAAGCCCAATTTATAAATCCTTCACTAATAATTTGTCCTGCCATTGTACAAACTATACCAGCACTTTGACCAGAAAATAACATTGATAAAGCAAATAATAATCCAGCAACTGGTGATATATAATATGATAACATTTCATAAATTGATAATAAATCTGCATCGGCAGCATCTGGTTTTCCAAATAAGGTTGTACCAGCCACAATTAAAATAGATGAATTAACAAATACTGCTATAAGAAATAATGATATAACTAATTCAGCATAAGAATAATTTAAACAATATTTAATTGCAGCATATGATGGTCTATATTTATTTAATAATTTAGATCCATCAGAAATACTCTTAATCTTTTGAAGTGTATAAGTTAATACTTCTGTATCGTGATTATTATTAATATCTTCATCAGAATTAATAGATATATTGTCATCATTAATAATAGTTGGTTCATTTTCATTTTCATCTTCTTCATCTTCATCTTGTACATGTTCATCTACAATTCCATGTTTAATATCATAATCTTTTAATCTAGCTTGAACCAACGCTGAACCCAAAAATAATGAATGTGGCATTACAGTACTACCCACAATACCACAACTCAAAAATAATGCAGTTGGCTCTTTAAAGATTTCTCTATTGATTGGTAAAAATCCTTTAATAATTTCAATAACTGCACCCTTTTCAAAATGACACTTGAATAGTTCAAGTATGAAACAAATACAAGTTCCAAACACTAAGACTGCCACCATATTTTCAAAGAATTTAGTTTGTTTCATTGATCCATCCTTTTTATAAGCCATTAATATAATAAGTACATCTAATACTGTTATTAAGACTCCATAAATAAGTGGGATTCCAAATAAAATTTCAAGAGCTATGGCTGTACCGACCACTTCAGCTAAATCTGTTGCAATAATTGCTAATTCTGCACATATATATAACATAAGATTTAAATGAAATGGTAAATGAGCTCGACACATTTCTGCTAAATCTAATCCTGTAACAGTACCTAATTTAACACATAAAGCTTGTAATATTACAGCAAATAAATTTGACATAAATATAATGAAACATAATTTATATTGATACATTGCACCTGAAGAAACAGATGTCAGATAATTCCCAGGATCCATATAACTTACACTAACAACAAGTCCTGGTCCTACAAAAGTGTAGTACTTCTTGAGGATCCTTATAGATCTTTGAATAAATGCATTATTTAATATAGACATGATACCTAAATTCAACTATCTCTAAGGAACTTCAAGCATAAATCAATAAATTACAGTGTGTAGAAAGTTATAGTCAATTTAATGTTACCTCCACGTCTTCTCCAGAATTTATTCAGCTTGCTCGCTTCGTATACACTATTTTTTTTTTCTTTATCAAAACCATCAGTCCATAAGTCACGACAGAAATTGGATAGAAATTAGTCAGAAACTCGTTTAGATTTTTAGGATTCATTTTGTATTATTAATAAAGTATATGTCATTGCATTACTAATCATAGTTAATGTTAATGTTAAGTTAAGTAAAAGTAATTACTAAGAAATAGCTGTATATTTACATATAAATATATTGGAATGGTGTGCACATAAGCTCGATATTTTACCAATCGTATACCATACAATTTTTCAGACAGACATTAAACAACAAAAAAGTTGCAACCGACAGACACAAGGTAAAACACATACATATTGCATATTGTAAAACTACAAGACATGAGATCCAGTCGTTCAACCATACGACATGTTTGTGGACAACTTGGACAATGGAAGCAATGGCATAGGGGTCAAATAAGAATAGTTAGTGCGCGTCATAATAGCACCATAAATATTCAACCAATTAACGTAAATACCACCATTGTTAAGGATAAAGTTGAAGAATTCAAATCAGTAACATCACTTTTGAATTCGTACGTGAGTATTTTCCCTCGTGAAGATATTATAAACTCTAAGATCCTCGAATACAAGTCGGTTAAACAGCAAGAATTCTCAGTTCAAACCATTAATGTAGGGGTCATATATAATGAGGATAATAAATCTTCAAAAATCATAGAAACATTACTTGCTGATCCATTATCAAGTAATAATAAATTTTGGTTGGATGCTATAGAACAAAGAAATCGACAGAAAACCAATAGATTTAAATATGGAGCCATATTTGAAAAAGTTGAAGAAGTCGATTATGATACTTTCTATATACCGTCACCAGTCCTTAGTGCTGAATATAGACAAACTTTTCAAATGTCTAATACGGTGAAAAATGATATACAATTAGTGGAATTTGCATCTACTTCATTCACTTCTACAAAAGATATCCATTTTTACATAAATGTTACTAATGATTTTTCCATTTCATTAAAGAAAACCCTTCCAATTCATGATAAAATATTAATTACTGTAGTAGATAATACAGAATATACTCCATCATCTACTGAATCAACTCCAGTAACCATTAGTGATATAGCATCTCATCATATCCTTAAATTGAATTCGACTATTCTCTTCAAAGGTATTGAAGAATTTTTAATTCATGATACAGAGGCAGCTTCGATATATTTGGATTCACTTAAGAATAGTAATATATATGAATTATTGAAAGTACTTGAACAATACACTGAATCTCAAAGTTTACTTAAATGGCTATATTCTGATATCGTTAAATCTATTGATGAATCAATAGTAGAACCTAATCAAATTGTTAAAATCAGGGAGACATCCACTAAAGATATCAATCAATTTGCTGATTCAGTACATAATGAACTTCAGCATGAATTTATACCATCAACAGAAAGATTCTTTAGAAGGAAATTGTCTTGGTGGAAGTTATACCTAAAGAATGACAACATAGAATATGAAATAAAGGACTTTTTCAATAAGAACTTTATGAATAAAAGTATAGAGAAATATAATTATCTCAATGGACAGATTGATTCTAAATTTAATGAAGTTCATAATGTTACAAAGAATCCATTACTCAGTCTAAAGAATAATATTATAAATGAAAGAATTGCCAATGAAATTCAACCTATTGTGTATAGGGCCATAGTTACATCTTTGTTAGTACATCAGATACCAATATCAATAATATCATTCCTAAGTTATTACTATTTTGAATTTTCTGCTAATTCTGCTATTGCATTAGCCTTATTAGGTTGGATAATCGGATTTAATAATGTATCAAAGACATGGGTATCATTCAGCAAGAAATGGCTTAATGAATTGTTTGAAGAGATAAGACTTTGTATTAGTCAAAAATGTATTGACAAGGGATTAGCTAGAGAAATTAATCAATTATATACTACCGAAATGAAGAGATCTGAAATTAAGAGTGAAATTTTAAAAGGATTGAATGAGTTAAACAAATAGTAAAAGAATATACAAGTCTATAAATAAATAAATGAATAAATAAATAAATAAATAAATAATAAATATATTAACTTATACCCATAATAAACTATAAATACTAACTAACCTTATAAAGATGGAGGAGCAGGAGACGAACTTCTCTTAGTTTGCAATTTCTGTTCTAATCTATCAAACTCTTTTAATGCAATTTCTTCTTCTGGATCTAAAATTTGTACCACTTCTTGAATTTCTTCTATATAATGCATTAACATAGATTCTATACCATGTTTTAAAGTATTTTCACTTTCATTACATGATTTACATGCTCCTTGTAATTTTAAAAAGACAGTACCAGTTTCTTCATCAAATGCCTTATATTCAATATCACCACCATCATCTTGAATTGCAGGCCTTATTCTTGTTTCAATTAATTCCTTTATCATTGATACTAATTCAGAATCATCTTCAGCATTCGATTCTTCAGATTTTTCAATTAATTCTTTAGTAATTACTGGTTCCTTCTTTGATTCTAAAAAATCATTTAATACTTCAACCACTTCTGGTCTTAAATTAGCCCAATTAATATGATCTTGCTTATTCACCGTTAAAAAATCTGGTCCCAACATAACAGATCTAACTCCAGGGATTCTAAATATCTTTAATGCTAATGGTGAATGAACTGATTGTAATGATGATGTGAATTCAAATGTTTTCCCATCAATGGGTACAATTCTACATTGTGGAGATATAAATTTTAATGCATTTTCATTTGGGGTAGGTAATGTCTTAAATGTAAGGAATCTTCTTGCGATGCTCCATGAAGGACTGTATCTATTAATTTGTTTACTTAAACCAATAAATGACATTATGGTTCTATGTGTTTGACTATATGTTTTAGTTTTAGTGGTATTAAATATTAAATATTAAATACTTTGATTTATAATATATATTTATATACCAGTATGCTTGTATATAGCAGATCACGATAAGAGATGAATATGTGACATGCTCAAATTCGGAGTCGGAACCGAACAATTCTGTACTGGGGGGAGGACTGCTTACAAATTTTTATAATATTATTGGTGAATGACATGTCATGTGCCTAGAAGTCACATGGCAGTGCATGTGACTTTTTCTACACCAATATAACCTATCGAATTGCTGCGAATTAAGATAATAATTATCAAGCCATAGATCCTTGTTAGTAATGACCCTATATTCTAATCATCTAGTACTACCAGTCGGTATTATTTTGAAAAACAAAGGTTAGCCTTATTCAACCAACAGAGATATAAGCAAATTGTAGAGTAATTTTTATGGCTGTTTAATCTAATAAAAGGATCATAGCACATACAATGAACTGCTAATTTATTCATTGAGTTCAATGAAGAAAACCACAGAGATCAGAAGTGTTTCAGAAACATGAACATTTCCGTAGCTTGAAATGAAAAAAAGAATTCAATGATAACCCCATCCTCAAACATGGATCTACATTCATATCTGTAACTACAACCAGCGATTGATAGAGACATATTCCTAGGTAGCTGAATTATTATTTTAAAGAAAGTAAGCTACATGAGACATTTTATGGTCTCCAAGTATCAAAAACAAACTGATTTTGCTGTTTATAATACTCAGTTGCAAATCCACAGGAAGAATCCCTTCTTGTCCACTTATACGTTCATTATTACTACATCTAATATGGATGACATGGTCTAGTGACTTATTTTATATTATGATTTTGTTTAAATAAAAAGATAATGAAAACTGAAAGTTACAAACTCCTCAGTCCAAGAGAAGCTATTAAACCACAATAAATTTATATTGGGATTTGATAAATACTCTATATTGGAGATATTATTCTAATTTATATACGAATAAATATCCCCTTTTTAATTTAATTGATATAAATGACGTGACATTATGATAGTGAAATTTCGTTGATATGTTATTTATAATTGGCATGAATCCCATTTTCGTTAGGGTAGATCTGATTACAAAATCTAATCCTTCTTTTCTAAATCAATGAATTTACCACCACTGGAGAATCTTGGATGTCTTGGATCGTTGATGAATTCATCAGAGTTCATAGAAGCATTAGCACCTAAGTAAACTAAATAGTAGGTAATAGCAGCTAAAATTAAAAGTTAGTATATTTTCAAATATTGGGACCAATTCTTCAATAGACTTATACGATTCCATATAATAATTATTTGATATAGAAATGAAATCTATAGTTGCATATCTAAACACAATCCTTCCGTAAAGCAATATACTCAATTCTAGTAAGGCATTTATCTAGTAATGGATTTAATCTATTCTTTGATTTCTTGTCCCACGTCTTGAAGAATTAGTCGTTTATAATACAAACCAATTACATACCACCAGTGGCGTATGGCCAGTAATGTTTGAAAACTGGAGTTGGGAATCTTGGAAGAGCCATTGTAATATCTATTATTCCGTGTTTTCTAAGTAACAGTAACACCTATATCGTACTGTTAGTATTTTTCATTTCAACAAATTTTTCCTCTGGCTAAGTCTCGGTTTACTTGTGGGCTTTACCAATTTTTATTGGCCAGGGTATATGCAGGAAATAACTTACTATATATGGTTGCAACAGAATTGTATAAATTGATACAATGTGCTATTAAGTATGGATACATTACTATTTATTTTATATATTATATAACGTTTAATTTGTTTAATTTTTTAAACTATAATTATTCGTAATTTCGTAGATTCTAATTTCTGGTGTACCTTTTCTAAATCTAATCATAGAATCAATTTCTTCGGGATTGCCATGTTTATATTTTATTGACCATTGACGTGAATCATCTGATCCAAACCATTTGTTAAGTTTATCTTCCCATAAATTATTACTGGTATCATTTCTAACGGTTGCAGCAATGATAGCAATTTTTGTATTACTATGTGAAAAGAAATCATGAATTGTACTACATAATAAGTCGTGAAGTCGTGAATCATAAGTAACATCAGATGCTACTAACATGTCAATACTAGAGGGAGGAAGCTGGTTGAAAGTTTCAGGTTCTTGCTCATTAGTTGTTCCCCATAATAATTGTTGACATTTAAATTTATCAGAATGGCTCATGCCGTTCAATTTTAAAGTATTTTCAAAATTATCAAAAACAGCAAGTGAACCATCTGTTAATATTATTCTAGAAAGATCTTCACGAGTCTTTAATAGTGATAAACTTAATAAACCTGTTCCTGCTCCTAGTTCCAAAATCGTTTTATTCTTGAAGTCATATTGACATAGCAGCTTATCATTCAAATAATTAGAGAGAAACAAAGCTGCTTCCCATGTTCTCAATCCTGTGGTATTGATTCCAGAGATAAGTCTAGGAGTTTCTTTAATGATAATCGAAGTAGATCGTTGCTTTGCATCGAAACCATCTAATGGGTATTGTAATACGTCTGCAACAGTCGGATCTAGTTCTTTGGAACTTAATACTTCCGGAGAACAGAATAATTCATAAATGTTTTCGGCCACTTCTTCATTTTGTTTTTCAATAAGGCTTATAAACCTCTTGAGGAATAACTGTACATAATATGCGTTATATTGTATTATATTAGATTGTTCAATGTGATGCAAGATTTGATCCTGACTTCCAGCAGAAGTAATAATAATGAGATTTAATCCCAGAAAAATTTCACCAATCGGTATTCGTTGATCTAGTCTAGCTATTAACTTAAATATATGACTATCATCATAACTAATAGTCATACTAAGCAGCACTTTATCAATGGATTCATTTGTTTCATACACTACAAATTATTTTTCAGTACAAAAAATGTTTTTTCATCTATTCGCGATATCTATAAATATTTTATATGAATATGTACTAGTTAGAATTATGCAATTGTACCATTAACTCTAACTCTCTTGACACCTCCATCTGGAATAATGATTAAGCGGACATGAGAATATTCATTATTAGAATATGCTGAGTCAATATCATACACATGTTCAACATCTGGACTCCCTTTAGTTTCAGGTACTAAATCATCCCAAGCAGTTGGATCCAATGGTAAATCATCAGTATTTGATTTAATAGCCTTAACATTAATCTTTTGAGGAAAGTTCCCTCTAAAGTGTGCAGTATCAACAATGATTTGCTTAATATGAGCAACAGCACCCAACCTAATAACTACCCAATCTACATGACCTGCAGTTCTAGATCTGGAAGTTTCCCATCCATCAGACATATCATGGCCCCTACCTGGTAATAATAAATTATCCGCAGATCCAAAATGTTGATCACTTACTTTAATAGCAACACCACCGTTGAGAACAGATGCTAAATCAATGATCTTATCCTTTTGAAGGAATAACAGTTGAGAAGGAACTACCGTACCATACAATCTGAAACGAGCAATACCTCCATCAGGATACATTTTTAATCTAGCATGAGTATAATTCTTAGAAGTGATTTGATCTCGTACAAAGAAGTGCCTTTGAGATGGTCCACATTCTACTTTTGTAATAACTGGCTCCCATTCAGCATTAACAAGATCTTCTGGATCTTTTTCATCCAATACTTGAAGTGCTTCTACTGAAATAAAAGGAGCATGGTTACCGTCAAAGAAAGCAGTATCGACCTCTACTCCAATTAATTTAGCAGATGATACTCCTAACTTGAAAATAACCCAATCAGCTTCTTCTTCATTATGTCTTCTTGTTTCCCAACCATCATACCAAGCACCCGCATACGTGAATCTAGTACGATCACGAATAGGAGGTTTTGGTTCAATTAAGTTGGTTGCATCAGCAAACCACTGATCTGAAAATTTTAAGACTTCCCCACCAACTTTTTTCCCAATAACATCGGTATACTTTAATACGATCTGAGATTGGAATTCTTCTTGTGTAAGCTTTTTAACCATGATAATTGCGATGTAAAGACAAAATATTAAGCAGTGAATATAAATACAATTGAAAAGTAATTAATTTCAAGTTCTTTTATATAAAATGAGAGTAATATTGGAAAATAAATATTGCTGAATTGTGGTGACAAATTAGTCAAATTAATTCAATAAATTTTCAATTATAATTGAATTTCTCGGATTATTCCGATAAGAACCCCACCTTTGTGACAAAAAAAAATGGGTTATTGATTGACTGCACATAATCTATTCTATTAGACCAAGAAATCTTAATACTGACGAATAACAATCAACTGCAAATTGATAGGAATATATTGATAGTTAGATCTAAAGCAATTAAGAGTCTTTGAGTAGTTGATTGTGTGTAATGCGTTTAGACACAACCTCAACGAGTCTCTACTGCAGCATTACAACAAATAATATGTCCAACTACATAGTTAAACATTCTATTATCAGGGTCATTCAGTGATTATATCAACCATTTCATCAACTCGAAAGTTAATCCCAAATTGTAAGCTTGTAGCTCATCATCAGCTATAAGAAGGTCTGAAAATTTAAATAAAATCTTCCAATAGTAAGCTCTATATCACCATTAATATAACTTTTCCTCTTGAGTCAAGAGAATGACATAAATAATCTCCTGTTCACTATACTGTTATATATTTATCAAACGATTAGTCTGAATCCATATATAGGAGATTACTTTGAGATTAAATGAATTGATCTGAAGATCTTACTAGATGTTATAACCATGTTACACAACATTGCATGGCACAATTGCTTTCATAATGTAGTGTTCAACTTGATTCAATAAAATTTTAATAGTAAATTGAATTCATACAATTCTTCCCTCATTGTGGAATTGTTCAATGGACCGGTGATTCTGATTTTGTTATGATCTTTACCAGTGAAGATTTTGCTAATGAATCAAAGAAGTAGTACTGGCATATCTACCCAAAATAATGATGCTATAACTGCTAATTCTGTTGCTAGTGGCAGTAGAGCATCAGCTGGAGGAATAATTAACAGTTAACCTTCAATTACTGTGAGCGACATTCCAATCAGCAGACCTCAAGTTGGTACAAGCAAAGAGATACATCACTGTATTAGTAGTACTAATATTAGTAGTATTTTCACTGTATACCTGAATTGTTCATTAGGAAAGGGGCTATTACTATTATACAGAAGCTACCATCTCTCTAAAGCTAAACCTATACCATTAATATATCATTACTTTATTCTATCTAATATTACTTTTAACTAATTTACTACATTACTTGTAATTAAAATCGGTATACAATTGTATTATAATAAATATATATTCTCAATACAACACATAAATAATAAAAATAATTGTTAAAATCAATTAGAGAGCTTGTGCTCAAATTATTTATTCTGCTTCTGGGATAAGATATGTAATGAATTATTATTCCTAATAATTTGGAAACTTAAATAAACATTGGCAATTAAATATTGATGGTATTAACTTGAACAACGTGAAGTGGAGAAATATAACTGCATAAAAAAATGTGATAAACAATATCAAGACAAGGAGATAATGAGAATGGACTGAACTTGTTCCAATTAGAGACTTTCTGCTTTTACCCATTCCTGCCTTTTCCATATAATAAGGAAAAGGCAATAGGCTCCATAAAAAATGGAGCCCAGTACCTGAAGGCCTATAGGAGTTCCAAAAAGGCTGATAATTTCACAAACTGTTACTCCGACTATTAAATAGGGTTCTAAATGCGTCATGCTATCTACTAATCTAACCTTAATAGTTTTAAAAATCTTTCCTATTTTGCTTTCATTCTCTCCATTATTATCATTTCTTTGGTTTGGATTATTTTGATTAGGGTCTTCAGCATTTCTAAATAACTCGCCATTCCACAACTTTTGAAAGAAAGATTTGTTATTTGATCGTGGAACAACTGACTGTGCACCGGGTGGATCAGATGCTTCACCTGACATATTATCAATTGGAAGAAGTTATTTGCTAAGTGAACTTAAAATTACCGCCCTGTAGTAAAAGGAAATCTAGAAGATGGCTGCAAAAACACTAAAAAGTTTGCGCGGCTCATAAATATGATTGCGAACAATACAAATTAAAATTGTTCAAACAAATGAAGGATTGACTAACAACTTTATTAAGACCTGGCAAGAAATTCAACTCCAGAAATCCTTGTTTATAACATTGATAAAGCTACTATTTCCATCAAAGAACAACATTACCCTAACATCTGTATCCTTATATGTAATACATACTCAGGGGAACCATCAAAAGCCAGAGACATTCAAGCAACCCAACCTTATTAGCGTCATTAATATCAACGGCTCTAAATATCTCCAACGCAACACATTTGCTGCAACCAATAGGCATCAAATAACCTCACGTAGAATGGACAGGTTCTACATATTCACTCCTGACCATGAAAAAATTAATTAAAGGAGCCATTTAATGGTAGTAAACAACATTAATTCGATTAAACTATCAACAACTCCAGAAATCCTTGATGACCTATACCAACACTATAAGGATATATTTACCCTAAAGAAAACTACCAACAGTCAGTAGACAATAAATTCCGAACTTCAACAAGCAATTATCAGAAACGTCAACCTAGATGAGTATACTATAGCTCTTAAAAACACAAGCAATCAAAGTGAACCGGGCCCCAATTATCCATATGACTGCCCCCCTTGTTGTTTAGACCACCAACGACCTTTTTATATCACCATACTTACAAAATATTCTCGAAGCCCAAGGATTTTAAGCTCAATTGATCTTGAAGAACAAGTCAAAGAAAGCAGAGCCAGATTTAAACATAATGCCTTAATTAACCAGGACAAATCTCATCAGACATTACTTCGAGATAAAATCCAACAGTAGATCATCGAGGACGTTTATATACCTTCAGTAATACCATTCCAAAATAATAAACTCCTAATGTATCCCTGATTTTGTCTTCTTGCTGGTACTCACATCCAGCACGAGGCTAATACGACCGTCTTTCCTAAATATTCCATGTCTGTCTCCAACTTCTTAACAGCTGCTGAACAAAGTTATCTTTCAGCATGTCCAGAGTCAGCTGTGCAAAAACCCAAGATGCGATGAATTACGACAAAGCTTTACCGAAGATGAAATACAGCAACTCACACCCCAAACACCCAGAAACTTTTAATGGGCCAACGACATGTAGGGTTCTTTTAAAATTAGGTGTAAAGCTAAACAGATTAAGCTGCGAGAAAGTCTTGAGCCAACTGGATAGTCAGGAGACTCAAGTATCTCACAAGTTCAATGGATTAAATTCCGTGCAAGCTTAAATAAACTTAACTTCCTCAGTAATTTTGATCGCAGAAAATACTTGTGATATAAAAAACAGGCAATATTTGAGCCGGAAACGACCTAAGATTGTAGATTTGGCTGCAAGTTTAATTACACATAATACTGGTACGAGATTGGCTGTTCATTCACTATGACTGAAAAGTTTTCTCTCTTCTTTGGCGAAGGTATAAATATGGCAATTTGCCTCTATCATTACATAGTTACTACTTTATAAATCAGTGGAAGAAGTTTGTAATTATTTATATATATTGTAACCATTGTGAACTATTTATATAACGCACTTACGTAAATAATTTCTATATATAGTCAGCTGCGGATTAAACTCCGACTCAGCCACATCGTCTCACTACACTACTTTAGTTGCAAATCCAGTACTCTCAATCACAGATACCGACAAGCCGTCGACATTCTTATGAAACTATGAAGAGTAATATTCTAACTGACAAAGTTCTTCATCGTTGGGTATTTTTTTCAACTTGAATATTTAGAACCATATTCTGTATAAACTATCCAAGTATCTATTTTCAAGCTCCGATAGATCACATACTGATGGTTGTAAAAAGTAAAATACCGTAATTTTGAAAATTTGGAGAAATTGACTATCATAAACTGTCTCAATTCAAGAATCTCATGTCCAAGTTCCTCACAAGCTAGAATATTTTGATAATAAAATAGATCAACAGTCAATAAGGTTGTTTCTTCTCCTGCTCTTACTCTATTAATTTTGACAAGGTTGAGAACCGAACCCCAGTTTAGCAACAATTTCTTAACTAAATGGCAGTAACCTTTGATCATAGATCGCTTTAAAGATTTTACAACATCTATTGAAAATTTTTGAAGGGGATAATTGGGAAGATTCAGGATAGCAAAGTTAAACATTCCTGGCACATCAAATACTCCAGAATCCTGTAAAACAAGGACTCGAATATTTGGCATTGTTTTCATTAACTTAAATAGGGAATCATGATTATGAAATGCTGATGATTTTTTTATTTCAAGTTCTCTAATATTTTTCAAACTGAATAGCGATAGAATGGGGTACAAATTAGATTCTTGAAGATGGATAGGATCCAAAGATAACGATTTTGCTCCAACAAAGACTCCCTTCAACTGGTTGAGAGTCTCAAGTGAACTACACATCAATGACAATTCCACTTTCTTGAATAAGTTAAACTTATGTAAGTTGTTTTTACAAACTATATAACTTGGCGAATTATCTTCTAAATTCACATTTAGAATATGAAATGACATTTCATTTAGTTGAGTATTTAGATTTGGAGGATCCGTGTATGTGTCTGCTGGTATGATATAATTCTGTCCAGTTTCATGCTCAACATTAGAAAGATATATAATGTGTTGAAATTTATTATATGGGGTTCTTTGCAAACTTTTTATAACTGTGAAATTAGAATAAGCAATTGAATTTAATTGGATATGTATTATAAGTCTTCGTGCAGTGTCGTTAACGAGAACCCTTTTGTATAATTTGTTCATACATAATGAATAAAACCTTGAGTTGACTCGGCATAGATTTAATACATCAAATTGATTCAAAATATCAATTATTCTAATCAATAAACTGTTGTGAAAACAGTCTAAACTGGTGGCTGGGTTTTGTGGTTGTGGAGGAGAATTTATACATGTTGTGTTAGATGTTTCACTGGATGTGCATGTTGTGTTAGACGTTTCACTGGATGTGCATATTGTGTTAGACGTTGTAGTAGAATTGGCCCTTGATTTTTTTCTATTCTTGAAGAGTATGTAATTAATAGGAGGCATGCTTTTCTTGATGAATAGTCTATTAATTTTATTCCATAATAATTCATAAATCATCATTAATCATAAATTTATATAGTTACTCTTTTTCGCAGCTTTCAAACACAAAAGATTAAGGAAAGAATTGTTACGATTATCTTTTGCAATTTATATGACGTTGTTGATGTGACTGCTGACTATTTAATTTTTTTTAAATAAAAATACTACTTAAAATATGTAACGGTCGTTTTAAAGATAATGACCTATGATTATAAGGTATTTTGGCTACATATTTTGTATCGTATGTAATGTATTGTTTTCATATTGAGCTCAATAATATTTTGCACTAGAAACGTCTCTACTTTTTGTGAAAGCTGCGAAAAAAGAGCAACTATATTGCCACAAAATTTATGAATTCTGATTTATACAAATTATGGTTCTAAAGTTTAGCTTATTGTTTATTTAACAAGTATCATTATACGAGAAACACACTCATTTTCAAACAAGTCACTTGAGGCTATGTTTCTGGTTTAGAAGTAGTGTTAGGTTTCACCGATATTGGACGACGAAGTAAAATATAAAATAGCATAAGAGAAAGCGTAATATAACAAATCTTAAACGTTAAGATTGCAAACATTTTCCAGCTTCATTTGAAATAACTTAAACGTCTTTATAGGGGCCGTTTGGAATATGTAGCTGTTTTTTGTCTCCGTAATCCTATCTCTCTTTATGGAAATATTTTGCAGCGGCTCGCGTTCCTACACCTAAAAAGGACAAAAATTATTTCATTTCAAAACAGTCTTACAGAACATTAACAATAGTCAAATTTTGGATAGAGTACATAAGCTGAAAGATTAATGATTAGTTTATGATAGCGATTGGAAGTTAATTTGTGCTGAATTTAAAGTTAAAGTTTATCACGTAAAAGCATCACCAAGGAATTAAATGCTTCTGGAAAACATAACTGTAATAGAATAGGCTCTATGGTAACATTATCCCTATTTAGTTCTTAGGAACCACATTAATTGGCTCACTACTGTCGTAGATTGTAAAACACTTTATTAAAATTTGGTTTCAAGCTTCTCCATAATAGTAATGCACATGATTTAATTTCACGTCTAATATTGTATTAGACGAGCATAGGTTTACTGCCATTTTAATGTTGGGTCTACATATTCATCACAAGTGTCAGATTTTACCGAATATATTATTCTTTCTCCCCACTTATTTCTGCAATTAGCCAGATATTTAGGTTTAGCAATATTACTCCGTTTTTGGTACCCTGTATTCTAATAGAAACATTATTAGATGTCTGATGTCTTAGCTCACAATCATGTTTTCACTAAAAGATCCTATAAAAGGACCAAGTTTCTAAAATTGGGTGTTTATCTCTTGTAGGTATCATATGCTTAAAGTACTTCTAAAGTAATATTAAAAATGGTAGCTAATTCTTCTGAAAAGGATAAAACAACTGTTAAGATACATAATGTCACAAGTATTGGAGAAGGCGTAGTTGAATATTTACATTCCAGGCATTCCAACGGGGAAGGTCCAGCAAATCTGACATATGCTGTTACACGAAAAGCTTTAGAATCAGCGCAAGCTGATTTAGAACTTGCTAAAGAAACAGGATATAAACCAGAGTTGAGAAGAAATTTTAGTGTCTTTGCACTTTTAGGGGTCGGATTTGGTATTACTAATAGTTGGTTTGGTATTTCAGCTTCCTTGATTACTTCAATTAGTAGTGGTGGTCCAATGATGGTTGTTTATGGTATTATAATTGTCGCTTTTATTTCTTCCTTTATTGCTATAACATTGTCTGAATTAATTAGTGCAATGCCAAATGCTGGTGGTCAATACTATTGGACTAAGAAATTGGCTCCAAGGCATTTATCTGGATTCGCTTCTTATATGTGTGGTTTATTTTCATGGGCAGCATCTGTTTTTATCTCTGCTTCAATTTGTCTTTCGATTGCTTCATCTGTCGTAGGAATGTACTTAATATATCATCCAGACACAGAATTTCAAACTTGGATAGTTTTTCTTGTTTATGAATTAACTAATCTTTTCTTAACAATTTTTAATATTTGGGAAAAGCCATTACCCTTCATTTCCCAATCAGCCTTATATGTTTCTTTGGGATCATTCTTCATTATTACTGTTATTGTATTAGTAAAATCAGGTGGAGAATTCCAAAGTGCACATTTTGTATTTGTTGAATTCACAAACGGTACCGGATGGTCATCAGGTGGTATTGCTTTCATTGTTGGATTAATTAATCCAAATTGGTCCTTTTCATGTTTAGATGCTGCTACTCATTTGGCTGAAGAGTCATCAGATCCCAGAAGAAAAATTCCTATTGCCATTATAGGAACTGTTGTTATTGGGTTGATTACATCACTCTCTTATTCGATTGCAATGTTTTTTTGCATAAAAGATTTAGAAACACTTTTTAATTCTAGAACGGGTGTTCCGATCATGGATATTTACTACCAAGTCCTTGGAAGCAAGGCAGGCGCTGTTGGATTAGAATTCTTAGTATTTTTGACAGCAATTGGCTGTAATGTTACTTGTCATACATGGCAAGCAAGATTATGTTGGACAATTGCTAGAGATAATGGATTGCCTGGATCAAGGTATTGGTCTAGAGTCAATAAAAAGACTGGTCTTCCAGTGAATGCACATCTTATGTCATGTTTTTGGAGTGCAGTTATTGGATGTATTTATATGGGTTCATCTACGGCTTATAATTCTATGATTATTGGTGGAGTTGTATTTCAAATGTTAGCCTATAGTATTCCAGTGACCTTCTTATTAATAAATGGCCGAGATTCTATTAAGCATGGACCATTCTGGCTCGGAAAGATAGGTTTATTTTCAAATTGGGTTACACTTGGATGGACTGTCTTTACTACAGTATTTTACAGTTTCCCCCCAGTGATGCCAGTCACTGGGGGAAACATGAACTATGTTTCTGTAGTTATAGGAGTATTTGCTGCATACTGTGTAATTTATTGGATTGCGAGAGGTAGATATAAGTTCACCTCATTAGAGGAAAGAGAAAATCAAATTGAGCAGTTAACCCGTGAATTATCACCTCAAGTATCTACTATGGAGCATGTCTTTTCAAATGAAAAGGAAGTATGAGTACTCTTTAGTTATATTTTGAACCTAAATAAATTAAATATCGCTTTGCCTTAAATATATAATATATGCCCGAAAATGCAATGGTTGCAAGTTTATTATAGTAAACACAGAAAGATTATGGGGTCAGAAAGCCTTCAATGGTGTAGCTTTTTCTATATATTAATATTTTACGATATCATTGAGTACAGGCCATGTAAACAGAAGCACAACTATTAACACAACTGACAGAGAAAATGGCTATTCGTATATCATCCGAAATGAAGTAACAGGTGGCCCCTAACAATAGTATTAGATCCTTAATTGCAATTGCTGTGAAAAAAAAAATTAAAGGAAAAGATTGTGCCGCGTCTTGTGTCCTAAAAGGGACAAAACTTTCAAACTGATAACAACTTTGTGAAATTTAGTAGATATAGATAAAGTGTAATTTAGCGTCAGCTATTGGATTGAATTGGAGTGAAAGTATATGTCAATTAACATTATATTCTATTATTGTTATGTTGAGTCTGTGCGGCATCTCAGTTAAGCCTTAATTGCCGAATTAGCAATGACACATCATAGTTAAGGAGTTAAAGACAAGAATAAATTAAGGAACAAAATTAAGTGCTTTACTAGCCCATTATTGATGTTTATAATCTGTTCAGATTTATCAAACCCACATTAATCGTAACATGTAATAAAATGTATTTATTTTAATAATTCTTTGATAATCAATTTCAATGGAGATCTTTAATCAATTTCTTTTTTGGCTGTATTTTTTATTTTTTCACTGATAAGATTTTTTCGAGCCGCTAATTTTGATTTGCCTAATTTTCACAATCAATTTATTTTGCATTGTAATGAACATGTAGCTCAACTCAATGTACTGCATCGAATTTTGATTCCGAAACCGTTCCTGCTGGAAATTTGCATTATAAAAGGATCACCAACTCATCCTGTAGAATTTCTGATTAGAGTTATAAAACCTTATTTGTATTAATCTTTTATTTATTTCAAGTTAATAGTATTAACAATTAACTTAGTGTTTAATATCATCATTGTTGATAACTGAACTTGATTAAGTGTCACAAGATGTCTGGCGCACCTTCCGAAAAAGACAGCCAAAAGGTTGAAGTTCATCCTGCTCAAAGTGTAGCTTATGGAGAACTTCAAGATTATATTTCTCATCGTACTGGTGCTGGTCACCATGATGCTTTAAATCTTGATGCTCTCACTTCTGCTAAGGGTAAAAAGCTTTTAGAAATGGCTCAGGCTGATTTAGAATTAGTTCAAGAAACTGGTTATAAACCAGAGTTGAGAAGAAATTTTAGTGTCATCTCACTTTTAGGGGTTGGTTTCGGGTTAACAAACTCTTGGTTTGGTATTTCAGCTTCCTTGATTACTTCGATTAGTAGTGGTGGTCCAATGATGGTTGTTTACGGTATTATAATTGTCGCTTTTATTTCCTCCTTTATTGCTATAACATTGTCTGAATTAATTAGCGCAATGCCAAATGCTGGTGGTCAATACTATTGGACTATGAAATTAGCACCAAAGAAATGGGCTGGTTTTGCATCTTACATGTGTGGTGCTTTTGCTTGGGCTGGATCTGTTTTCACTTCAGCTTCTGTCACTATTTCTATTGCATCATCACTTGTTGGTATGTACATGTTATATCATCCAGATGAAGAACCTCAAACTTGGCAAGTTTTCGTCACTTACGAAATCGTTAATGTCTTGCTTGTCTTCTTTAATATTTGGGAAAAGCCATTACCAATGATTTCTCAAAGTTCCTTGTATATTTCATTAGCATCTTTCTTTATCATCACCGTTGTTGTATTAGCAAAATCAGGTGGAGAATTCCAAAGTGCACATTTTGTATTTGTTGAATTCACAAACGGTACCGGATGGTCATCAGGTGGTATTGCTTTCATTGTTGGATTAATTAATCCAAATTGGTCATTCTCATGTTTAGATGCTGCTACTCATTTGGCTGAAGAATTATTGGAACCAAGAAAACAAATCCCTATTGCCATTATAGGAACTGTCATTATTGGTTTCATAACATCTTTTTCATATTCTATTGCTATGTTTTTCTGTATTAAAGATTTAGATGGTCTTTATACTTCAAATACTGGTGTTCCAATTATGGATATTTTCCATCAAGTAGTTGGTAGTAAAGCAGGAGCCATCGGTCTTGAATTCTTGATTTTATTAACTGCAATTGGTTGTAATATTGCTTCTCATACTTGGCAAGCAAGATTATGTTGGTCATTTGCCAGAGATAATGGTTTACCTGGTTCAAGATATTGGTCTAAGGTGAATGCTAGAACTGGTGTTCCAGTTAATGCTCACATTATGTCTTGTGTTTGGTGTGGTATTATTGGTTGTATCTACATGGGATCTACTAGTGCTTATAACTCCATGGTTATTGGTTGTATTATTTTCTTATTGATGTCTTATAGTGTTCCAGTTTTCTTCTTATTGCTTAGAGGAAGGGATTCAATCAAGCATGGTCCTTTCTGGTTAGGTAAACTTGGATTAGTTGCTAACTATGTTACTATTGCATGGACTATATTTACCACTGTATTCTATAGTTTCCCACCAGTAATGCCAGTTACTGCTGGTAACATGAACTATGTCTGTGTTGTTGTTGCTGTTTTTGGTGCTTATTGTGTTATCTACTGGGTTCTTAGAGGTAAACATAAATTCACTACTACTGATGACAGAGAAGGTCACATTGATGAATTAACTCAACAATTCTCAAACCAATTATCTCAATTAGAAATCATCTTATCTCATGAAAAGCCTGTATGAAGTGCTACATAGATAGATAGATAGATAGATAGATAGATGAGTCGTTCGTTACTTTATTCCTTCAATTCTTTGTTGATTATTTAATTTGATTGTGTGTTATATTTATTGATTGTTTTTCTTAGATATATGTTTATATTATATATATGCACATTGGAGCTAACTAATAGATTTAAATTATTTTAGTACGCGCAAATCTCAAGTGTGGGGTTGCACAAGTGTTGCGCTTTGCATATGACAGATTTGGAGATTATGTCATACCAGATTAACGTATTAAAAAGATTAATCCCTTATTTATATACTAATTGATAATTTCTTTATAGTTACTTATGGTATTATAATTCTAGTTTATAGAATAATGTCTGGAGATTTAGACGATGAACTCGTATTCGGGTCTATCAACGACCCAATCAAAGCTCAGCCGTGCGCAAAAGTGACGAAAATAGAAGATATTGAAAAAGATGCAAATGTGGTTGAAAAGTCACCCAAACCTATGAAGTACTATGAAAGTAATGCAGGAGATGGAACCAAAGCTACTGATCACCATTTAAAAGGGACAGAGCTATGGTTCACGCTAGTATCTTGTTTAGTGACCTTATTTGTATCAGCTCTAGATCAAACTATCGTAGTCACTATTTATAGTACTGTCGGTAATGAGTTCAATGCATTTGAAAGAATAGATTGGTTAACTTCTGGATATCTACTACCATTATGTGTTCTCACACCTACTTATGGAAAGATATCTATTATATTTGGAAGAAAGTTAACGCTTATGGCTGGAATAATAATTTTTGAAATAGGTTCTTTGGTTTGTGCTTTGGCAACAAGTATGGACATGCTAATTGGTGGACGAGTGATACAGGGATTAGGAGCTGGTAGTATAACAACAACAATTGCTATCATTGTTACTGAATCCGTTCCGATATCCATGAGAAGTTATTCTTTAAGTTTAATGGCTCTTTCTTATTCAATAGCCAGTGTAGCAGGTCCATTTATTGGTGGAGCTTTCACTACCCATGTTACATGGAGATGGAATTTCTATCTCAACTTACCCATAGGTGGAGTTTCATTTATTTGCTTAATGTTTAGTTATCATCCGCCTAAACCCAAAGGAACTCTATTGGATAACGCAAAGAAAATAGATTATTTAGGGAACTTTTTATTAATATCTGGCCTGGTATTATTTCTACTTGGTTTATCATTTGGGGGTACTCTGTATCCTTGGTTTTCAGCTGCAGTGATAGTTAATATTTTACTAGGGGTATTCCTCATTTTTGCGTTCATAATGGAAAACTTTATAGTATCTAAGAGTCCACTATTTTATAAGGAATTCTTTACTATTCCTCAAATATTAGCAGCTGGTCTAAGTGGATTTTTTAATTATTCATTCTTTTTAGGAAATACGATGTACTTGACAGTATATTTTCAAGTTATACTTGGTCATTCTGCATTTCAGTCGGGGATAGATTTATTACCATTAATTATTAGCGTTACAGTTGCTGCCATTGCAAATGGAGTAGTAGTTAAGGTTACTAGATATGTAAAGCCTTATTATTTATTATCGGGAATTTTTGGAATTATTGGAGGTAGTCTAATCCTATTAATAAATCAGAAAACAGAGACAAATAAGAGAATAGGATATTTAATAGTGATGGGATTATCCGTAGGATTTCAAATACAGAGCACCATACTATCATGTCAATTAAAAGCACCAAAAGATCTAACAGGATCTTTGATCTTAGTAACTACTTGGGCTAATTTTTCAAGATTTTTAGGTGGAACTATGGGTATTATACTTTCCAGTGTAATCTTTCAAGCTTATAGTGAACCCCATATAACTGAAGTTATAGAAAATTTACCATACAGAATCAAAGAACAATTTGCTGATCAATCAGCCCAACAATTCCTAAGCTCTCCAGCCTCAATCGGTCAACTTCCAAGTGATGCTCAACAACAGATATTCAAAGTTTTAATGGAAGCCATTCATAGAACTTTCATATTTGGATTGGCATGTGCGACTACAGGATTTATCGCATCATTATTTGCTACCAATAAAAGAATTCCTAAAGATAAAGATATTTTACATAAGGGTGAAAACTCTGATATAGAAACTATTATATAAGTTTTATTTTAATATTTATTATATCTTTTTTATATCATACATAGTTAATTTGTTATTTCAGCACACTTTTCTACTCTGTCGCACAGCTTACCGAAATAGGCAATCAAAACCAAAGGCAAAAAAAATTAACCAAAGCCCTATAACAAGAAATTCCCGAAACGAACATGACTGAAAATTATCAATATCAATTAATAAGTCAGTCGGTCAAAAGTAACCAACATTTAATATTTGCAAAAGTCATATGAGTGTATTGACTAGAGCGAGATTTGCAGGAGTATCTCTTGCGAAGAGAATTCCTCATGGAGTTAGTCGACCAGTCAATATAATGAGATCTCTACAATCAAGTAGTTGTCTTCGTTATAAAGAAGAAGAACCAAAATTCCGTAATGATAAAAAGTTAGGAATGTTCTTTAATAGTCAAAGTGAAAATAAACAAACCAATGATAATAAAAATAATAATAAAGATAAGAAAAATAAAGGTAAGAATGAAAATGACGATAAAGTTTTTACTTTTGATTTTAAGATTGGTCCACCAATAAAATATTTTCAAATAGGTGTATTGATTGGGTCAGCAGCATATATTTTCTATAGTTTGGGACAAGATGATATTGATGAATTAACATTTCAACAATTTACTTCGGAATATTTAAGTAAAAATTTGGTAGATCGATTAATCGTTGTTAATGGACGTACTGCTATTATAGAACTTAATCAAAGTGGTAAAGCTCAATTTCCACATTCTCATAATCAAAAATTATCATTTAATATTGGATCATTAGAAGCTTTTGAAAGAAGTTTAAAGGAAGCTCAAGATGAATTTGAAATTGCCGATGCAGTAAGAATTCCTGTTATTTATACTAATGAAGGTAGTACTGGTAAAATGCTTATAAATTTTATTCCAACTGTACTTTTCCTTGGAGCAATTTATTATATGACTAGAAAAGCCAGTAGTATGGGAGGAATGGGAGGTCCATTAGGTTTTGGTAAATCAACAGCTAAAAAATTTAATCAAGAAACTGATGTTAAAATTAAATTTAAAGATGTAGCTGGTATGGATGAAGCTAAAGAAGAGGTTATGGAATTTGTAAAATTTTTACAAAATCCTGAAAAATATGAAAAACTTGGAGCAAAGATTCCAAGAGGAGCAATCCTTTCTGGACCTCCAGGTACTGGTAAAACATTAATTGCTAAGGCAACTGCTGGTGAAGCTGGAGTTCCATTTTATTCAGTATCTGGTTCAGAATTCGTTGAAATGTTTGTCGGTGTTGGGGCATCTAGAGTTCGTGATTTATTTAAAACTGCTAGAGAAAATGCACCATCTATTGTATTTGTTGATGAAATCGATGCTATTGGTAAACAACGTTCTAAAGGAAATGCTAGTGGAGCTAATGATGAACGTGAAACTACTTTAAATCAATTATTAGTTGAAATGGATGGATTTGATACTTCTGATCATGTTGTTGTATTGGCCGGTACTAATAGAGCTGATATTTTAGATCGAGCTTTATTAAGACCTGGTAGATTTGATAGACATATTTCTATTGATAATCCTGCATTAGAAGGTCGTAAAGATATTTTTAAAGTTCATTTAAAAAAGATTAAGTTAGCTGAAGATATAGATAAAGATTTACCAGGAAGATTGGCAGCTTTAACTCCTGGATTTTCTGGAGCTGATATTGCTAATGTTTGTAATGAAGCAGCATTAATTGGTGCAAGATTTAATGCACCCGCTGTTACATTAAGACATTTTGAATTAGCAATTGAAAGAGTTATTGGAGGAATTGAAAAGAAATCCAAACTTTTAAATCCAGAAGAACAAAAAATTGTTGCATATCATGAAGCTGGACATGCTATTTGTGGATGGTATTTAAAACATGCATATCCATTATTAAAAGTATCTATTATTCCTCGTGGTCAAGGAGCTCTTGGATATGCTCAATATTTACCACCAGATCAATATTTAATGAATACTTTCCAATTATATGATAGAATGATTATGACACTTGGAGGTAGAGTATCTGAAGAACTTCATTTCGCTTCAGTTACTAGTGGAGCTCATGATGATTTTAAGAAAGTTACATCTATTGCTCAAAGTATGGTATTAAAATTTGGTATGTCAAAAGCTGTTGGATTAGTTAATTATGCTGATAGTCAATCACAAGATAATTTAACTAAACCATTTAGTGATGAAACCAATCAAACTATTGATGAAGAAATTAAAAGAATTGTTAATGAATGTTATCAAAAATGTAAACAATTATTAATTGATCATTCAAAAGATGTGGAATTAGTAGCTCAAGAATTATTAAAGAAAGAATTTATTACAAGAGAAGATATGATAAGATTATTAGGGAAAAGACCATTCCCTGAAGTTAATGATGCATTTGATAAATATCTCGATGGTAAGGATGCATTTAAGAATGAAAAGCCAGCCAATGAGAAGAAAGATTCTGAATAGTCATTATAATAAAAAAGTTACCTGTAAATAGTTAAATTAATATATGCTTTATTACCATTACCTAATTAGGACAGATAGACACTGGCGCACGACTCGTACCAAAAGAAAAAATGAGTGTGCGTATTGTGGACATTGAAAAAGTAAATAAAATAAAAATAAAATATGTCAATAGTACATACGACTAATACGTAAACTATAGTAATTATGAGTAGATCTAGGTCCAGACGAAGTGAGGCAATTGAAGTCGAAGATGTAGCCACGGAAGACGTGAGACCACACAGAAGTTCAAGATCTCGTAGACAAAATTTGGCAGGTTTAGACCTCGACGTGGACAAAGATGAAGAGTATGGAGCAGACGAGACTTCTAATGTTAAGGAAGAAGAAAACGATGAAGAGGCTGTCAATGGAGAGGAATCTGAAGAAGAAGAAGAAGAAGAATCAGGTGTAGTTAGTAAAAGAGGTAAAAAGAGAAAAGCACAAGTGGATGATGAGGAAGTGGAAGAAGGAGAGCCTGAGGAAGAAGAAGAAGAGGAAGAAGAAGAAGGTGAAGAAGATGAAGAAGAAGATGACGATCCTGATAATGATTCGAAGACTCAAGAGACTCGAGCACCTAAGAAACGAGGTAGAAAAAAGATAAAGGTTGTTGTACTTGAAGAAGGAGTATTTGATGAAGAAGGTAATCCATTAAATGTTACAAATGATGAAGTAGTTATTGGACATGAAGATGCTAAAGGTAAAGAAAAAGTTGATGAATGGGGGAATTTACAAGGAGGTCGAGAATATCGAATGAAGACATTTAAAGTATTAGGTCATGGTAAAAGACTTTATATGATTAGTACTGAACCAGCAAGATTAGTTGGATTTAGAGATTCATATCTTTTATTTAAAACTCATAGATCATTATTTAAAAAAGTATGTGATAATGATGAAAAAATGGATTTAATTGATCGAGGAATTATTCCAAATTCTTATAAAGGTAGATCAGTTAATTTAGTTACTGCAAGATCAATTTTTAGAGAATTTGGAGCTAAAATGATTAAAGGAGGTAAAAAAGTTATTGATGATTTTTGGGAACAAAGAGCTATTGATAATGGAGATGTATCAGGAGAATATGCTGATCCAAGTGAATTTTTAAAACCTCAAAATTATAGATTATCAAGTATTCTTGGAGATTCAAATACTGGTGGAGGTTCAACTCCATTAACTTCAACTCCTTTAGTTAATTATCAAACTGATCTGGCTTGGTTATATAAAATTGCATCTCAAACTAGTGAATTTAATAGTAAAATCTTAGAACAAAGAACTCCAACTTTAAGAGGTATTAAAGATGTTTATTCAAATTTAACTTTTTATCCTGCTAATACTCAACCTACAAAAGCAGTAATTAATAGAATTGGTGATTCTGATAATTTAAATTATACAACTAATATTGTTATACTGAATCTTAACAAACGAGTTACTGGTCTTAAACATATTCCTAAGGAAATATTTGCTGATGTAGATGAAGATATTAAACAGGCTATTATAGAGCAACAAAAATTTGAAGCTGATAAGTTTTAGGGTGTATAATTAACAGTGTATTAAAGTACTATATAAAGAAATGTAATGAAGTAAATCTGGGGCTAGCCCGCGGTATTATTAATGAAAGTGTACTCTCCACGTTTTGGAGGTTGACCTGGTTGTTGTGGTGGTAGAGCTTGTTGAGATTGGGGTTGTTGTGTTTGTTGTGGTTGTTGTGGTACTTGTTGAGGTGCTTGCTGAGGTGCTTGCTGAGGTGCTGATGCTGGTGGTTGAACTTGAGATTGAGATTGAGATTGTTGTGGAGCCTGTGGTGGTAGTTGAGATGGACTTTGGGATGCTTGTGGTTGAGGTGGTAAACCATGTGATTGAGGTGGAAGTTGAGGTGGAATTGGTGGAATTTGAACTGATTGATTAGGTTGAAAATTTGGAGGTAATTGAGGTCTAATCTTATATGGACTATCTGGAACTTCTGATGATGGTTGTGGCAGAGCTGGTAAATTTTGTTGCATTTCTTCATCTTCTTCATCTTCACCAGAATCTATATCACTATCTAAATAAGATTCATCACCTTCAAAATCTTTTGATATACTCTTTTTCTTTTCCATATGAGCTCTTAATTCAAAATCAACTTTTGTCTTTCTTCTACCTACATGAACAGTTATATCACCTTCTTCAACCACTTCAGCATGCTTTTTAGAATAAGCAACTTCAGCTTTTGCTTCTTTACCAGAAATTTTATGATTAACTCTAATATGTTTAGCTAAAGTATCATGACGAGTAAAAATTCTTGGTCCAACTCCTGGATGTTGTTTAACACATACATAACATTTAAATAATTTTTTCTTTTTTGAATGTACAGTTTCTTGATGTCTAATTAATTCATACTTTCTTGAAAATCTTCTTAAACAAAGTTTATGAGGTTCATCAGCTGAAGGTAATTGACATTCATGAACGACATCAGGATCATAATTTGATGATTTATTTGATGGTTTTGCTGTAGAAGCCTTTTTAATTATTCTATGAGCTGCTAATTTTGCATCAACTCTAATCTTTTTCTTTTCCTTTGGAGTTAAACCAGCTAATGAAGCAGAAACAAATTTATCATGATCAGCAGTATCAGGATTTAATGAAAAAAATGATGAACCAGGAATATTATCTTCATCATCATTATAACCATTAGGTGATTCAGAAGATGGAGATTTATTATGACCATTTCTACGTTTAAATTTATTTCTTGGTAATGGATCAGGTTGAGAAAATCTTTTATACTCAAAATATGAATAATCTCGAATGAATTTTTTATAACAATCATTAAGATCATAATGAATTACTGATAAGAAATGATAAATAACTGGTTTCCAAATTAATAAATTATAAATTTCCCAATAATTTAAATTCATAATAATATTAGTTAAATATCTAATAGTTACAGTTGAAACATCAACATTTTTATGATTAGTTGATATTTTGATAAAGATATCAAAATTCATTTCAATTAATAAATAAAGTTTTGAATGAATTGGATCTTCGTAATTTATAAATTTTGGTAATAAATTAATTAATTGATAATATTTATCTTTAATGGCTAATTCAGTTTCTACATTATCAAATTCATCATCATATAATAAATCAGCAATTTTATGAATATGAGCAGCATATTCTTCAATATTATTAGGATTCATAGTAATTAATATTTTTATCTTTTCTTCGGCAGTTAATGGAATAGTTGGAGGTGGAGGTGGAGGTGAAGGTGGATTTTGTTTAGATTCAACTTCTTTATATTGACGTTCTTCTTTATTGACTTCTTGGAATTCTGGTTGGTAATGTTGGGATTGTTGTTGTGGTGGGGGTTGTTCTGGTTGCTTTACTTCAATTGGTTGTGGTTGTTCTTTTTGTTGTTGCTGTTGCTGCATTTGTTGCTGTTGCTGCATCTGTTGTTCATGTTGAATCTGTTGCTCATGCTGAATTTGATGCTGGTTTAATTGCTCATGTTGTTTATATTGTTCGGGCTGCTGCTGTTGTTTAAACTGTTGTTCATGTTCATGCTGTTGTTGTTGCTGTTGCTTATATTGATGCTGTTGAATTTGAATTTGAAGTTGATCATCAACCATTTGAGATTGAGGTATTTGAGAATTAGGAGGAATTAATCGTTGATGAAACATTGGAGCCAGAGGACTTGATGAGCCATTTGTCATATGATATGCGGATAATGATTGTTGAGGAATTGAAGGAGATCCTCGATGAGGTGGATATTGACGAGGCATATTACCAAGTTGAGGTGGAGGTTGAGGTTGATTAGCATGAATTTGAGGTGGAGATAATTGATTATAAGTAGGTTGAAGATGATGTTCTCTTGGCAGTAATTGATGAATTTGAGCCACAGAGGGAAGACGTTGATGAGTTGGTGGAGGAGGTAATTGAGATTTTGGAGGTGGAGGTTGCCCAGCTTGAGGAACAGGAGATAGTTTGATTGATTGATTTGGCTGTTGTTGTTGTTGTTGCTGTTGTTGTTGCTGTGACGGTGGCGCTGGAGGAGAACCTGCTGGGTATACTTCCACTGGGTAATAGTATAGTTTTGATGGATTCTCATTCATTTTGGTATTTAGTGCTAAGTGATTTGATAAATATAGGTATAAATTAGCAAATATACGATAGATATGGGTGGGTATAGACACGATAACTAGGTATAGTTGTAAGTTAATTAATTGATTAACTTTTTAAGTATAGTTTAGTTAAAGTATATGAAACTATTAGGGGAACGGAGATAGATAGGTTGATAAAATGGTACGAGTTCGTAAGAATCACGAAGAAGTATTCAAACGCAATCTAATTGGCTGGATGGATACAACAAACTCACACGCGTGACTTTAACCTAAAAAATAATAGGATTATAAAAATTCACCAAGTAGTGATTAACAAAATGGTTGTAAATAAATTACCGTAATCACTTTTTGGGTGGTGGATTGTAATTTTCCTGACTGCAATTTTAAAATGCAAATTTGTTAACCAGGACACGACGGTTACCCAATGCGGCACTTACCCGGCTAGAGATTATTATTATTTATTTTAAAATTAACAACATATTTTTTGATCGTCCCAGTGAGTGATTTTGCAACCATTGGCGTACTGCATACAGAAATCGACACCTCATCCAAATTATATAGTAATACTATACTGTAATACTGGATATTATAATTATTAATACTACTATTATTACTACTACTATACTATAGGATAAAGTACTATAGTACTATAGTACTACAATGTACTTCTACTCTTTCACATTACTATAGTATTCTACACTACTGTAGTACTCTACACTATAGTACTCTAATCTATAGTATTCTACACTACTGTAGTACTCTACACTATAGTACTCTAATCTATAGTACTCTACACTATAGTACTCTACACTATAGTACTCTACACTACTACACTACACTAATTATCTCATAACTTACATATACATTAAGTTACAACTATTATACACTTCTCTCAGGATTCTTATCTCCAACATTACTGTCACTACCAGTAACATTACTACTTGTAACATTACTTCCTGCTACATTTAAAATAGATGGAATTCTTGCTTCTTCATGTCGTGGAGATAAATACTTTTGACTATGAATTCCAAAACTATTCCTATTATCTAATTCATGAATCAGAGGTAAAACAGTACCAGTACTACTTTGTTGACCTCTAATTGGTCCAGGTCCAGGTCCACCACTACTTCCACCTATTATTGATATACCTGGTGGTGGTGATTGACCACCCGGTTGAAGATATCTATATTTTTGATATAAATCAGTTGGTTTATAATATTCTCCGGAATTAATTACAGCTCCAGGAGGTAAACGAGGAAAATAAATTCCATCGGATGATTTCCCTTCTTCTTGTCCACCACCTTCAATTCCAAGTGGCGGTAATTCAATTACATCTACAATTCTATTTTTTGGTGGAGGTCCAGGAATAAATTTTGCAGCCGAATCTCGAGCACTAAACAGTAAAAATTCAGCATAATTTGATTTAATTGTAAAATCAGAATTTAAAAATTGAGGATGAGGTAATGGTTCAACATTATATTGTCTAGTAACTATTTGTTTGGGATCTTCAATAACTTCAACATTATCTTTGGCATAATTAACTGCCATTTTATTTTCTTTACCGGTAACTCCATGTTTTCTTCTTATATGTCTTGCTAATGAATCATGTCTAGGATAACTTTGAACTTTAGATCCACTTCTTGAACAATAAATACATTTATAAATCTTCTTCTTTGTAGCATGAACAAATTCTTGATGTCTTAATAATTCATTCTTACCATAAAATATCTTTAAACATTTCCTCATAGTATTTGGATCAGTTAAATGACATTGATGAATAACTCCTGATTTACCCTTTTTAAATTTATCTTCTGCACTATCATCATCATATTCAAATTCATTTAATGGAACATTAGTACCGGAAGAAATATATGGTATATCAGATGCTGAAAGTTTCTTCTTGGATAAATCCGATCCAAACTTTAATTGATTTTGAAATTGAAAAATAGGTCCAGATATTTGTGATCCTCCTGATCCTTTACCATATGCAAACTGTTGATGAGAACCTGGTATGCCACCAGGATGATTAAGCATTTGTTGGGCAGTAAATGGAGATATTCCTTGTAATCTTTCACTATATAAACTTTCATCATCGTCATCATCATCGTCATCGTCATCGTCATCATCGTCATCATCATCATGATCTCCTTCTGAACTTTCATCAGACCTTAATTCCCTTCGAGCAAATGGACGTATTCTTTGATCGTCTGCTCCTTGAATTGTGGGATCTGTTGGTTGTCGTGGATCTTGATACGCCAGTTCAGGGTCATGATTCAAAATATTCGAAACAGATGCTGCTGATGAATATATAGAAGTATCTGGGGCAGAACGTTCACTCTTATAAGGTGAAGATTTAGGCAGCCTTATCTCATGTTTGACTTGTATGGTATCTCTTTCACTAGGGCTGGATCGATATGAATCCAGTGATTTTTGAGATGATAAGTTTTTGTTTTTGTTTTCCTTTTTCAGTGATCTTGGGCTTACCTCATGCTGTGTTTGATTAGATTTCCCAGAACTTTCATATTGATTTCCTTTGTCTTCATCATCTTCATCATCATCATCATCGCCGTCATCTTCTTCGTGCTCTTGTTCTCTCTCATCATCTTCATCTTCCTCTTCATCCTCTTCTTCTTCCTCATCTTCTTCAGATTCCTCTATACCAATATCACTTTCTGTAATATTATGTCCTTCAGATATACTATTAGCTCGAGAAGTCAATGAATTAGTTCTACTTCTACGACTAGAAAGCTTTGATTTACCAGAAGTCTTTGGTGATACATTCTTTCTTGGTCGTTGAATAGATTTCTTTTTCCTAATTGGAGATCCAACATCTTTTAATATAATATCAACATATGGTTTAATCTTTACATTATTAAGTTTTTTAGTTTCAATTTCAGGATTAAACGAATGATAAGAATAATTATAAAATGGATAAGGAAATGGGAATTGTAATCCAGATAACATTGAATCATTTAAATAATTTTCTGGTGGTCTTACTATAGGTCCAAAAGTAGTTGGAATAATTGTAAATCCAATTAATTTTAAGAAATAATCTAAATTAGGTAAGATATGAATAAGATGATAAGTTTCCCAATATTGTAATGAATAAATTAAATCAACCACATATCTAGTAACATGAGAAGCTAAAGATAAATTAAAGTAAGTTGAAGAAAATTTTAATAAACTATCATAATTATCAATTAATACTTTAGATAAAGTTCCATTAGGATATATAGCAGAAGGATGAACAAATTTATTTCTACTTGATGGTAAATTTTGTTTCTTTTCTTTAGTTCTTATTCTTGGTTGTTCTGTTTCCTTAGGTTCAGCCATTGGGAATGACCATTTTGCTTCAGGGGTTGGTACATAAGATGTTAAATCCAATAAAGAATTTTCAATTCTCATTCGATTAGAATCTTCAAGATGATCTTCTTCGAGCAATAAATGTAATAATTCATTTAATTTAAATGAATATATATCTATGGATTCTTCATCTATTCTTCTTCTTTTCTTAGAAGTATTTGTTGTGCTTGATATAGATGTATTAGCATTTGTGGTTGTGGTTGTGGTTGTATTTGTATTTGTAGTTGTATTTGCATTTGTGGTTGTCGTTGTGGTTGGATTAAAAGCTTCATCCACCAAAGACGGGCTCCTCTTATGAGGATATAATTTTTTCAATTCTTTAATTATCGGGTCATCTTCATTTTCTGTAACATCTTGATTATCGTAGTATGGCAATGCACGAGGTATACTTCGCTTTATTCGTTTTATTAAATCTAAATTATGTTATGTTAGTAAAACAAATATTCAACCACTAATAAATAATAATAATCATAAACTATACATACCATCAGGATGAAGTATTTGACTATTAAGGAAATCATTATTATTCTAGATGGATAAGTTTGTTAGTATATACTGTTAAATATAAAATAAAAGAAAATATATGATATCAATGTAACCATTACTAATTAATAATATATCAACCATTACAACACTCATACTGTCTCCAATATTACTACTCATAATTTCTCAAGAATTTTAACTAATAATATTTATAAATTATCAATTAGCAATTATTGCAATGTACATATTATCATATTATAAACTGATAAGCATGATGACTTACTCCTGGTACTACGACCAAACGCTCCGAGGCCATAGTTTACTTGTGGTTTCTCAACTTAGTCAACTATAGACAATGGGAAATTATTAACAATTATAACCTGTTTAAGTATTAGTATGCAAATATTAATAGTCATTCTGGGACATTTTTGCCAGTTGGAAATTTAGCACTCAAAATTTCTTTTCGAGCATTTGGGCGCTGCACACGACCGCGCCTCTTTTGCCGAATTTGATGTATGTACATAACTAAGTCAAATTGCAACCCTCACTACTGAGAGATAAGGTGAGTACACGACTATCTACTATAGAGTAATTAATTATAATAACTAATTATAATAATTATTTCGTTCAGTCTAATTTAGTATGGTACAGATATAAAATAATATAAAATGTCATTATTAGTAAGTGTCTGATATAAATGTCTGATATAAATGCTTAGCTTTATGGTTTAAGTGTCAGTTATCAACACACTGTTCGGATTTAATTCCCATCAGAGATGCGACCACCACAAACAAACAAATAAACAAATAAACAAACACAATGTCTTTTACGAGAGAGCGGGTGCTACCATATATAAATATACATATATAAATATATCACTTTATATTAAAATACAAATACAATTAAAAACTTCTATATCAAACTAGGAAATTAGCCCCGGTCGATGGTTGTCTATGCGAAGGAACAATGGTAGGATTTAATGCTTCAGACCCCGTCACAGTCGCTTGTGTGGCCGCAGCCTTTTTATTATTATTTATTGAAATTATATCTTCTTCTGTAGCATCATTCTTTATACTATTTGTTTCAAGTGAAAGTTTGAGATATGATTGATGTACAAGATGATTATGAAAATTAAGTGTAGTTTCTTCACTATATTCTCCTCCAGCTTCTATATCTGCATCTTCTTCAGCTTCGGCTTCTGCTTCGGCTTCGGCTTGAGAAATAATATCTTCAATCAATCTCTGATTGGCAAAATATTTGTTATAAACATAATCTGGATCTTCACCGAGATATTCAACCACATGTCTAAATACTTTATCATATACATCTTGGCCCCATAAATTATCTAAATGTTCATGATCAGCAACAGGTATGGCGGTGGTTGTATGAGTAGGAAGTTGATTTTTCATGACATCAATATCAACTAATGAATCAATATCACCATATATTAAATGAATAGGTACTTGAATATTTTTAAGTGGATAACTTATAGGTGATAAGCCTGATAATTGTGAATGAGTATCATGATACATTTGAAAATTCTTTGATGAAATAATTTGAAACCAATGAACAACTGTTTTGACAGAAGTAGTGGAATATAAATGAGCATAACTACTTAATTTTTGAATTTTGGAGATATTATATGCCCTCCAATTAAATAATATATAATTAGATCCATCAATTAAACTATCAAATAATGGTGGATAAATGATTTTTTGCCAAAAATTAATTGAAGGCATCAAAATTTTCCTCGAAAATAATAAATAAAATATGTTTGGTGATGATTTTAATAAAATATCAAGGAATTTTGAATATAATCCATGAGGAGTTGCAGCCGGAGAAATAGCAATTAATTGATATATTTTATCATTTAAATCAGAATTAAGTGAAACACTGGCAAATGCTTGGGCTGTACCTTGACTAAATCCAATATATGTTAATTTTTCAGCATTTGTTGCCTTTAAAATATAATCAATTGTATTAGGAATATCAAAAAGAGCAAATTCATCTAATGAGAAATCCCAAAATTGTTCTGATTGTAATTTATAATAAAGATGTTTTTGACTATATTTATTTCCACGATTATTTCCTAACCATACATCATATCCAAGTTCATATAATAAAAATGGTAAATTATTATACTTATCAATCATTGTAACCCAAATTTCACTACTCATTAATAATCCATGATGTAAATAAATTACTTTACCATTTCTTGGAGTTTGTTCTTGTTGATGACTCATAATTCTTTGAATAGTAAGAAGATAATTATCTTTCGTTTGAACTATTCTACTTTCAACATCATAACCAAATAATTGACACATTTCTCGAATATTCTTTGAATTTAATAATCCAATCATTAAATCATATTTCTCTTTATGTATGACATCTTTTTCATTAATACTATAATTATATTTAGGCCCATACTCTTCTTCTTGCTTTTCATTTATACTTGAAGTTTCAGATTCATTAAACTTCCCCTTAATTAGATTAATATTATTAGAAGTAAATTTAAAAAATAATGAAGCAAGAGCCGTAAAATATCCAATTATAGTAATGGGTAGATTGGTTGTTATTGATGATATTATGAACTCCATCCATGCCAAAAAGAATGATATAACTATAATAGGCCAGTCCATAAGACTTAGACGTCCAAAAAATGGAATATACATGTTTGATATAGTGCAATTGATGAATTAATTCGTGATGATTGCTAATTGCTGAAGATGACAAAACAAGTATGAATTTTTCTAATTATAGATAAATATAGAGGCTTATCAAGATAAGCGACTTTTCTAAGTTTAATTATGCTATTTCCGTGATGATTTATGTATTGTTAATGACTAATTGTTAATTGATATCATTCAAGTCAGGTACCTCTTCATGCTTTTAATGCTTAAAGGGGGCTGCGCATTTTATTTTAATATGGTATAAAATATCACGTGCAAGTTTAGCCTTTGAATAAAGTTATCAGTTTAAGTTAATAACTATTTAGTGATCAATGAATGTGATATAATCTTAATCTGCAATGAAGTTATTCACTATAATTGCTTAATTGTCTAGGAAAATAGTAAGCTGTATGTCTACAGAAATTTGCTAGAATACGGATATTGTTAATACTGGGATTCTCGGTTTAAATTTAACAAAGATCTTACGCTAAATTATAAATTAAAGATAAATATTAGAAAAAGTGATAATATTTCCCCAGACCAGAAATTATCCACCTTAATCAGTAAATGTAGCAATCCATTCACAACAAACAATAAAGACCCAGAGCAAACTTACAGAACGGTCGTACTGACAGCTGCAAAAAAGAAACGTCATATAGAAAATAATTAATAGCAACTTTACAGTCTTAATCAATCTGTGATTACACGGCTCGAGAAATCGGAAATCCTGCAGCAGTTCGGATAGATACTAAAACCGTTGTATGTCAAAATGTCAGTTACAAGTCTTAAGTCATTATTCTCGATTTAAAAGAGGCTATACTCTGATGGTAGGAAATGGTCAAATTAAATTAGTTAAAATTTTAAGCGCTTACGTAAGCGGCATTTGAATTTTGTACGACTTTTGTATATACAGATTACATACTTTTGCTGCAAAGCATGAGTGACACTAACAAGAATGATGAGCTCTTCAAAAGCTTTTTGGAACAAGCATTGGGCAACGACCGACCAATTGGTTTCAAGGAAGCGTGACTGAGTCATTAAATTTTAATCATCCATAAAACTTTGGTCACATTGAAGATTCTGTGGGGTTTCATATCATACAAATCAGCAGATTTATTTCTAATGTGATTTACGAATTGAGTAATCGGAAATGATTTGATATGAATTGCGCTGTTCGTATAAGTTTAGATTCTCGGCTTCTTCCCCGGAGCCATAAACTAAAGCAATGGAAGAACCCTTAAGAAAATAATACTACTTCAACATCATCATAATGATATTAATAGATCTTTAGAAATTTGCGCTTCAAAATTTAAGTTAGATGTTAGTTATAATTTAGGGCGCTTCAACGATAACTAAAATTGGAAATGTAGTTGCGCGCATTTTTAAACTTTACGAGCCATATTGTGTTCACCGTAAATGCTTTAGACGCTTACATAATATATGCATATATGCATAAAGGAGAATGGAACCGTCCCCGATGCAATAGAACCCAATATTTTGTAGAAAATTACGACCAAGTAAGGGATGTTCAATTATGTTGAACAATACCCAATATAAAATCAAATTGTTGATTGTAATTTCTGAATACATATATTGTTCACAACAAGTAGTCAAGGCAAACATCCGAGTATTGGTCAAGTATTCTACTTATCCATATGTATCGGAATGAAGTTATCCTTTTGGTTGACAGTTGACTATTTAAAGCCTCCAATGATAAGATTATCTGCTCTTTATTTCTATTCTGTCTTTAATTTACCCCAATTCCTTACACTCCTTGAAAATTGGAGTATAATTAATTCAAAAAATAATTTGCATGACTGGGGTGTGAATTATAATGGACGTTACTGTTTTCCCATAACGTGTGCTCAAAATCAATTTTATTATTATAAAATAATTTTTAAAGATCTTTTATGGTGGTCTTTGAAGTGGTTAAAAATAATCTACGCCGTATCTTTATTGGGAAATGTAACTTTAATCGTTTGTAACACCACCTGAACAACATGAATGATCTAACAATAGGGAAATAAAAGCGCAAACGTGCATCAAGTGGTAGTATAGTTTGGAATTATGACCTAGTTCTCCTTTGACATAATTGACAGATCCTTTCCTATTGTCCAAGAAATACTACTAAGGGGATGCGGGTATATTATTTAACAATTTATGGAACCCTATTATCCATGCGCTCATATTGCTGAATATTGCTGAATGTGTATTTCTACGTAAATGTGAGTGAAAGAGAGGAGTGGGTTTGTATGTGTGTGTGTCATTCTATCCTTAAATTGAACATTACTAATATCAATCATCTATTTAGCCTAAAGTATTGCTCAGCCTTGCGATAGCCAATTATAACAATCTCGTGAATCTACTCACAATAGGTCAAGAGGGGCGCTACTCTCAAATATGCGATTACGTAAGCGCCAAAAAAGAATTCGGTACAAAAAAGAAAGAAAGAACGACAGAAAAGAATGCAAAATTTAATTAGAGAAAAAGGAAAAAAAAATATTTTTTTATGATTAACTTCATTATCAACAGGTGAATAATTGAGTACATTTAAGCCTGTACACCATGAGGCGTAAAGAAGATCCAAAATTGTGTATAAATATAGATGCAAATTCCTAATAATTTACAATTTATACTTTTGATTTTATTCTATACTTAACTCAACTCAATCAATTGTACTCAATAGCTCAATAGCTCAACAAGATGGATCTGTCTCAAATTAACCTTTCCGAATTACCTCAATACAGTCAATGGAAAATTACTGGTTATGTTCAAGTTGTTTGGTTTATTCTTATATTAATTGGTGCTTTAGCTACTTATATTCCAAATTTTACTGTTGTTCGTACTAATTTTAGGGTGTTTTTAGTTTCTTTCACACTTTATAATATATTTAAAATTGCTGGTGGTATTACTTCAATAATTTTATTTCATAATAAAACTTTTAGTACAAATGTTTATATTGCTACTTATGTGTTTGACTCAATTTCTTTAGGTTCATTAATTAAATGTTTAACTCCATTTATTCAAATCATGATTAATGATGGATTTCAAACTCCTCAATATTTTGATAGAAACTCTCCATTAACAAGTAAAGACAAGGAAAAATTGGCAAAGAAAAATCGAATTTTCAAATTATTAACTGTTGTGATTGTTGTTGCAATTATTCTCTCTATTATTGCAGCTACTCAAATTGATTTTTCAACTGCAACTCCAAATTCAACTTCTAATACTTTATTTAAAGTATCTTCAATCTTATTTTTAGCCTGTGTTATCTTATGTACCGTTAGTTTGATTCATATTTTAACTATCAATGCTTATTACATCAAATTTGCAATCTTAATTCTTATTTGTGTCCCATTATTGATTGTTAGAGTTATTTATTCAATAATTTCTTCTTTCCATGGAATTGACTATACTAGTCCTTATCTTTTAGTATTTGGTGATTACAGATATTATGCATTTATGGTATTATTATGTGAAGGACTTGTTGCACCACTTTATTTGGTTACAATGAATTATTTCATCTATAAGTTGAAGCAAGTAAACCCTCCTACTTATGATGCTTCTGATGTTGAACGTGCTGATTCAGAAGTTCATTTTACTAAGGATAATTATTAGTAGCATCATTGTTATTATCTTCATAATTATCGTCATTTGCATAGATTTTGTTTCTTCTTATCTATTGTTAGCTTCCCTTTTGTTTTTATAATTTAGTGATTTATTATATATAGAGTGTTAAATGGAAAATATATTATATTTTAAAATTTTTTTAGTATTTTACTATTCTATATTATACAATTCTTAATTAACGTCTTCTTATTCTTCTTGACATTTCTGGTAATTTAAATGGAACCTTTAAAGATGCAATTTTATAAGTACTAGCAGCATTCTTTGGAATTCCAAAAGCTTCTGCTTGTCCAACAGTAGCAGATTTAACTATAGCACCTAATGCTTTAAATAATCCTAATAATCTAGTAGCTTTCATATTTAATTCATTAGCCAATGGTGGGACTTCAACCATGAAATTATCAATGTGAAATATTAAAGCCAAAAGATAACATAATAATTTATCTTCATGATGAGGGTCAATCATAAATGAACGATCTTTAGATTTCCCAATGGCTGTTGATCTACCGATAGTAAATCTTTCTAAAATTCCATCGATTAAAATTTCACTAGGAGCATTTTGAAATCTTTCCATTAATGATTGTTTATCTCTCACTCTTCTATTTTCATAAACACCAAATAAAATAGATGCATAAAATAATAATTGTAATTTTTCAGTATTATTTTGGGCAAGAATTTGAGGAATATGTTTATTAATATATGATGATTTAGTGTATGGTAATAATTCAATAACATTTTGTTCAGAAGTTTCATTAAATAATGATCCAACACGAAGGAAACTAAATTCTTTCTTGGGTATTATATTATTAATTGGATAAATATTTTCAACATTAGTGGCATCAACATCAGCAATAGGTGTTGGTCTATCATGAGTTACTAATTCTTCCATCTTTGCTCTAGTTGGTAAATCTTGAGTAGATTCAGAAACAGTATCAACAATATCTAATTCAATATCTTGTAATTTTTCAGAATCAATTCTATTCTTTTCCAAATTAGTAATGGCAGCCTTGGCTTTCTTAGTACCAAAGGCTTCACCCAATGCATTTCTTTGAGTGATATTTCTAACTCCTGCTTGTTTAATACTTGGTCCTTTATATATTCTTTTTGCTTTAGCTGTAACTTTCCCATTAACAAATGGAGTTTTATATAAATCCAATGATTTATTCACAGGATCATAAAATGCAAGAACATAATCATTAGTATCTTCACCATTAGTTTCTCCATCATAATCTAAATGATCACTTTCTCCATGTATAACATATTTTTGTTGTTTCTTATGTTTATATAAATCAAATTCAGTTGATTCTGGAACTTGTAATCCTTGAAAAAATGATCCAACTACAGCAACTGGTTCGTCAGTAAATGAAGCAACTCTCAATTCTGTAGCCTTGGATGATTCTCTACTTCTTTTCAATCCTCCTCCACTCATTTTAGTATAGTTATCCAACTAATGTTTGAGTATTAAAAATCAATTGTAGATCTTTCACAGATACTCGAAGCTCTGCTCATCTGTATATTTTTTTTCAGTTAGTACAAATTTTTTTTTGCAATGTACGTTTTGCATATTACACGACATTAACGTTTATCTTCACATACATTTTAGTATGGATCTATAACACACACACACACACAAGGAGATGTCGTATATAGAAGGGAAAGATATTCAAAAATCATATTATGATATATTAGGAATATTACCAACGGCCGATGAAATTACTATTAAATTAGCATATCGTGAAAAGCTTCTTTCAACTCATCCTGATAAGAATACTTCATCTATATCTAATTATATAAATAATGATGAAATTAATTCTATTAAAGATGCATATAAGACATTAATTGATCCAACAACTAGAAAGTTATATGATGAAACATTAGTGAAATCAATTCAAAGACATGGATTTAATGTTACAGGAGAAGGTTTAGATAATTATGATTTGAATGATTTTGAAGTTAAAGAAGATAATAATTCTATTATATGGTATAAAGATTGTCCTAGATGTCATGCTATACGAAGTATTTCATTAACTGAAGATGATTTAGAAAATCAAGGCACAGATGATGGTATGGGAGGTTTTGATATAATTGTACAATGTTCAAGTTGTAGTCTATGGATAAAAGTTAAATATTATGAAGAGGATGAAGAAAATGATAATGATCAAGATTAAATGTAAATTTGTATATACTAATAGAAATTTAATGTAATATATATATATATATATATATATATTTAAACTATCAAACATATGATAGTGGCCAATATAATACCTGGTAATATACTACAGATATTCATTGGAGCTCCATCTATAACATCATCATCATCATCTGAACTATTAGTTTTATTGCTTGGACAATCATCTGTCCAATTGAAAGAACTATTCGTAAATAAATGATAAGTAATATTACTTACTACTTCAAAATCATTATCAATATCATTACTTTCAGTAAAGAAACTCCATACTTTTGATAAAGAAAATGCTTTACTAGCCTCTCCAATTGCCTTTTTGGAACTAACGTTAATATTACTAACTAATTGATCAGTTTTAACAAGTTTCTTAACATTCTTTCGGAAATTTTCAACCGCATCAACTTTTTGTTGAGCAAATGCTGCACCATTCTTTATCTTATCCTTAACAATTTCTTTAGCATGAGCATCTGTTGTTAGAGTAGTTATAAAATTCTTTGGTCCTGCTTCTAATATGATATTATAAAGTGTATACCATTTACTCATTTCTGTAAAATTAGCACTATTAGCTGCTTTACTTAGTCCTTCATATATTACATCATTAACTCCAGCAATTACTCTACTAAATCCCTTTGATTTTAAAACTGTATCTGTTGCATTCTTAATTACCAGAAGAATCTCTTGATCATCTGGCTTTTCAATTTTTATTTCAATTGTACTATTAGCTTTACTAGTATTATTTAGAATAACAACTTGAGGTTCAGTTCTTCTTCTAACTCCTCTCTTTTTAGTCTTATTCCAAGCATTATTTTGCATTCCATGAATCTTGTAGAATTCGTAATCGGAATCATCTTCATCATAATCAAAGTTGTAATAATCGGCGTCATTTTCACTTTCAGAATCATCATCACTATCTCCTTCCATTTGAACACAGTCATCATTATCATCATGAGACCATTGATTTTCATTCACTATATCATCATTGTCATTATCATCATCAGTATTTTCTTCTTCATCCTCACTTTCTTCATCATTTGAATCAGGATTATCGTAATTGTATTCATAGGCGCCCTCATGATAACCATCGTAATCCATTTCATCTTCAAAGGAATGTCCTCTAAAATAATTTATAATACTTCGGAATGAAAATAAATGAGGATTACTTATAGTTTCATAATCAGATTCAGACTCAGATTCGGAATCAGTATAATTTGATATAGATGAATTTGGAATATTCAGTTTTGCTTTAATGGTGGCAGCAACTGATAATTCTGGTACATAAAATGATATAACCATACATGTGACTAGTAATAGATAACTTGATTTCATATCGTATATATATCTTCAAATGTTCTATAGCCATTTATTATATATTGTTCATAACCAAAGGGTTCATTAAATATTTATATCAACTTTTTTTAACAGCCGTTTGCGATTCTTATATCAACCTCCTGAATTATATGAGGGACAATTAACAATTAACAATTAACAATTAACAATTGAACAAAAGTTGATAGAACAGTTAATAATATTTCATTCTACCGACTTTTAAATGTTCATATCAAATGGGTGATATTCTGGTTTATTCAATTACTTTAATGAATAGAATTCATTATCATGATCAAGTTATTATTTCAATTAGCACTATCGATTGTTTACTTTGTATTCCAATTCTTTTGACCAGTCATCCAACTCCTTTGTTATGGCTTCTATCTTATATACTTTCTTCTCTATATCTTTAAGAATTACTGAATAGGTTGCAAATTCCTTATCTAGACATATTGTTAGTAATTCAATTTCCACTAGATATATATCCTATTCACTAAAAAATTATTAATCTAATACATACCTAATGATCTTAACTGCTTTGAACTTCTTTCGATGGTATTAAGATTCAGCTCCAATTTAATATAATTCAACGATTGATTCGTATTAAGATTTTCCAATAAGTTCAAATCAATAACTGCCACTTCTGTATCTGATTCCACTAATTTGGATACAGATTTAAGAGCATGATTTATCAATCGAGGAGTTTCATTCAGAATTGACATTACTACAAGTTGTGAATTGTACTTTGTTCTTTGTTCTTTGTTGGTGGTGGATGGGTTTTACTTCGTTCGTGGATGAATAATTATGTGCACACATTAAATGATTTTGTTAGACTACTAACTAACTAACTAACTGCGCAATAGTTAACGTTTAAAACATATTCATATTTAATTAATACTGGATTTTTATTAAATAATGCTATATATACAGGAATTAAATATGGACTTAACGTCCACTATACAATTTATACATGTCTATCTTCTTATGAGCTTGAATATTTGCCCATTTATTAGTAGGTTTAGCATTCAATTTCTTAACATAATTAACCCTTTTTGGTTTTTCTATTAAATGAGTTAAACTAACTCTTACTTTTGATTCTGGAGTAATGATTTCATAAAGTCCTGGTAATTTATCAGCAGCTTTTCTTAAAGCTTCTCTTGCAACTCTATCATGAATACCACCTCTGATTTCGAATAAAACTTTTCCGGTTGGGAAACGACAAGCCCAATGATCAAATGGACCTTTACCTTTACCCATTCTTGTTTGATTACCTTTAACACAGACAGCAGTATTACATGAAAATCTTGTAAGTCTTTCTGAACGACTTGGTCTAAGTTCTCTTTGTAATACTTTATCAGCTGCTTGTAATTGATTAGCTGCCATTCTTATACCTTTTGATTTTAATCTTAAACCAAGTTTACCAAATGCTAAACTATTACCTTTAACAGAACCTCCAGTTCTAACACTAACTTTCCCCTTCATAGTTTTTCTAATTTTTCTAAATCTTGGTGCATATTCATGTTTTAATCTCATAGACATTATATTATTCATTAATGGACTAACTCTACTAGTAACTGACGGAAATGATGTCAACAAAGGAGTCACGGGACTTCTCATTGGTCCCATGGACATCCTCGAGAACATACTTCTGGATAATCCAAACATTGCTTTAAGTTCTCCTTGGTTATCTTTACAAGTGTCACTGTTAAACTTGTGTTGGAATCAAATAATTTTTCATTGACCAAATAGTTGGGTTGGTGCACGTCCAAATATAACATGAAAAAACAAAAAAGAATAAAAATCAATACCGCAATACATATTTCCTTATATATATAAGTATATTAAAATTTTTAACTATGTACATGTTAAATTAATCTAACGGATTTCTACATCGAAAAGTTTCTTTAAATCCTGTTCAACGTTATTGTGTAAAACATTAATCTCTGAATTAGTTAAATTTCTATCCATTGATTGATAATTCAAACGATAAGTTTGAGATCTTTTACCAGTTTTTGGATGAACGAAATTATCGATATTTTCAACACTTTCAGTAAGATCACCAGCATGAGTTCTTACAATATCCATAACTTCATTATTATGAAGAGTTACATCTTTTGGTAACCAAAATGAAATATCTCTTTTAATACCTGGATATTTTGAATAAGGTGCAAAAGTATTAATATTCCCACTACTGAATTGTTTTCCAAATCTCTCATCTAATGTCCAAAATAATCTAATATCAGGTATACCAAATAATAACATGGCAATTCTATCGAGACCTATACCGAAAGCCCAACCTAATTTTTCTTCACCTAAACCAGAATTTAATAGAACTTGTTGTCTAACTATACCACATCCACAACATTCTAACCATTCACCTTTCCACCAAACTTCAATTTCCCATGATGGTGCAGTCCAGGGGAAATAGGCTTCAACCCATCTAATTTTTAATGGTTCATTTAAATAAGGTTCAGTAGATCCAGCCAATTTAGCTGATTTTCTAGCAGCTTCAAAGACTTGATTAACTAAATATTCGATGGTTTTCTTTAAATGGACACTAACTAAATAAACTTCATTATCAGTCATATAATCTTGCTTTGGATTACCTTCATTAAAACAATTTTCTCTGAATGGATCTTCAACAATGATATTAGTTTTAGGAATTTGTTCAATATCATGAGCAATTATTTCTTCAAGTTTATCACTTTTAGTCCAAATTCTAGCTCCTTCCATTTGATGAAAAGCAGGATAATGGGTACGATCTATTTCATCCTTTCTATAAACATCAGCAGATATAACATAACCAGGAGTTTCACAAGTTTGAAAACATTCATGTTCATGAGCAGATGTATGAGTTCTTAATAAGTTATCTTTATTCAAATAATAAGTATCAGATTTAGATCTACCTGGATGATCTTGGGGAAATCCTAATACATCGAAATTTTGAAATGTAGTAACTCCAGGTGTAAAATCATTATAGAAAGTATAACCCATTCCTTTGAAATTCTTTTCAATTAATTCACGTAATATTCCAATGGGGTGATTATTATCATGATGCAATCTTCTTTGAGTTAATTCAAGAATATATGGTGGAACATTAGTCCATTCATCTGTCTTATAAGTTTTCCCATCTAATGATATTTCTTCAGGGTATACTTTTGAATTCCGAGCAATGGAATAATATCTTGATATTATCTTAATCCCTCTCAACTGAGAAGCTAGACTAACTCTTGGAAAAGTAATTAACTTCAACATTAGTGAAGCAGGCCAATTGTGGAGTAATTTGAGAATTGGTCAAATCAGATATTTCAGTTTTCGGGTTGGAGAAAATTGAAAAATACTGCATACAACTTCTTATTATATAGCCTTACTATAGTATAGTAAAACTATACTATAGTTTATAAATAATGATTATAAATCTTAATATTCTACTTAATAATACATTTTAATTATATAAATTAATTTGTTTTTTAAACAGATTCTATACTTTTACTTACCATACTTCCTCTTTATATCTACCTTGATCTTCCATATCTAATACATATTGTTGAGCTTCATTGTCATTAAGTGCTTTGTACTTTTTTAATATTTCAGTAAATGTGATTTTTACTTGTTTAGGCATCTTACCACTGGATCCACATACAAAAACTATAGCATTTTGATTATATATTAAATCTCCAATTAATTCAAATTCTTTGAATAATCTATCTTGAACATATTTTGATTGAGATTCTGGATCTCTTGAAAAACTTGGAAATAAATGAATTTTATTCTCTTCTTCTAATCTTAACCATAATTCAGAAAATAAAAAATCTTTACTTTCAAATCTGAATCCTGTAAAAAGATATAACCCTCTTGTAGTTTCACTTATAATTGAATGCTCAATTAAAGCTTTCATTGGTGCAATACCAGTTCCTGGACCTATCATGATAACAGGTGGAGTATCTTTACCACGAAGTGTAAAACTTAAATTAGTCTTTTGAATAGAAAGAATAATCGAATCATCTTTTTGAAGAAGTTTCAACCATCTTGTACATAATCCCCGTCTTATACGACGAAGAATTGTTTTATATTCAACAATAGCTACAGCTATCTCAACAGAATTAGGACTTGGTCTTGATGCTATCAGGAAATATCTTGGTTGAATTAATGGGAATACATCAAATATATATTCTATTGGAATTTTTAAATTCTCTTGAAATTCTAAAATCGTTTCCAATATCAGTCTTCTTGGTCTATTAGCATAATTATATAATTCTTCACTTTCTTCCATAGTACTGAAGTCTTTCAATTTACTTCTTTCTCTATCACCATCTTCTGTTTGTCCATTACAGAATCTCCATATTTTGAAAAAGAATGATCTTCTGGGAACTGAAGCAATATCAAGATGATGAATAAAAAGATTTCGAAGGGTCAACTTTTCTGAACTTATATAACCTCCATTTAGATTGGGGAGAATCCCATCAATATTTAATGGTAAGTCTGCAACTTGCAGCCAATGAGGTTGCAGTTTCAACAACAAATCAACACTTTGAGGATCATTGCTTGGATACAACGCTATCGTATCTCCTGGAAGATAATTCAAATCTTGAGATTCAATAATTATATGTCTGACATCTTGAAAATGACTTTCATCAGTTATTCGGATATTATCTCGAATTTTACCAAGAACCAAGTTATTATCAGATTCAAGACGAGTTAATGATAAATCTTGGACTTCTTTATCAGATAACTTCAATTCCGATTTAGTAGTATTAAGTTTTACAGCATTCTGAGCAGGTAATTGAACTTCTGAATCAATTTCAAGTAATGAGGGAAAATGTATTCGTAAAGATTTTATTAACTGTAATTCCCACTCTTGATAATAACCATCAATACCTTCAGGAGACATTTCATCTGCCTCACATCTAGGAGATAATTCTGAACACCCTAATTGTAACAATCTCGTATGAATTTTTCTAGAACCATAATTAAATTTCGAATATGAAGAATCACCTAAACCAAAAGAAGTTAAATAAATATGATTTAATAAATCTGAAGGTAATTTTTTCTTAAGAATGAATTTCATAAATTTTTTTGCATTTCTTGGTAATTCACCTTGACCAGTAGTTGAACAAATTATAATTAAATATTTGGTATGAGTTGCTAATTTTTTTAATGGATAATCATCTAATGAACATACAGTTGGAGATATCAGATAGTATTGAAGACGTAAACCAAGAAATCGAGCATAATCTTCAGCATTGCCTGTTTCGGACCCATATAAGATAGTCACCCCCTCACTATTCATACTATCCTGTATCATAGTTCATCCAGCACAGTTAAATACTGAAAAATTCTGGAAATCTTCTTGAAATCTTCTGGAAAAGTTCTTGAAAAGTTCTTGAAAAGTTCTTGAAAAATTTCTTATCAGATCTCTTATATTATTTAGCAATTAGGTACTACTATATATTGTAGTGCGAAAGCTAACAAAAATATATATAGTGCGAGAGTGAGTGAGTGAGTGAGTGAACGAAAAACTTTGAAATAGAAAACCAAAATAAACATACATAAACAGTGAAAAGTGAAAATTCCACTACTCCGGTCTAGTACGCAAAAAGAGTATTATTGAATTATTATGGCACCTAAGAGAAGAACACTGACAAACAATACTCCTGTAAAGAAGCAGAAAGTAGAAGTACCAAGTCCTGAAGAATTTAAGCAATTTTATTCATCTACTATTAATTTAGTACTTAATATTAATGATGATAAGACAAATGAACAATTATCAGGACCATTTGTTAAATTACCATCGAAAAAGTTATATCCAGATTATTATCAATTAATTGAACATCCTATTGCTATTTCTGATATTCAAAAGAAAGCATCTCGTGGTAAATATTCTGATAATTCAGCTGATGAATTTTTAAGTGATTTTAAATTATTATTAGATAATGCTATTAAATATAATGATCCAGAATCTTGGATTGTAACGAGTGCTCAAAGAATTTATGATTTTGTTCATGATCAAGTTAAAGAATTTGATGTAGGCAAACCTCATCATAAATCATTAAAGTTAAAACTTAAACATTCAGATATACCACAAGAAGAAGTTACTTTAACCAATTTACCAACACTTTGTAAAAATATAGTTAATACAATTGTAAATCATGAATTCCCAGATGATGGAATATTAAGTGGACCATTTATGGATGATGTTGATACTGAAGAATATCCTGATTATCTTAAATTTGTTACAAATCCAACATCATTCAATTCAGTATTAAATCATTTAGATAATAAAAAGTTCTTTTCCCCTAAAGCATCAATTTTAGATAATTTACAAAAGTTTTATGATGCTGTTGATTTAATATTCCTTAATGCTCAGGCTTATAATGATCCATCTTCAGAAATTTATCAAGATACTCTTAAACTCAAAGATTTATTTGTTGAACAATTTGAAGAATTGAAATCAAGAGTTGAACATGATTCTAAATCTTCTACAAAATTAAAATTAAAATTGGCTCCATCCAAACCAAAACTCAAAATTAAACTTGCTGCAACTGCTGAAACTGAAGAAGTTGAAGATACCAAAAAGAAAAGTAGGAAGAGAAGTAAACAATCAGTAAAAGAAGAAATCGAAGAAGAAAATGGTAACCTTGAAGATGAAGAAGATACTGCTAATACATCAACAAATAAAGAACCAGAAGTACAACAATCTACCGAAACAAAACCTAAAGCTGAAATAGTTACTGAAAAGGGGACTGCTAATACATTAGGTAAATCTCTTCCAAGTATACCAGAATCGGATTGTATAATCCAAGAATCAGCCATACTATCATCACCATCAGTAGCTGCTACCTTACCTCAACACATACAACAAAGATATAATCAATTAAATATCCCATTGCTGAGACAACAAGATCTTAAAAAGGCCTTATTTCCAACCCATCCAGTTATTCCTACTGGTTCAGTTATAGAATATAGAGTTCCTAGTAATGGATATGCTCAACAATCTTATTCCTTTTCACTTGCTCCAGAAATACTGCCTTATGTATCCTTTAGAGTAGGATTACACTATCTTCTTTATGCTATCAAAAAGGACGATTTAATTAATGGTCATGGATATTTAAATCTGACATCAGATGAAGATTTCCAATGTAAATTATATGTTAATAATGAAGAAGTTTCAAATGGTGGAGATTGTTTTGAAGATAAAAGAGATGACGCTAATCTCCTTGGACTTCTGTATGACATTAAATTGAATTATGGTTTAAATGTCATTAACTTTGAATGTAAAGTAGCACCAGCTTTAAGTAAACAAATTAAGAAAAGCATTGCCAATGATGCAGCTGAAGAATCTGGTGGCAGACATACAAGACATCAACTTCAACAATTAAAGATGAGTTGGGATGTAGAAACTATAAGTTTTTACATTATTTGTAACGCTGTATAATAAATAATTCTGTACGATATTATGTATCAAATAATCTATGTGACTCCTTTCTATTTTATATTATATACAAGTGTGCTCATGGTCATATCTTATTTTCCAATACAAAAGCTGGAAAATACAACTCCTAATATCTCTTCTATACCTACAGTATCTCCTGTAATTTTACCTATACCAATGGCAGATTGATTTAAACTTTCAGATGCTAATACTACATCTTCTTGATCTTTCCAATGATGAAATTGTTGGAAACCATATAAGACATCATTACGTAATATATCTTGAGCCCTAGAAGATATGATTATTGGATCTGCCACATCAGAATCAGTAACAATTTTGAATCGTCTGACCAATTCATCATTAAGATTTTGAATTCCAAAACTCGTAGAACAGGAAACTATGTGAATATTTTCAATAGGAATTTCTAAGGCTTCAGAATGTGATTTGATTAAATCTTCTCTTGTTAAATTAGTATCCCGTAAATCATCCTTATTTAAAACTACCATAATAGTTTTATTTAATTCTTTCAAGTGTTTAATATGTGATACTAGATCAGATTCATCTTGTTCTAATTGATTTATGGGCCTTACTATAACAACAATATCACTAGATAATGAATAATCTTTAGCTCGGCGAATACCTTCCTTTTCTATAATATCAGATGTAGAAGTTATTGATCGAATTCCGGCAGTATCACCTACAACTACTTTATAACCACTTATATCTAAAGGAATATCGATTATATCTCTTGTAGTTCCTGCTATCTCACTAACAATAGCAGCATCTTTATTAGCTAAAATATTCAATAAGGAAGATTTACCAGCATTTGGAGGACCAATTAAACCTAATCGAATACCTTTCAAAAGGATTTCGGAAGATTTGATTTTATTTAAGTACGATTCCATTTCATTCTGTAAATTAGTTATATTTTCTGAAACTGTAGTGAATAACTGTTCGACTTCTTCAACATCATGATCTTCTCCAAAATCGATTAATGTAGTTAATAATGCGATATTGTTTACTATTTCTTGTCTCCAATTGAGGAATACTTGTTTGTTTTTACCTGTTAATGAAGAAAGTGAAGCAACTCTTTGTAATTCAGTTTCAGCATCGATCATTTCTCGTATACCTTCAAGTTCTGTCAAATCAAATCTTCCATTGATAAATGCCCGTTTAGAGAATTCTCCATTTTCAGCATATCGAATATTAATATCCTTTTGTGGATCATGTAATTCAGAAATAGCTTTCAATACTGATTTTATGATTGCAGTACCTCCATGTAGATGTAATTCAAGTAAGTCTTCACCTGTATATGTCTTTGGAGATTTGAAAAATATAGTAAGTGCCTCATCAAGTAAAATTGAAGAATTGGGTGAATAAAGTTTCCGAACACTAGTGACTCTATTCTTGGGTTCTTTAGTTGATTTTGTAAGTTTTTGATATATGTATGATGATTGTGGACCAGTGATTCTTACTACACCCAAGGCTGACTTCGCAAACTTCGTTGATAACGCGTATATCGTAGGATTACTCACTCTCGAATAGTATCGTTTAGAAAAACATCTCGACACCATCCCTCCCGCACATCGCCCACCCGCAAAATATACTTGGTTTGTCATCTACTTAAACTATAAAACGGTTTGAAGTATCTACAAAAACTGATCTGAAAAATAGAGCAAAAAAAAAATTAACACCAACCATCTCCACTATTGCTTAGCACACCATTTTCTAGCAAATGGTGAAACATAGATAAATGAGTGAACAAATATGAGAATCGGAAGCAATGTTACTGGAATGATATTCAAATTATCAAGATGTCGATTTCATACAAGTTCATATGTCTTTCATGAGAATCCCTTAGGCTTACCTAAACTTGGAAAGGATGTTCCTAGTATGCCTCGAATGAGCAAGGGATTACCTATTAAACAAAGAATTCCTGGTGTAAATAAAGTGATTTTAGTTGCATCTGGTAAGGGGGGTGTAGGTAAGTCTACGGTTTCTGTCAATCTTGCTGCTTCTTTAAATAGTTTGGGTAAGAAGGTTGGAATATTAGATGCTGATATATTTGGACCTTCAATACCGAAATTATTAAATTTAAATGGAGAACCAAGATTAACAGATCAGGGAAAACTATTTCCACTTTCAAATTATGGAATTGAATCAATGTCAATGGGATATTTAGTTCCACCTGAAAATGCTATAGTGTGGAGAGGCTTGATGGTTATGAAAGCACTTCAACAATTATTATTTGAAGTTCAATGGTCCAATTTGGATTACTTAGTTATAGATATGCCTCCAGGTACGGGAGATACTCAATTGACTATAAGTCAACAATTAAAGGTTGATGGATCTATCATAGTTAGTACTCCACAAGATATTGCATTAATAGATGCTATTAAGGGAATACATATGTTTGAGAAGGTAAATATTCCAATATTGGGATTGGTTCAGAATATGAGTTTCTTTTGTTGCCCTAACTGTGGTCATGAATCTCATATTTTTGGGTCTGATGGGGTTCTTAAAGAAGCAAAACGTAAAAATTTCGAAGTTCTTGGCTCAATTCCTCTAAATGAAGAAATATGTTTACAATCTGATAGTGGGAAACCTATAGTTATAGCTAATCCCCAATCACCAGCATCGTTAGCGTATATAAATATAGCAAAGACAATAATGTCAAATTTAGATAGTACATAGTTAAGTTCAAAAACTTTTGCGAAAAGCAAATGCGAAATAAAGCACAAATAGTTGCAAAATATATTGATAAGTCATTTGTTTGTATCAATTATGAAAACGCTTAGTATTCCAACAAATAGTGTATATTAATATGAAATGGTCATTAATTTGCAGTAAATTGGCAAATAGTTATTTTCACCGATTATTATGGGTAACACTATTTTCTATATTGGTAACCGCCGAAACTTCAAATATTCCAACATCCAATCAAATATTATTAAAAGAAGACATATCCTTTCCAAATAGTTCAACCAGCGATATAGAACGATTGAAGGATCATTTAAACATTTTGAAATTCGTTTTACCTTTAGGTGGAGATCATGATAAAATTGAAAACCTTAAAGAGGAAGTAGGGTCGGAAACTGATTTTAACGAATATGTGAATCGTGCAAATATAGAAGTGCATTATCAAAACATCAGCAAAAGCAATGAAGTTAGAAATTCATCACAATTGATACCTAGTAGATCATTGGTACAAATTAATTCACATTTGCCATATATGCCCAAATCATCAATAATAGCTTCTGATCAATCTGTCAATATTCCGGAAGAGTCAACAGGAGTCGAAGTAACATCCACTTTAGCAGATTTAACCACTTTATCGAGTATCATCACATCGAGAGAAGAATCAATAACAACTACAACCACAAGCTCTATAGTAAAAGTTACAGAAACTGTAACCCATTTTGTAACTTTAACTACTAAGGAGATATTTTCATTGCCCGTTATAGAGACCACCAGCTTAATTTCAGATTCATATTCAGTTTCAGATTCGGTTTTGGATACTGAACTGATAATCTACAGTTCTACTGACATAATCACTAGCTCTAGTAGTGAAATAGCAACATCGACTGTAGCTCACACGGCTCCTCATGAAACCAATGTGAGCCAACATGATTTTGAAAAACTTGCAAGTCTAATTCATGATTTGAGGAATGAGGTTATTGAACAAAAGATCATCAACCAGGTTCAATCTTTACTAATTTCTTCAGCAAATAATAGTCCAAAGACCTCATATATTACCATGGATTCTCCAACCTCTTCATTGGAGATAAAAGATGTTAGTTCTGCAACAGAAAGCCAAGAAGTAGTTTTCACTGAGACTTGGTCGAATCCAAATATTTTGGCTATTTCTACAAGTTTATCACAAATAAGCTCCACACCTTCTCACGTTGAACCAGTAGGTAGTCAAGTAAACATAAATCATGAAGGAAAATCAGGAAAGGATTTATTAAACCTGAAGTTACCATCATATAAAGTAGATATCACTCCTCAGTTTCAATTTCACGAAAAAAAGTTAGATAAGTTACCACCAACTGTTCCATATTCCAAGCCTAAGAATTATTTTGCTATTCTACCAGTTTCATCTGGAGGGGAAGAAAGTGTGCTTTCATATATTACTTCTGAGACCAATACATTGTCCAATATAGCTTTACAGACTACATCTTTAGAAGAATCTAAGAGTACATCAGTACTTGATATTTTGAATATTCCTCAACTAGACGATGAAGAGATGAATGATTATGTAAAACGGATATATTCAGCATTAAAAAAAGTTGTAGAACCGGAATATGAATTTAAAACTGAATTTAATGATACATCAACTCCGATAAATTTAAAATTTGATAGATCCACAATAAAAAAGGAAACAGAAAACAATAGTGAAGAGTCAGATCCTAACGTATCACATAATTCAACTGGTACAGTATTGCCTCACAATGAACCATATAAAATATTCCATGTACCTAAAGAGATGCAGCATGAAGTCATCAGTAGTGCATTCAAAACATTTGCAACTCCGGAGGAAATCACGGCTTCATATTCAAGACTTAGAAAAACCTCTATAGAATCATCATCTCCAGGTTCTTCTCAAAGTCATCAGAGAACTAGAAGTAAGTCTTCCATTGATTTTAATGTATTTGAAGCAACTACAAAAGAAAGTGTGGGATCTAATTTCATATTTTCCGCCCCATCTTACACTGCTATAGTAATTCTCATAGCACTTAGTATAACATGGATATAAATTTACAATTCTGTACACGACACTATTTAATGCGACCCCTGCTAATAATATATATATTTAATTAACATCTATAACTATGTAAGGTATGTTTAATATTCCAATCTGAAATTAGATGTAGCGCGAAATGGCTGCAAAACATACTGCTTATGTTTTTATGAGATGAATATTCTATGCGTTACCAAATAAAAATTATGTTCATTATCATACTGCAATATCATATGGTAGAAGTATCAATGAGTTAACTCACTATAAAACTATTCATATAAACAATTAATAATGTTGAGAATTTTCTATACTTAAGGCATTGCCTCAATGGATATTGCACAAGATGACTATCTTTTCATACCTGCATAGAGCCACACCCGTCACACAAAATCGATGAGAAAAAAATCAGTCCCTGTGGAATTTTTTTGCTTTGTTTACAGTATGGGATGGACCCATAAAATCTTAGAAAAGTTGATTAATACAAAGGCCACTAATATTGATTAATTTAAAACTTTAAATAGATTGATTTTGTCATGGCTTCAATTCCGCTGACACCGAAGAGTTCTGTAAAGAAGTCTAGTCCTTTTAACTTATCCAGTCCAAATGTAAGAAGTATTTCCAAAAAGACTATTGTAACATTAAATGAAGAAGATGTATCATATATTGAAGATGAAGATGCTACATATTATAATGAGACCACTGCATATTCCGATGATGATGAATTAGATGAAGATTTAGATGAAGATGATGAGGATGATGAAGAAGAAGATGAAAATCTTGAAGTGGAAAAGATCGATAAGAAAAATATTATTATAATAAGTGATGAAGAAGAATTACAAGGAGATACTATCGAGTCAAAGACTAAAACTTATATTCCTCAACCACATCTGAAATTCTATCAATTTTTAATCAAGCATGAAATACCAAGAAAAACATTCCATTCATCTATTGGATTTTTTACCTTATGGTTATATACATTAGGAACAAGTACTCATCAACTTATAGCACCTATGTTTACCATTTTGGTGCTAGTCTTTGCTAATGACTTTATTCGCTTTCAAAATCCATCATTAAATAGAAAGATTGTTAAGTATATGTGGTTCATAATAAGAGAAAAAGAAGTTAATGAATACAATGGTGTCTTATGGTACTTAATTGGTTTAATTATTGTTTTCAGTATTTTACCTAAGGATATTTGCGTTATGAGTGTCTTATTACTTAGTTGGGCTGATACTGCAGCTTCAACTTTTGGAAGACAATTTGGAAAATATACTCCACAAATTTCAAAAGGTAAGTCATTAGCAGGATCAATAGCAAGTTTCATTGCTGGTATTATCAGTTGTTACATTCTTTATGGTTACTTCATTCCTACATTCACCGAAAAAGTTGATTTACCAGGTGAAATATTTTGGACTGAAGAAACCAGTTCTTTAAATTTATTTGTATTTTCTTTATTTTGTGGATTCATTGCTAGTGTTTCAGAATTCATTAATTTATTTGATTTAGATGATAATTTTACCATTCCAGTTTTGAGTGGATTTTTCATCTATGGACTTGTGAATATTACTCGTATTTAAGTAATATGTTATGATAAATATGCATCCAATAATCTATAGAATACCCCTTGCATTCATTAGTTATAACATTTATTTTCAAATTTTGTTTGTTATAGTTCTATAATACCTCCTTTATGCTATATTTAAAGATGCTTGTACGTTTTCAATTCTAATTTTAATTTTAACTATAAATATAAATATATAAAATCTACTACTATTATTCATTGGCAAATAATCCAGCATAACCTTGTCCTGTAGAAGTACACATGGAAATAATTCCTAATTCTTTGTTTTGAGCTTTTAATCCATTCAATAAAGTAGAAATAACTCTACCTCCTGTAGCTCCTAATGGATGACCAAGAGCAATGGCGCCACCATAAGGATTTACTTTATTAATATCAAGATTTAATTTATTGATGCAATAAAGAGATTGTGATGCAAATGCTTCATTTAATTCAAATATATCAATATCATTCACTGAAAGTTTTAAACGATTTAATAATTGTGGAATCGCTTCAGAGGGTCCAACACCCATAAATGCCGATGGAACTCCTGCAACTGAAGAACCTAAAAATCTTGCAATAGGTTTAATTCCTAACTCATCAGCAAACTTTCTAGTGGTAAGAATAACAGCAGATGCACCATCGGATATCTGTGAAGAATTACCTGCAGTGGTAGTACCATCTTCAGCAAATACTGGCTTTAAAGTTGATAATTTTTCTAATGTGGAAGATGCTCGAATACCATCATCTATAGATATATTTTTATATTCAATTGGCTGATCTGGTTCACTAACTCGAGCATTAACTGGTATAATTTCTTTAGCAAAATGACCAGATTCAGTAGCTTTAGCTGCCTTTAAGTGAGATTCAACTGAAAATTTATCTTGATCAAGTCTTGTAATACCATATTTAGTAGCGACATTTTCGCTCGTAATTCCCATTGGCATTAATACATTCTTGGCTTCATCACTTGCTGATACTTTGAAAGGTTCGTGAATACGAGTAGGAATACCCCGGTGAGGGAAATAATCATGAGTCATAGATTCAACCCCTGCAGCGATTACTAATTGATTTTCACCTGACAGTAAAGTACCTGCCTGATATGTTAATGCTTGTGCCGATGAAGCACATTGTCTATTAATTGTATTTATAGTTGTTTTAATAGGAAATCCTACCTTTTTCACAGCCAAGGCTGATGCCTTTTGTCCACCTAAAGTTTGTAAAACAGTTCCAACCAAGACATCATCTACCAAATTGGGATCAATATTTGATTTTTCAATGGAACCTTTTAATACTTCATATAATAATTCTTCCGGGAAAAGTTTAGATAACCCACCTTTGATAGCTTTAGTAATAGGAGTTCTCAAGGCTGATAAAATAACTATATCAGATGGTGCCTTTTTTAACAATGACATTTTCTATTAATTGATTGATAATACTTTCACTATATTGCTTGACATAATTTAATGACAAATATCAACTATTTATATTAATTGCAATTTACAGTAGTTAGAGAATTTTCAATGTGGGGGAAAATAAATGCTAAACATCTGGGGTAAATATTTTTCCGTTGGTAAGAACGGATAAATACTTACAAACATATTTGTAATAGACAAGCTCATGTACATTATAATCTATGTAAATTTATAAACAAAACAATTCTGAGTAACAAAGGTCATAATCGTTACAAACCCAAATTTCAATATAATGAAAAATAAAGATATGTGAAGAGTCTTCATCAATTGTTTACTATTCAAAGATACTTCTACGAATTGCAGCATATTCATCATAATCCAAAGAACTCTTCAACCCATCATATCTTGTTAATTGCAACCAACCTTGTTTTATGCCTCTCCTATAGAACAGTAACACATTGTCCATCTTAACATTACCATAATCAGATTTCTTGAGTAAATAGTATAATGTAGTTACTTTATCCCACTTTTCTTCTTCTGCCACAGAAGGTAGAAAGGTACCTGAATAATGTAGTCCTTCATATTCAAATGACACTTTTAATCCATGAAGACCAATTTCCCAGCCTTCTGCAGAATCAATTGGAACAAAATTATCAAGTAAAGTTACTGAAACCAGCATTGTCTCATTTATTTCCCGTGCTTCTATAGGGGGGAATCTATGATCTTGTAATGCAGCAATGACACTGTACAGCTTCACTCCAGATTCAATTGGTTGGGAATGAAATGTTCCGATACAACCTCTTAAGTTACCAAATTGATTCCAGGTTATGAAAAGTGCTGCAGATGTAGGTAAAGATGATGCTGATTCATTAAGAATTTGAAAATATTTAGATAAGGAAACTTTAGCTGATGGTGGAGTCATAAAGAGCTTATTCAGCAAAGTTTCAAACGCATAACAACAGAGTGCTTTGGACATTTTAATTATTCATATGGTTCTCTGACTCTATCAATATGCATCTCAGTTCTGGAGTTATTTAGTTAAACTAAGGGATGGTAAATTCTAGGTCGTGTAGCGAGGTACAAAAAAGTACAAAAAAGTACAAAAAGAAGTAGTCTATTGTTGCAAAATTAAACACTATAAAATATACATAGAAATTTTCAAACATATATATTAAGCAGAAGGTGTTACTTCAATTTTAGGTAATTTAGAATTTCCTTCTAAATTGAGCTTTGTCAAACCAGGACAAGCTTTTATTAATTCCGACTCTATTTGATTAGTATTGTGTAATTTACAGTATGATAAGTTTATTTCCGTCATGTTAGATGGGAAATAATAGCTGAAGTCAAAATGACTTTCATTAAGTTCATCAAGGTAATTTCCCGTTAAATTTATTGATCTCAATGAGCCCGTAAATTTGACGAGATCAGAAATAAGATTTCTAGACAAATCAATAGTAGTTAAATTTTTGAATAGAACACAAGCTTTGGAGGATAGAAAGTTCAAGTTTATTAGATTATTTCCAGACAAGTCAATTTTCTGAAGGTTGTATTCTTCTTTTTCTATAAATTCATTCGAAGAAATTGTATTAAATAAGTTGAAGCTAACCAAAGTGTTGTTGGATAAATTGAGATATTTTAAATTAGTTAGATTTTTCCAATTAAAAGTGGAATTATTTAAATTTATAATATTATTGTTTGATAAGTTTAAATATTCTAATGAAGAAGGAAATTTTATTGAAGTGAGATCATTTAATGTATTATATGATAAATCTAAAGATTTTAAATTTGAATATAATAAGCCAAAACTAGATGCAGTCATTGGATCAGGTACCACAGTCGAGCTTAAGTGCTGAATTAACTTTTTTGAGTTAAACATATGTAATTGCAAATTTTCAATATTAATAAGATGATTGAAAGAATAGAGGTTATCAAAATGAACATCAACATGATCCTTTATAGTGAACCAGTTAAGTCTATCTTCAAATACTTTAAAATATTCAATAAAAAATTTATTAATTAATACTTGGCTGAAAAAATTGAACTTTTTAACAAATACCATTTTTATATTAAAATTCGAATCAATTAATTTAAAGTAGTTCAAATCTACCAATGATAAAATATCTTCAGTATCATTATCATTGAATAAAACAAATGAAATAACTTTTGGTTTAATAATTATATGACGTGATATTAGATAATTCAATTGATCTGATCTGATGATGAGAGTACTAATATTATCATGATATACTGATGTGGGTCTATTGGTTACTATGACTTCTTTATTATTAAAATATTGAAATAAAGCCATATTTTGGACGAAATTAAAAGGATCATTAATATATATATTATTGTGGTTGACCAAATTATCCAACTGAAATAAATGATTGAGATCATTTGGTTCTATGAACGATAACGTATCATTTACAACTTCTGGTGGAAGATTGAAAAGCATTTTGGTTATTACTATTTCAGAATAGTAATTATTTAAATTAGAACTCATAGTAGGATTAGGGATGCTGATATGTATTTATTCTAAGCGAATTAATATTGATACAATTAGGAAAAATACTGATGAGGTTAGCATAACCATTACAGTACTATGTTAAGTATCGAAAATTCTTACACTAATTTTACTCACAGTAATTGTCGTTGTCGATCAAAATTAAATAGGTTTACAAGCAACTTAATATATATATATTATAACTTATGTATATTTTCCAAATTTCGGCATTCATGAAATCATATATGAATCATGATGGATTTAGTTATCATCATCGTATACAAATTGAGGTTTTGTGTAAACTGTGTAACATAGATAAGAGACTCCGCATAAAAAAAAGAAAATAACAGTTAGATACATTTACGTTAAATCGCAAGAGATCTAGCGAATTTATCCGAGGTTGCCTATGCTGACAATTAATACTTATAAATAGTTATACTGGAGTCTCGATTCAAAGAATCAAAGCCTTATCTTACTTCATCAAATGAGATTATCATTTCATGACGCTATATCGGATTTGAAATCACATGGTGCAATGTAATAGTATGTATATGCATATGCTTCCGACATTGAGTACTACTTAATGTATGTAACATAACCTATATTTGATGTGGCAACGCGTTGCTTTTTGTTAGATTCGCTTTAAAAAGAAACTTACACAATTACCATCACAATCATTCTCTAATTGTAAACTTTGTATACAATGATATTCTAATACCTATAACTTTAAATTTTTGTTAGAAAACATACTTTAATGCCCATACAAATTATACTCGTATAGCGATTTAGAACTCGACTATATGAATTTTCACTAGCTTGGCATACTTCATGTAAAAAAGCTTACTCTTGGATGGCTTTGTAAATTTCTGTTCCGAACAAGCATACTAAAAAAAGTAGTGCGATTTTGCATACACAGTTAAGCTAGCTCAGTCATTACAAGCAGCCATATATGTCCAAACCCTACGACTCTATTTAATGTAAATTGGCCATTTGGCATATTCTGTATAATCATGTTAGCTTTAAAATTGACTATGATCAATAATGCAGTATGATAGCCTGCTAATCAACACCATTACCTAATTTTGTATATATTGTTCACGTGACCAATTTATTGGTCCAATATAAACTTTAGCAGAAAATGTAAAGAGTGATTGACGAAAGGAATGTTTATTGTAGCAAATTGAAATTCTTTTCCTATCTTCTACATATAACTAGCATAATGGGTGCCTGTATCTCGTGTCTATTGGATACATTCTACAATAATAATGATGACGAATTCAATGAAAACTCATCTTTACTAAGGAACAACAATAATGGACTCTATTCTAATGATTACCTACAACAAGAGGAAATATTGAAGCAACAACAAAGACAACAAGAGTTGAATTCAATTGTTAATGATTTGAATGAGAATTTGATTGATGTTAGTTCGTTTTTAAATACTGGTGTACCATCTTCCAATTTATCCCATTCTCATGTATTATCAACTCATCTGAATACAAATCTTCAAAATTCGACGGGAAATATAGCTGATTCAATTGAAGTTAGTCAATCCAATAATGACTCATCATTTAATCCAAATTTACCATATACATATTCATCCACTGAAAAGTTGAAAGTCTTGCAACAAGTCAATGACCTTGATCAAAATATAGGCAATAGTTGTAAAGTGGTATTAAAAGAACCATTATTTTTAAATTTCTAAAACCTTTAAATTACGATCAACTAATTTTTTGCATATTTGCCTTTTACTTCACTTCTTAATTGCATTTTATATTCTTTCTTAACTATTTAATATATTATTTCGTATTTTAAGTATTCATGTAGACTAAATTAGTTATTCCTGCACTTAGACCCTGTCATTTTTATCAAGGCTACCGAAATTCAAAGAACGTTATACCGATAATAATTACGAATTATACATTTAACTACCACCAAAATATTATTATTCTTTTTATAAATATTGTTAATAACTTCATAATAGAATTGTACATTATAGAATTAAATACAATAAGTAATTTCTAGATATGACAAAGAATTCTATATCGCAACCCAATTACCATGTGCCAGCAAATGGTACAAAGTCCTCCGTTCAACTTCCTTATGGGGATGGATCTAATAAGATATTTGGAATGGAGAATTTTGGTAATACATGTTATTGTAATTCTATTTTACAATGTTTATTCTATACTGAGAATTTCAGAGTCAATCTAGTTAAACATAATTTAACAGTTCATGATCAAAAATTGGTTGTTAATGGTGTTAAAGCTCATGGATTTACTACAAAATATGAACAATTGGTATCTAAAAAGACTAGAGAACAGGGTAAGAATCCTGTTCCAGTATCAAATTCAAATTCAATTGCTGCTTCCATTAATGGTAATAATACAGGAATTATAAACAGTGCATCAAATGGTGGAATGTCCACAACTAATAGTTCTTCAACCTTTGATACTAATGATAAACCAAAATCATCAAAGAAAGGTACGTTATTCGGATTAAAATTCAATAGTTTAACTCTGGGATCTTCTCATAATTTAAATTCTCATAATGGTACTCATAATCCTAATGATGATTTAAAAAAATACGCAGGTTATATAATTGAAGCAAAGAATTGTGAAGCATTATCACTTGATCAAAGATTAAAAATATTGAAAAACCCTGATTTCCAACAGTTGAATGTTATGATTACGAGACCATCACATCATCTTGCAAACCCAGGTCAACGACTCGACTATTCTCAATCGTCTTCAATGTTATTAAATAATGATCAAGGTAATCCACAACAGACTCAAGCACAACAGCAACCACAACATTTACAAGAAAATGCAATCAGTTCTTCCTCAGCTTGTATTATAGTAGGTATTCCTCATCCTGAATCATTTCTTGTGAATCCAATTAATCCATTCAATCCAAATCCTTCATCCGATCAAAGGAAACGTTCATCATTAATTAATGGTCCTATAATTAATTTAGATACATCCTTACAATTACCTAGTGAATATTCGGATGATAGTGCATTATTATATGCTTTGAAAGATATGTTTGAAAGTATGATTGAAAATAAATCAATTATTGGTGTAGTATCACCAACATATTTTATACTGAAATTAAAGGAAAAGAATTATCTTTTTCGTCAAAATAATATGCATCATGATGCTCATGAGTTTTTCAATTATTTAATTAATGAAATTATAGAATGTTTAAATAAAGAAATTGGAGTTGAAAATAATTGGTGTAATGATATTTTTCAAGGTTTAATTACTAATGAGACCAAGTGCCTCAGTTGTGAAACAATAACTTCAAAACATGAATTTTTCCTTGATTTATCTATTGATATTCCACCAGGTGAAAGTTCATACTCCTTAAGTTATTCCCTAAATAATTTCTCCAAACTGGAAACGTTAACAAATCAAAATAAATTTTATTGTAATACTTGCTCATCATTACAAGAAGCTATCAAAACTATAAAATTAAAGAAATTACCTGAAGTGTTGGTCATAAACTTTAAGAGATTCAAATACGATGAAAAAGTGGATAAAATGGTAAAATTATTTGATTCTATTAGTTATCCATTCAAATTAAGATTATTCAATACTACAGATGATGAAAAGGACTTTTCACTCTATGAATTATATGCTTTAGTTATTCATATTGGAGGAGGGCCAATGCATGGCCATTATGTTGCCATATGTAAGATTAAGGCTGGTTTATGGTTATTGTTTGATGATGAAACTGTCGAGTTGGTAGAAGATTCATACGTCATGAGATTCTTTGGTAATGGTCCAGGATTGGCTAGTGCTTATATTCTCTTTTATACAAAATGTACTCAAAAACCTACTGATGTTGAAGAATATGATGATTTTATAAATTTTGGATTTAATACTGATAACATTTATCATGGTGATGATTATTCATTAGTTGATAATGCAACTTCTATTAGTGATACATCTAATGCTAAGAAATCATCAATTCATAATCATACTGACTTTTCCTCTAATGAAGGTTTTAAATCAGAAACTTCATCAATCAGTTCCAATGATGTACAAACCAGGAAGCCAAGTGCAAGTAGTGTTAGTGGAGGTGGTCTTACAGGAGGTTTATTTAAGAAAAACTTTAAACTTGATGGACCAGCAAGTACAATTTCCAATGGTTCAAATCTTAATAATAACTCTGTACATCAGAATACCAATCCTTCAAATGGTATAAAGGAAGAACATTTATCTAGAACTGAAAGTACTAAAGAAACCAAAGAAAAGAAAACTTGGGTAGGAGGCTTAAAAAGACGTGAAAGTAAAGTAGAATCCAACGTGGAACGTAAAGCCAGTAGTGGAAGTGTAAGCTCTGGAGAAAAGAAGAAGAGTTTATTTGGATTTAAAAGAAAGTAAATGAATGAATGAATGAATAAATAAATAAATAAATAAATATAGTTGCAAATTTGGATATTATTAGCCGGGGTTTGGGCACGTGACATTGCAGCATCATGCGGCTCGGGAAAAAAGTTGGAATGAATCGCTTCGGACTAAAAGATTATTATAGCGATGCCACAGCTTTATAAAGATTTTTGCTATATAACAGATAAATAAATATATTTCAATTAGTAATAATTAATTACATCAACCAAAAAATACGTAATTACTTGTTCAGTATATAGATAATTATGACTACATCAACAATTGTATCACCAAGTTTAAAAAGTACTGCTACTTCTAAGATAATAACATTAGCTGCAGGATGTTTCTGGGGGGTTGAAAGAGTATTTCAAAAGCAATTTGCTGGTAAAGGTTTATTAGATGTAAAAGTTGGTTATGCCAATGGAGTTCAAAATCTTGATACAGTCACTTATGAAAAAGTTTGTACTGGAAGTACTAATTTTGCTGAAAGTATACAAGTTTCTTTTGAACCAGCTCAATTAAAGCTCGAAGATATTTTAGATATCTTCTTCAGAATGCATGATCCAACTACTGTCAATTCACAAGGTCCAGATGTTGGTACTCAATACAGATCTGCTATTTTCACACATTCTGCTGATGAAAGAGAATTAGCTTTGAAATTAAAGGAAGAATATCAAAAGACATGGTATCCAAATCATACAGTCGCCACTATTATTGAACCAATTAGTAACTGGTATGATGCTGAAGAATACCATCAAAAGTATTTGGAAAAAAATCCAGCTGGTTATGAATGTCCTTCACATTTCATTAGAACTAAACCAAAGATCTAAAGTCCCTCTGGTTTAGTAAGATTCTTTCATTGGTTGACCAAACAATAGACTAATAATGATGGAATAAACAATGTAAATGAATGATGAATTGGCCTATATTGCCGTTTAATTAATTGAATTTGTGTATATATGTATATTAATATATTCGTAGCACTCATTATTTGAATTTCTTATAATTCAGAACTTAAGAGTATTATTGTAGGACTGATATGAGAGAATATTTCTACAGTAGGACATAACGCATTATGAGAGTTGGTATTCTTGAACTTTAATATGTAAATCGTGAATCTTATTAGAGAATTTTAGAAGTCGCAAATGCGACGCGTATAGTGAAAAATTACGTACTCAAATTAAAAGATTTAACTAAATCACCACTTAAACAGCATTATACAGTATCATGTCATTGTGGGTAGATAAGTATAGACCAAAGTCATTGGATCAACTTTCATATCATGATTCAATTACTCATAACTTGAGAGCGTTGGCCAAATCAGGAGATTTTCCTCATTTATTGGTATATGGACCTAGTGGGGCAGGGAAGAAGACAAGAATTTATGCTACATTAAATGAAATCTTTGGAGCACAAGTTGATAAGTTAAAAATTGATGTGAAAACATTTGTCACATCCTCTAATAGGAAATTAGAATTTAATGTTTTAAGTTCTCCATATCATTTAGAAATTACTCCATCTGATATGGGTAACAATGATAGAGTAGTTATACAAGATTTATTAAAGGAAGTAGCATCAACCGAACAAGTTGATTTCAGTAATCAAAGTAGTAGTAAAACAAAGCATAGATTTAAAGTGGTTGTTATAAATGAAGCTGATTCATTAACCAGAGATGCTCAAGCTGCATTAAGAAGAACTATGGAGAAATATTCATCAAATACAAGATTAATACTTGTATGTAACTCCATTTCCAACATTATTCCACCAATTAAATCCAGAACTTTATTAATTAGAATACCTGCACCATCTATCACAGATATGAATAAGATATTTACTACAATTTCCAATAAAGAAAGTCTCAAATTTTCATCCAATGATTCTCAGGAAGTAAACCAATTTTTATCAAACATTGGTCATAGTTGTAATGGGAATTTGAGAAAAGGGTTATTAAGTTTTGAAACTCTTTCCATACAATCAGAAACCATTTCTTTATCACCAAATAGTTTGTCCGTATTAAAGTTGGATTGGGAAGTTATTATTAAGAATTTATCTATAACTATTAGAAATAATCGAAATGTTGCATCATTAGCAAAAGTTAGAGTAGTTCTTTATGAATTATTATCTCACTGTATTCCTCCAAGAATTATACTTAAGACACTTTTGTTTAATTTAATAGAGACTGTTAATAGTGAATATGTGGTTAGTCAATTAATTGAATTAGCATCCATCTTTGATGAAAGATTAAGTTTGGGACAAAAGAGTATATTCCATCTTGAAGGGTTTGTAGCTAAGGCAATGGTTGCAATTGATAAAATGTAGTAAGTAGTATTATATACTTTTTAAATAATCACAGAGAAACAATAAATAAATTAATTAGTAAATAGTATAAAACTATATTAAGACAAAATAGAGGCCACAATGTTTATATATGCTTTAATGTTGAACCTTATTGTCTAAGTTTTGCTTAGAATCAACAGGGTAAGATGATGTCGATGCTGAAGCAACATCATCATAACTGGGAGGTGGTATAGAAGAACCCTCGTTGGCTTCATAATGGTGTTCAGCATCATTATCCGGAGGGAAAGATGCTTCGCCAAAACTAGGCGCAGCAGGATCATTTGCAGTCGGATTCGCATTCGTGGTAGACTCAGTAATATTCCTCTCCTCATCATCAGGTAAACGGACATATTCACCAGTTTGTAAACTAGATCTTGGGAACTCAACAAGGATGTAGTAAATAGAAAATACAGCTCCTGGGACATGACCAAAAATTGTTAATAAAACAGATACTAAAAATTCCTTATTCCATATAGAATATTTCTTAATTATGAAGATTGGCAATGGAGGTAAGACTATAGCCAAAAGAATTAGAAGGAATCTCTCTGCATGAGAGTTAGGATTTGTATTATTACGATTATCTTCTGACATGACTAATGATATATATATCAAAGCAAATGCTTATATTAAAAGAATAGATAGGATCAACAAAAATCTAATTTCAAGATATACCAAATCTATTTATATGCCATAATGCCTCACCCTTTTTCTTTTTTTCCGAACTCCTAAATCTGGAGACAGGAAATACGGAGGAAAAATTGAACTGTATAGAAGATAAGTAAGAACAAGAAGTGTTATCAGTTTTATGAATATAAGTTAGGGATAATTGGTTATTGGTCCAAATTACACATATCACTAATATTCATATAGACAAGCAAATATGGACTTCATCAAGAAGACGATATGGGGTCCAGACCCCAAAGAACAAGTAAGTAATTGACATTGGTGATGAACGACAGAACTACATTGGCGAAGAGAGTTATATACTAACAAATTTAATTATAGATGAGAAAAATAAATCAAATACTTCGAAAGAATAAAAGAGAATTGGATAGATCCATGAATCAGCTTCTGCCATTGAAGAAAAAGACAGAGGGATTGATTAAGAAAGCTGCCAAAGAAAAAGACTATAAAACTGCCAAATTATATGCAAAAGAATTAATCAACGTCAATAGACAATATAATAAACTACATCTTTCTAAAACAAGAATAGATTCCATTACAATGTCAATTAATGAGCAATGGCAAATGAATAAATTAACCCAGTCCTTACATTCTCTGACTTCAGTTATGAAAGATGTTAATCAATTAGTTCATTTAGGAGTATTACAAGGTACAATGCAAGAATTATCTAAAGAATTAATGAAAGCGGGTATTATAAATGAAATGATGGATGATATGGTCGATTTGGATTTTGAAGATGAAGAATTAGAAACTGAATCTCAAGATGAAGTTAATAAGATAATCGCCGGATTAATGGAAGATCAATTCTCAAAGATTAATAATGAAGTTCCGACTACCAAATTAGATGAAGAGCCTGAACAAGAAGCTCCAGTACATGAAGAAGAGGATGAAGAGGCTTTGGATGAAATGAGAGAGCGATTAAGAGCTTTACAAGAATAAATTACATATTTTTAATATACTAATTTTCATATTATTTTTGTTCCATGTATAATATATTGTTCACGTATTTTAAATGCATACATCAGTACAATTTTTTCACTTTCTTCCTTCTCAATATAGCAAATATATGATGAATCCAAAACATACTAGAAAATAAGCTCTACTTAAGTATAATAAGTCATGAATTTTACATGATGATGAGTCATGGATATCTTGAATAAAAGCTGTAGTAGTTTCAGTATAATTGTGATTACTGAGAGTATCATTTGAGGATTTTCTTGCTTTCTTAAGTATCAGTTTTCTTCTCTTTGTCGTTTCGTTGAATTGAATCTTTTTTGGAACCTGTAATTGATTATCGTGGTAATAATGAGAACTATTTGTAACGATTTGACTTTCTTCTTCAAATGTTGTGGACTTAAATAAATTGTGAGATCCTATTGAGGCGGGTGATACCAAAAATGTACTATTAATATGTAATCTTCCAGGAAATGAAGCATCAGATGTTCTAGAAACATTGGTTGCAACATTGAATGGGAAGAATTTACTCCATTTCTTTTTCTTTGTAGGTTCACAATCATCTTCCTCTTCCTTCTCTTCTTCAACTTTAACTTTTTTCTCAAAATAAATACCAACCCCAACTTGAACAGAAGGTTTCTTTTTAGGTTCATCTTCACAAGATGAGGCTGCAGTTACATTTTGAAGCAAATCATCTATAGTGCCAGGAGTTTCGACATTTCCATTATTGAGGATAATATTTTCAGTCTGTGTATCATGATTTGTTTCATATTCTGAAAGTTCATTTAAAGAATCAAGAATATTTGGATGGTGATCAACAACAACATTTGAGTCCGAATTAATTTCTAAATTGTCTTCTGTATTTACTCCATAAGCATCAAACACACTTTGATCAAAATTGAGATCATTATTGCCATTTTCAATTGAAACTTCAGTGCCATTGCCATTACCACTAGATAAAAAGTCAATAATCTTTTTAAAGTATTCTAAGTCTTGGAATTGACGTTCAACTTGTCTCTTTTGGAATGTTATTAAAGAAGGAGAATCTATAAAAGCATTAGACAGTTGCACAAATAACAGCATAATTAACAAAATTGAGAATTTCAGCAACAGCGGCAATATTATTATCTGCATTTTAAACAAAAAAATTCACTTGTAGTAAACAATAATAGATACAAGGGATAACCTTACTACCGTTTTGGTATCAATTTGTACTCTGATGTAGTTGTATAACTAAAAATCTTATAATTAATATTTATGAAACTTAAGGAGAATAATTGCAAAATTAAAAATTTCGCAATAATTCTCTAGACAAAATAGAAAAAAATATTTGAACTAAATATTAATTTGACTAAGTAGTAATTTAACTAAATATTAATTTGACTAAATAGTAATTTAACTAAATATTAATTTAACTAAATATTAATTTAACTAACAAAACTAAAAAGAAGTTCCTACTTCTCTTGAGGGTAAACTAAACCAGCTTCCTTTCTAACATCATCCATAATTCCCATGGTTAATAAAGTTTCATCCCAAGGAAGAATGGCATTCTCAATTCTACCTGCAGCAATATCTTCTGCCATAGCATTTGCTTCATATATGAAACCATTATAACCTGATTTATCTTCATATTCAATTGGTTTACTACCATCAGCAAAAGTAATTTTCCATTGCTTTGGACATGCTGGATTAGGACTTGATAAATTAGCATAACCTTTAGTACCTTCTAATCTAATGAAAGGTTGAGGTCCATCAACATAGAAACCACAACTCAATACGGCTTGCTTACCATTATTATACTTAAATAAAAGATTGGTATTATAATCAACACCATCCACTGGATCAAGGGTAACTAATGATTTAACTTCAAATGGGGTATGATTCTTACCGACTTTATCATCTAAAAGAATTCTAGCATAAGTAATAACATAGATACCAACGTCTAAGATAGCACCACCTCCGAGTTTGATATCTCTGAGTCTATGGGTGGTTGGTGTAGTTTCAAAATCGACTTTAAAACTGAAATCACATTTTAATCTATGAATATCTCCAATTACTTTATCTTCATATAAATATTTCCTTAATAATTTGATAGATGGGAAAAATCTGGTCCACACCGCTTCCATTAAAAATAAATTCTTCTTCTTAGCCAAATCAAACAATTCTTGTGCTTCTTTACTATTGATAGTGAATGGCTTTTCACAAATGACGTGCTTACCACCTTTCAATGAAGCCTCAACTTGTTCTTTATGATAAGGATGAGGAGTACCGATATACACAGCATTGACATTTGGATTAGCATATAATTCATCATATGATTCGAATACAGGTGTGACACCAAGGTTATTTTCAAGAGTTATCTTATTTTCTTCAGCGAAAACTTTTGCTTTAGCCTTAGACGATGAACCAATACTAACCACAACGTGTTCAATGCCACTTTCTTTCAAAGTATTATTTAAAAGCAAGTCATGAACAAATTGTCCAGATATGTTACCGGCACCAAGGATACCCCAGTTTAATTTGATTGCCATTTTTAAGATCTTATTTAATTCAAAATCACTTATTCTTTAAATCAACACTAAAATTAATAGAAAGAAAGATTTATAGTTTCGTGCGATTTCAATTCAATAAATACGTCTATTTAAGCCTAGAGTAGGTTCGAGCTGCCTTCAATTAGTAGTTCCATTCAATTTAGCAATGAGGAGTTCTTGGCTTAGCAATTGAAAAATTTGGGGGAATACTTGTTTAATGAGTGAATTCCCCCATATTTTCTCCAAATCTCAATTACGAAGATTATGTAATTAGATTTTTTCCGAGATTTAGAGCATGAGATTGCAACGTTACACATATTAATAACTTATATAAAATGACGATGATTTATTTAAATAAATGATAAAACCGGTGTATATTTTATTTCAGCAATCTGGAGTAAGTGAAGATGACTTTAGTCGGAGGCAAGAACTATTAAACAAAATCTTTTCTACTCGATAAAATTGTGCCATTGATGACTTCAAACTCCAATCCAGTTGAATGTTCTTGGGGTGACAAATTTGCCCTGTAGTTTAATGTCATCAGAACTTGTTCCTACTAAGACTTTGTAAATCCCTTTATCAGATTGCCATTTATGCTTCAACCCATTCCAGTATGAAGTTGCTTCCTTTATACTTATTGAAAATTCAATAGATCCAGATTCTCCGGCTTCTAAACTAATCTTACCAAAATCTTTTAATTCCTTCTTTGGTCTAGGAATGATTGGATTTTCTTGTTTAATATATATTTGGATAACTTCAGCACCGTATATTGCACCAGTATTGGTCAATTTTATTTTAAGATTGATTGAATCCCCATTGTTACTAATCTCTAAACCATGAAGCTCAAACGTCGTATACGACAACCCATACCCAAATGAAAACAATGGTTCAACTTCAACCTTTTCATAATATCTATATCCAACGTATACGTCTTCACCATACCACACTTGGCCATTTGTAGAACCAAAGTTAAGATAAGAAGGATTATCTTGTAATCTTTTTGGAAATGTCATCGATAACTTTCCTGATGGATTATAATCCCCGAATAAGACATCAGCAAGCGAATTACCTAATTCACTACCCCCAAACCATGCTTGAATCAAACCTGGAACTTTCTTTGCCCACGGCATAGAAACTGGAGACCCTGATTGATTGACAACAATAACGTTAGGATTAACCTTAACAACTTCTTCAATTAAATCAGAGGTATAACCAGGGATATCCATATTGGGTCTATCAAAACCCTCAGATTCACATTCTTTAGAAAGGCCAACAATAAGAATTACCTTGTCAACTTCTTTAGCTAACTTAACCGCTTTTGAAATTTCTGCTTCAGGTGTTGATTTTATTTGAATTCCAAAGTAGAGACCTCCGGCATCTTCAAGACCACTTTCTAATGTATATGTAGGCGCAGTACCAAATTCAACTCTAACTTTATATGGAACTCCTTTTTCCAAGTAAGCTGAACCTCTTTCCTCTCTAGTACCCATACCTAAGAAGTAAGCATCTCCTTTAGTCTGTTTAGTCTTATTATCAACCACTAAAACATCATCAACAAATATTTGAGCGGTACCAACACATGATGTACCAAAATTATATTCAGCAGTTTCATCAGGTATGAAAGTACCAGTAAAATCAACGTAATATAAGGGATTATTGGGATCTAATTTATCACTACTATAGTCAGATAATAAAACTCTAGATGTAGATAAATTTAAAGTCTCCATCAAAATTCTATCACCTTTATGATCAGGAGGATATTTATAAAATCTGGCTACTATTCCCTTTTCATCTTCTTCATTAAGTAATACTTCCCCAACATCAGGTAAGGTACTGTCTAAGAAAGCACCCAAAGCATATTCAAGACCAACTGTATCATTTCCTTCTTTGAGTTTAGCCTGAATACCTTCCCATGGTGTAATCTTGTACCTAGTAGTCATCGATGCTGATCCACCTCCAGAATCTTGAGCTACTTTTACATTTGGACCAATAACAGCTATATTCTTTTGTCCCTTAACACTAGTCTTGGATAAAGGTAATATACCGCTCTCATTCTTTAGTAAAACAATTGATTCATTTCCAAGCTTTCTTAATAGTTCACTTGCCGCTGGATCGTCATTGGGTGACTCCACAACATCATTTGGTATCTCAGCTTTTAAACTTTCACTAACCAATTGCAAAACATAACGTACATTTTCATCAATGACTTCCTCAGAAACTTCATTTGATTGAACTGCATGAATAACTTGAACAGCTTGTCTAAACCTAGTTGGGCCAGGCATTTCCAAATTCAAACCTGCTTCTAATGATTCCTTAGTAGAATAAACACCAAACCAATCCGACATAATTGTACCATCATATTTGAATTCTTTTCTTAAAATTTCTTGTAAAATTGTTTTACTTTGAGATACATGTTCACCATTAATTTTATTATATGAGGTCATGAAAGATTTGGGATTAGCATCTCTAATAGCAATTTGAAAAGGTTTCAAATAAATTTCTCTGAACGCTCTTTCAGTTAATAAAGTATCAACCCCTCTTCGATCATCTTCTTGATCATTACAAACAAAATGCTTTATACAAGCTAGAACATTTTCATTTTGAATACCTTTGATAACACTGGAGGCGGCCATACCTGATAACATAGGGTCTTCTGAATAGCTTTCAAATGATCTCCCTCCCAACGGAGAACGGATAATATTGCATGTAGGACCCAAGATTACTGCAGCTCCTTTCATTTTGGCCTCTTTACCCATCAATTTACCTGCTTCTATTAATAATTCTTTATTGAATGTAGCAGCTAGCCCAGTGCCACAAGGTAAACAATTAGAGGGGACACCATTAAAGAATTTTGTTCCCCTGATACCATTAGGACCGTCTGAAACTCGAATAGAAGGAATATTAAGTCTAGGAATAGGAACTGTGTGCCAAAAATCTTTACCAGCTAATAAAGAAACTTTCTCAGCTAATGTCAATTCTTCGATTAAGTAATCTATGTCTAATTGTCTATAGTTCGTCGATTTTGTAGGACCCATATTGCGAATAGTGTTTGATTTTTGGTTCTTCAATCAAGATCTTAACATAGAAAGTTAATGACTTATATATCACAAATACGTAAATAACACAATACGTCTTTGCTCAAATCGATTTGAACTATCTGTATTATCTTAGAACATCTAAAATAACATCAGTTTTTTCCGTGGCACAAGCTAGATGAAACTAATAGGTCCTTTCTGTCCCCCAAAATTTCTTCATAAATGAGTCAAGGGAAGCCTTCCAAATTTGGTAAAGATTCCTTAAGGTTAAAAATTTGGAGGGTATTCCCCTCTATGTTTCGATAGATAAAAATATGAGATAATTACTTGATCGGGAATGATACAATGTCTCCGAAATCTTAAACCCCACTTTTTTTCAGTCTGGGGTAAACCTTCACGAACTGCGTTAATCTTACAACAATAAGTAAACTGTAAAACTTTTCTTTAGCAACCGAGTTGCATAAATTCATAGGAGTATCCTAAGTTGCCAGGTGTAAAATAAGCTTATTGACAATACATCGGAGTTGCATCGCATTGTATATTAAAATTGCAAATAGAGGATGTTGCCACTGCTCCCAGAACGGGAAACCGTTCCGCTGTCACCCTTGATAGTTTAATCCGTTCCCTCATGTAATTATTTCATTTGCCATTTAGACTGTTGACACCTCCACTTGAATGAGTTGTGTTCTTTGTTAGGTTTGGGGTATGTGTACAATATGCTCCGTAAATTCAGTACTGAGATATTATCAAACGAATTTATCTCTTACTGATTGAACGTATCTATTTATGAATGAAATAACAGTTTAATCTCCATCAACAAATTGTTCGGTAAACAAAGTTCACAATATGTATTCAAGCAAGTGAAAAGAAAATAAGTAATTATTATGAAACTTGATGGATAACAACTACTGCTTTAGGATACGGAATATGAAGCCTAAAAGAGGGGTATCGTATGTAGTATTCATTTAAGAATTTTGACATAATATAAAGCCGCATTAGAGAAATTATGCGCGGCGCAATAAAAATGTGGAGGTATTTTGAAAGTTAATGAATTTGCTAGATAATCTGGTATTCGAACATCAGAGCATATGAATGAATGATTCAATGAATGTACGAATGAAGTAATGTGATATTTGATTGTTGATGTAGGATTATTCCTTATACTATACCTAATTAACAAACGACAAACGCATTTGCAAGAAAATAGTAATACTCGTTCTTAATTGTATCTAATTCAGTAATCTACCCAAAACATTGCTTGAAGGAAGTTAATTGAAAAATAACTGGGGTGATTTCCAAATTAGACAATTTTACTTTTTGCATTCAAAGTACTAAATATCTGATTTATCAATATTTCATAAAGGGCCTGGACTACTTGATCATCAATTCTCAGTAAGGTGATCGGACCGAGTATCACATCCTCCCGGAACAATGCTAGGATTTATGATCGAAATCAGTAAAGATTTAAAATAAAGCTCAAATAGCAAATATTGTGGGGGTAACGAATAAAATACAAAAAAATATATGTACATTCAAAAGTCATGTAGCTATTTTATATCAACTTTGAAAATTGATCTCATATTAAGGTAAATGAATTTGAAATTAAAACTCCATTGTGAAGGAGAGGACTTGGTATCATTTCCTTATTTTGATAATGCGGGGTCATTCCCTTTTAGATATATCCTTTAGGGTACAGAAGCTGCAAATAATAAGAAATATATCCATGGTGTCCAGTTATAAAATAAATTACCATTATCAAGCTGTGGTATATATAGCCCTAAGAAATTCTAGACTGAATTTAGTTGGTATTCTATTTTTAAATAATTTAAATAATCTTATAATATTAGAAGAGTATTTTAATCGGCATAAGATAATACTAAATTCTAGTTTTGATTAATATGTCCCATTCCAAGGTAGAGTATATCAGAGATCAAACTGATTCAGTTTCCATCTCCGACAAAGCCCAGTTACAACAAGAATTGTTTAATAATGATGACTTTGAAAACTATGCTTATCTTGATCAGCCTTGGTGGAAGTATTCACATTTCCGCTGGTTACACTTTTATGTCTTTTTGATTACGTTGACATCCACCAGTAATGGATATGATGGCTCTATGTTGAATGGTTTTCAGTCTTTGGAAATTTGGAATAAACATATGGGAAATCCAGAAGGTTCGGTCTTAGGTGCCCTTTCGAACGGGACAACATTTGGTTCTATTATTTCTTTTGCAGTGGCTTCTTATCTCTCTGATAAGTTTGGAAGAAAAGCTTGTATAATTGGAGGGTTAATTGTAACAATAATTGGTGCTATTTTGCAGGGAGCTTCCTACAACTATGCTTTCTTTTTAATTTCAAGAATTATCATAGGTATTGGATTTTCAGTGGCTATGTGTTCATCACCTTCATTAATTGCAGAATTGTCTTATCCAAGCTATAGAGCAACTTGTACCGCTTGTTATAATACCTTATGGTACTTTGGAGCTATTATTGCTGCTTGGGTTACTTATGGTACAAGAAATATCAATGGTGCTAACGCCTGGAGAGTTCCTTCTTACTTGCAGGGATTTTTGCCTCTTGTTCAGCTTTCTATGGTTTGGATGGTTCCCGAATCTCCAAGATTCTTAATATCTAAGGGAAAAAGTGAACAGGCTAGAAGAATTTTGCATAAATATCACACTGGATCTTCTGAAGATGAAAGAGCACACAGACTTGTTGAATTTGAGATGAGAGAAATCGAAGCTGCTCTTGAATTAGAGAAAGTATATTCCACAACTAGATTTATTGATTTCGTTAGAATTCCAACTTTTAGGAAGAGATTATTCTTAATTGTATTTACTGCTTGGATTATGCAACTTTCTGGTAATGGTTTAGTTTCATATTACTTGAACAAGGTTTTAGACTCTATTGGAATCACAAGTGCTACAAAACAATTGCAGATTAATGGTTGTTTAATGATTTACAACTTTTTCATATCCGTATTTGCAGCTTGTATCGTCTACCAATTTAGGAGAAGAACAGTATTCTTGTCTTGTATATCGGGTATGTTGGTCACTTATATTATTTGGACAGCTCTTTCCGCAATCAATCAAAAACGTAACTTTGAACAAAAATCATTAGCAAATGGTGTTCTTGCTATGATTTTCCTTTATTATCTTGCTTATAATTTTGGTGCAAATGGTTTACCATATTTGTATATTACTGAAATATTACCATATTCACACAGAGCAAAAGGTATTAATATTTTCCTGGTTTGCCAGAACATTATCCTTGTTTATAACGGTTTTGTCAACGCAATAGCTATGGAAGCTATCGAGTGGAAATACTATATAGTGTACTGTTGTATTATTGCTGTGGAATTAGTTGTTGTATATCTCTTTTACGTCGAAACTTATGGTTACACATTAGAAGAGGTTGCAAAAGTCTTTGGCGATGATGCTACTACTACCTTGCAAGTGGTTTCTTCCCCAGTTGACAAATTGGCTGTTGAACATGCAGAAAATGCAGAAAATACAAGTAGTGCTTCTTCTAAGCAAGTTCTTCAAGTTTAAGTGTGAGATCTTTCCTCGATGAAGGGAAGAAACCTTATTCACACAGGTGTGAAACTATTTTTATTTCAAACTTCAAAATTAGATGTACCTAATAATTTTGATGTAGTTTGTTTAATATGTAATCTGTTATAACGTAACGAAATGTCTTTAGGAATCAATAAAGATTTAATTACTTTTTCATGATCATGCATCACAAAAGATCAAAATGTAGAAGTTTGACCGGTAGATAGGATGATAGCTAGCTATTCTATATAATTCAAGCAACGCTGCAAGTTCGGAAATTGACGAAAAAAGATGAAGTTGAGCAACTTCAAAAAAATAATAATGTACCATGAAAGCAATTTCCAAAAATAAAATCAGACATGCAAAAATGGGTATAATAGAATATTATATGTGAATAAGTATAGAAAAGATCGAATTTTCTTGGCAATATTAATAGTATGCTTTTCATTCCGCACAAACTAATTGACCATTAGTATGATTGAAAATTACAAGAACTCATTCTATTTATTACAATGCTTCTGATAATAACTGTAGCTAATTTGTTTACATTAGATGAATTATTCAAAAAGCTAAAGTTAAAATTTGAATAGTGATAATACTAGTCGTTAAAATAAATATTTTGATTATACAATATAACACTAATAAAAATGTATATAGTTGTATTTGACAGGACACATGTATCAAATGATTAATGATTTCTATATCACTATCAATTTAAATAGATAGGGTCATTATTCCTACTGAGTATGTATGTATGTATGTATGTATGTATGTATGTATGTATGTATGTATGTATGTATGTATGTATGTATGTATGTATGATTTGTAATATTGAGCGTTCAGTCTAAGCCTGCGCAGACCAAGCGAGCCACCGAAAACATAAAAGTTACTTTTTTTTTTTTTTTTCGTAGGTATTATCATTGAATATAATCTAATGATAAACTATAAATACAAGTTATGTACGAGAAGCCCTGCGGTTTAACAGCGTGAGACTCGTCCCAATGGACCCTACTCACTAAAACTCTCCTATGGTTTAGAATTCTTAAGCCGGATTTTTGTTTTGGTTTTTTTCTGTGGTCTCCCACTATATTATTACGATACTGTTTTGCACTTACTCTATTGATACCACTTACGCATTTGATTAAATACTGTAAGAAGTCATGATTTATAATATTCTGGATTCAGTCATATCTAGCACAAACCACGCAATAGATAGAAATCACAAAATCGTGCATTAGCGATGACTGCAAGCTAAGAAGAAGTAGCCGAGTGAACATCCGTAACGAACCACATTTTGCGATCCGCACATGAGGCTATTACAAAAATTAATTCACATTAAGCTCTTTCCTAAAAGTATTTTCAACCTTTTGAAACTATTTATAGTCAGACTGATGTGTAAATCCATAAAACTATTATAATGATACCACTGCTTTAGCGAAAGCTTATGATTGGGAAACTTCTATGCTAATATAACTGATTGATGATACGAGATTTATATTTAAAGAGTTACAATTTCATCTTGGCGAATTCTTAGTTGAATCTACTAGTAATGAAAAATTCTTTGTAGTAAGTAATTTCAATATAATATTCAGGTGACTACGATTGTCGTAACATGTAGTAAACAATAGCCTAAGAAGTAGAACACTGTAAAGTAGAATGTATGGTCCTGTCGGGAAGTACATAGTTCTGTCGGATTTGATCAATTTATTAAGCTTTTCATGAAAAGATCTTTAGATGAACAGATTTATTCTGAAAAGTTAATATTGTGATAAATTAGATGTTTCTATCTAAGTTTAAAAGTTCATAACAGACTAACACGTCGGCATGATTAGAAACATTCTCTGTGAATAAACTTAGATGTCACGAAAGAAAAACTGACTGAAGTAACATTCAAAAGTGCATCAATCAAACTCTTTCATTTTTTTGGATTTCCAAAATAAATTTAAGGTTTTTAAACGCAATCACTTATCCCTGAAATGATTCGTAAACGTGTTTTCTTTGTAGGTAGTACAATCGAAGTTTAAATTTTATTGTGAACAGGCGAACGGAAGATATTACATGCAGAGTGAAATATTAAAGTTAAACTTATTCCACCAAGTGGCGCTCTAAATATTAATGATTGTTATTACTAAGGTTTCGTCAAACATGCAATAATTGTTCTATAAACCGATTTACACAAGCTTGTGGAATAATAATGGGTAATAGTAATACTTTATGTTGAAAGATATTTAAGTGGTCTAGTAATAGGATGTTTAATTGGTCATTAGAATGACTCGCTTTCACGCAAAACTCAAGGAAGTACTTAGGGAATTACTCTATACTATTCCTCAATTCAATACTCATATAAATGGTAGCAAACTATGTTATTTTTTCTTGGTGTGTATTAAAAACCTTAAAATTGACCTTTTCATATTAGAAATTTGCGAAATGTAATCCTTTACCGAATTGGTGATGCTCTTTCAAGATTTCCTTAACACAAAATATCCAGTTCGAAACACAACATGCATATGGTAATAATCGGCATAAATAGTGAACTACGATTGATGCCAAGAATATATTTTTCATGTAAAGTATAACATTCTTTATGGAAGTAAAAGTTCCGATTTTATATAGGATTTGCCTAAAGATGAGTTTAATCTCATTTCCGTTTTCGTTTATAGCTTAAACGGAATTAAAAAAAGTTCAAGCCACCAAAAGGCGCCCTTTTTGCGATCTATTTTTTATGCACAGCAACAAATAAGATTTAGAATACTTCTATGAAATTATTGCACCATTGTCAGTATTCAAAAAACTTTCAGTTGATTTCAAACAATTTGATATATAAGAAAGGTTATCATCGAATTCAAACAATTTACAATGCTAGTCTTCATAGAGTTAAAGATCAGAAATGAAGTCTTCAATTTTAGGAGCAGTATTTTTTGCTGTATTCCTATTACAAACAGCATTGTCTGAAAACCGTACCAACATTGATGTTAAAGGCTATTATATGTTGAATATAACTTCTATGGGGCAAAATTACGATTGTGATTTTTATGCTAATATGACAGTTCATGAACATTCAACGTTTATATTTAACAGTTATAATTTTCATCTGTATGGTGGAAGTACCTTTATAAATAAAGGTATTTTTTACTCTCAAGCTTTAGGTGCATATCCCTATTATGATAAAAATGTACAGGGCGGTCTGAGTTTTAAACTTAATGAAGGACAAACTACAGGGGGAATCCACAATACTGGTTTTTTTATGTATAATGACAACCTTACACTCTGTAGTCCACCTACTTATACCATACATGGTAATTTCTTTATTAATGAAGGTACTTTTATTTTGGCAGGTGGTGGTGCATGCGATGGGTCTACAAATATCATTAAACCATACGGAACTAATGCAATTTTTCAAAATACAGGTGTCCTTGCATATATGCAATATTTTATGACTGTCGGTGATGCACCAAGTACATATTGGGGTTCTGATTCAGCTTGTACTACTTCCGGGGTGGCTACTGTTATCAACAATGGATCTCTTTGTTTGTTTAATAACAACCCTGTATACCAAGGTTCCCAATATGCTGGAAATGGTTGTATTGATATCGGTAATCAAAGTACTTTTTTTTTGAGGTGTCCTCAGTTGTTTGGCCTTGATGGCAGTTTACATACATTTTACCTTAGCACAAATACTTCAGTGTTGTATTTTGATAATGTTGGAGTATCCAATGCCCCTGCAACTCCATACATCGTAAGTGGTTGGGGGAATAATAATCAGATTACTATTCACATTTCAAATCCGGTTTGGAATTACGATGGTAAAACTTTAAGTATTACAGCTTCATCTGTTACATATCAGTTTATCATTGGTCCTGGATATGACCCGTCTTTGATAAGTTGGAGTGAAGGTCCATCCTGTAATAATTTAAGGAATTCAGGTTCTCGTTTCGTATACAATGCCCCACCTCCAGATGGCTCAAGACCAAGCGTATGTTTGCCATGTCCGACCGTCATACCTAAATTATATGATATATTACAAGACCAACCTGATTATACGACAACTTTCACTACTACAAAATCAGATGGTTCAGTAGAAACTGACTCTGGAGTAGTCCACGTAACAAATACCGACGGAACTATCACTACAACTACTTCCTTATTCCCAAATGAATATACTACTACATTCACCACCACGGAATCTGATGGGTTTGTTGCTACTGATTCCGGGATAGTATTTGCAACTACTGATAAAGACGGTAATCAAATCACCACAACATCATTATTTCCAACTTCAAGTGATCCATTCACCCGCTACACCACTACTTTCACGACCACCGATACTGACGGATTTGTGGCAACTGATTCTGGTATAGTTGTTGTTACTTACAATACCGATGGTAAAGTAACGACAAGTACTTCGTTATTCCCAACTAAAACTAACCCATTTACTTCTTATACGACTACATTCACCACTACTGCAACTGATGGCTTTGTTGCTACTGATTCCGGTATAGTTGTTGTTACCTACAATCCCGATGGTGACGTGACTACAAAGACATCGCTATTCCCAACTCCAACTGATCCGTTCACGCACTACACCACTACTTTCACAACCACCGATACTGACGGATTTGTTGCTACTGATTCTGGTATAGTTGTTGTTACTTACAATCCAGATGGCGAAGTAACGACAAGTACTTCGTTATTCCCAACCAAAACTAACCCATTTACTTCCTATACGACTACATTCACCACCACTGAAGCTGATGGTTTTGTTGCTACTGATTCCGGTATAGTTGTTGTTACTTACAATCCCGACGGCGAAATTACCACAAAGACGTCGCTATTCCCAACTCCAACTGATCCATTTACTGTATACACTACTACATTTACTACCACTTTAACTGACGGGTTTAAAGCCACCGATTCAGCTAAAGTCGTTGTTACCTACGATAAGGATGGTAAGGTAATCACCTCGTCTTCGTTTTTCCCAACAGTAAGTGACCCATTTACTGTGTATACTATTACATGGACTACCACATATACGACGTTGTAGTAAATTGGGACTTGAAGTAATATGAGAATAAAATAAGAATGGAAAGAAATATTAATGTTAAATTACTAATAATTTAAGAAGTTTGGTATGGTTAGGTTAAAAGAACTTCGATCAACTGAAAGTGTCAGTGACTTTTAGAGCTAAACTACAGCTAAATGAGAGTATATCCAACTTAGAGTAAAGTTACAGTATGCTGAATTAAGTCTTATAGTTATAAGTATGAATGATATTGTAATTCTCCATTAGTATACGTAAAGATAAAACGATGGCTCCAGTAATATTTGTGTGCACTGTAAATACTTGGCCACCTTTATGATATGGGCAAAGTAGGCGTCAAATAGAAATTTTTTTGCCGCGCATTTTGAAATAGGCGTAGAACCTATAAAATTGGCGACATAAAACAGGCGTCATGCTCCATTTTAAGGATTTTGAGCTGTAATTGGCACTGTAGATTCGTATGTGCTCTGGGAGGTTTAGTTAGTATAGAGAAGTGTTGGAACAATCTGTAGCGTTAGTTAGACCTGGTTGAAGTCAAGATTTTTACGGTATGTGCAGGACTTTTCTTTGTGTGTGCAGGATTTTGGAATATCTGTGCAGGTCTCAATGGACGAATTCTGGCTGTTTGAAGTAGACTTTAAATTTAATTGGATGGAGATAAAAATGAAGTCTACTGTTGAAGATGATATGCTTAAGTGAAATGTGTAATTTGGTAGTGCTCGCATTAAGGTGGGTGAAGTGAACGGTGTTTTAGAGGTGATCTTAACTATGTGCGAAAGTAATGTTCTCATAGTTAAAGATTGCATAAATCAGGCGTCAAGTGGCACTTTTATTAATTGTTTGAACGTGATCTTTTGGTAGGGGTATATTAAGGTAATAGTACATATAATGTACGAAGAAGAGTTTATTAGCACAAAATTTCGAGTGTTTGGATTTTGGAAAATTTACATAGTTAAGAGCATGTTTAAAACAGGCGTCATTGGGTATTTTTTGTAAGCGTATTGAAAAAGTGAAGAGTGCGATTGATTTATAATTACAGTGTTTACTTATGGTTGGGATATGAGCGATTGAAGATGAGTGTAGGTGGAGTGGGTTCTAGCTTAGTCTTAGTATAATATGCTCGGTGGCGTCTTAATTATGTCGCAAAAAAAATAGCGAGTGTCGCAAAATATGCAAAAATTTAGGAAGCATTTGGCTAGCGAGAAAAAATGGGTAGGATTGGGTAGGCGCGCAAAATTTTAAAAAAGCAAGAAATTAGGGAGGGTCTAGTATTATTTGCCGATTTGGCAGTAATATATTTAGAGGTACATGATGTGGTAATAGCAGTAGCAAGTAATAACAAGGTCTATTTAAGTGTATAAAAGCTGTGTGATATATATAATAATTGTTTGGAAGCAGTATATCCGTGAATTTATTGAGATAGAGTAAGGTTAAGGTAAAGGAAAGGTAAAGGAAAGTATGGATAATATAAAGGTAGTAACTTTAAGTATTAGTAGAATGACTAATTGAAGGGATATTAAAAGGGTTGAGTGTACTTAATTGTTAAATATATGTCAATGATCTGTTAGCTATAGTAAGATGATAAGTCAGCAAATATAGCAGTGGATGTTAAGGTAAAAGTAGAACTGAGTAAGGAATCAATATAATTATAAGTAGAAACGTATATTCAGGTAATAAAGGTATTGGAACAAAATACGCTTTAGAAATTAGTTTGGAACATAATGTAGTTTAGATGTTAGTTTGGAACATAATGTAATATAGAAGTTACTTTGGAACTTAATGCGCTTTAGAAGTTGGTTTGGAAGATAATGCAAAGAGATACTAGTTTGGAACATAATTCACTTTAGATGTTAGTTTGAAACTTAATGAGTTCTAGATGTCAGTTTTAAATTAATTCAATTTAGATGGAACTAATACAATTTAGAAATAAGTTTGGAGAATTACTAGAAATATAAGAAAGGTGATAGCAAGAGAAGCTAAGTTAGCACTGAGGATAGAAATGGTTTAAATAGTAGTCATAAATTATATGAAGTAGTATTATAAGTAAAGTTGGTCTAACTACTGGTAAGCTACTAGAGTTAAATAAATAAAGACATTGTCAGCCTATAGTTGTATTTAAGATAAATGTAATGTTAAGTGAAAGCACAGCTTAATTTGGCTAGGCGCAAAAAATAGCGAGGGTCAGCTAACTTGAAAAAATTAGGGAGGGTTTGGGTAGGCGCGAACTTTAAGAAAGCAAAAAATTAGGGAGGGTCGAATTAGCGCGCAAAAATTGTGATCGAAAAATTTACAAGTATTTGCCGATTTGGCAGTAATATATTTAGAGTTAACAGAAGTAAGTAATATTATTATAAGATTAAGTGTACTAGAGGCTTTGGGGTGATATAATGGTTGATTAGTATATCCGTGCGTTTATTGAGTTAGAGTAATGTGTCTAGAAGTAAACTCTTAAACTTATATAAAGTTAAAGGATATTAAAGATTGTATATAAATAAAAGCAATTTAAGTAAAGGTTATTGAAGAGTGTAAACAAAGTGTCTTAGGTCAGGTTGGTAATATATTTATCATTAGAAGTAAGTCAAATAATGGTTTTATAAATGGTAATAAGATATATTATAGTTAAGTTAAGTATAGGTAGTGAAAGTTTTATAAGTATATTTACGTGTATTTTAAAAGTGATATCAAGAAATTTTATAGTGATAGAAGACTCTAAGATAATGCTACATATATATGAGTAATAATGATGACGATAGTTGACACGTAGTAGTGTTTTGGACTAGGATAAGATAGTATATTAGAAATGGAAAGTATAAGATATAAGGTGTGTATAAGATGTGGTAAAGTTAAAGGTAATGTTAAAGTAGGTATATATTTAAAGTATACAGGGCATTTGGATGTAATTAGTAACAAGTTAAGTCATGTTAGTATAAGTAGTACTGAGATATGATGTAGATAAATAAAAATATATGTTGGTAGCGTTTATTTTACAAGTCGAAGTAAAATAATATTTCATCAATGATATGAAGTTGAAGAATAGTAGAATATAATGTAGTTGTCAAGAATTAATTGGAAGACTAGTAATAAGGTCTATTATTTGAACTTGAAGTAGGTTAGAAGTAGGTTTTACTACATATAGTAGAAATTATAAGTATTAGTACTAGACTTAGCAAACTAAAAATGGGGTAAAGTTAGTGATAATGTTATAGCAAGTATGAAATAAGTATAAGCACGGTATTTAGATAGCAGTAGAATTAATTAAAGTAATGTTAGTATAAGCAGTAATAAAATAGGCTACAGTTAAGAAAGTATATATGGTAGTAGCGCAAAATTATAAATTGAGGTGAAAGTGGAATTGCGTAGTGATATTAAAGTAAATTGAAGTGTAATGGTATCAGGGCTATTTGAATAAAGCAGAAGGTAATAAAAAGATAGATTATGTGGAGGTAAGAGTAAGTTTGTAGTAATTTATGTGAAGTATAGTAGATATTTTATTAGGTAATAAGGGTGATTGTAAGTTATTGTATGAGATTGGAAAAGAGGCTAGTAGTATTAAATTATTAATATAAAGGAATTCGGTAGATGTTTTATTATAATAAGTAAAGTTAGAGTTAGTATTACAGAGTTAGAAAATATGTAGAAATAGTTAAATATTTGAATAAAATGTGAAATAAAAAGTTGGTTTAGTAAGAAGTGTAAATGGTTGAAGGTGATAATAGATAATAATTGAAAGTATGTAAGTGTGGAGGTGATTATATATTAATAATAAGCAAGTTAAAATCATTTTAAGTGTGATTAATTTTTGAGAATTTGGTTAGATTATTGCGAAAAAGTGTTAGCATGAGAATAAATTTAAAAAAAAAATGATAAAGATGATATAGTATATAAAATTATGAATATGCAATTATAATGCTAATATTATGTTATAAGATGAATTAACGAGTGGATAATAAAAATATAAGGTATAAAGCAGTTCAAGTGGTGTAAGGTATGGTAGTATTGTAATATAGTATAGTTTGAAAATGGGAGCGCATGTTTAAAAATTTAAGCAAGGCTGATTTTGTGTTATAATATGAAGTAAAAAATGTAATAATAGTAAAGAATATGACAAGTAAAGTAGATTATATGTAGAACAAGAAATATAATAATAGTAAATATGTAATTATAAGTAAGAAAGTAAAGTTTGATTTAAGTAGCAGTATAATTGGTTGAAGTGTATCGCAAGGAATAGCATGGATATCGCAAGTGAATAATTAAAGTAATATGTAGTAATGAAATATGGATTGTGTGGGAGTAGGCTATAGTAGTTATATTAGGTTATTGTTAGAAAAGAGTTTAGAAGTGGAAGTGAATCGCACGGGAATCGCAAATTAATTAGTAAGAGAAAGTAATATGAAAGATAGATTGTGTGGAAGGAGTAATATTAAGTATTAAAAGTGGAAGTTAATCGCAAGGGATCGAATGGATATCGCAAGTGAATAATTAAAGAAAGTGATATGTAGTAAAGAAAGAAGGATTGTGTGGGAGTAGTAATGCTAGGAGTAGGTTATAGTAAATTGTAAGTAGTTATAGGTTAGTAAGTTAAAGTAAAGAATAAGAATAGTTAGAGATTAGAAGTTAGAAGCAGAAGTATAGAGATTAGTGTGAAGTATAGTAAGAATGAATAGTTGAAGTTTTAGTGAGATAAGTAGGAAGAAGAGATGTAATAGGAAGGAAAAGAAGTGAGAAAGTAAGTGTTAAAGTGTAAAAGGTATGTTAAAGTAGATGTAGAGTTAAGATAAGGAAGAGATGCAGTTAAAAAGAATAGAAAGGAGTGATGGAAAGGGTGGTGTGGTAGTAAAATGTGATAAAAGAGTTGGTTTATAAGATAAGAAGTTGAGATGTAAATGGTATAGAAGAGAAGGTGGTTAAAGTTAAGTAAGTAAAGAATTAAGTGGTTAAGAAGTAGTAAGAGTAAGAATAGTGAGTGTTAAAGTAAGGGAAAAGAAGAAAAGAATAAAAAAAGGGAATTTTGAAAGGAAGTATGTAGTATTAGAAAGAGAAGTATTAGTATTGATTTAAGGTAATGTTGTATAGGAATGTTAAAGTAGAAGTAAGTAGTAAAATAATATTAGTAAGAAAGAAGAGATTTAAGGTATAGTAATAGTAAGATTGTAAAGTGGGAGTAGTATTGGAAGAGGAGAAAGTAAGAAGAGAAAGGTAGTTTGTAAATAAGTTAAGTTATAAGTAGAAGTAGAAAGGTTGTAGTTATGGATTATTAGAAAAGTAAAAGGAGTAAAGAATAGAGAAGGTAGAAGAAAATGATAAGTGATAGTATATGTAGAAATAGAAAAGAGAATGGTAAGAAATGAAGATGATAAGAAGTAAGGGAGAAGTAAGGTAGTAGTGATAAGTAAAGTAAAGTAAGGAAAAGAGTAAGAGTAAAGTAAGTAAGGAAAGGAAGAGAAGGAAGTGTGGGAGTAGTTGTGTTAATGGTAAGTTGAAGTAAATGAGGAAGAAGGAGTAGAGTGTGTAAGAAAGGTTAGTGAAGTAAAGTAGGAAGGGTTAGTAAAGTAAGTAAATGGAGGTGTGGTAGTAAAAAAGAAAGTAGAAGTTAAGAAGTAAAAGGTAAAGAAGGTGGTGTGGTAGAAGTAAAGTAAGAAAGGTTATTGTAGTAAAGTAAGTAAAAGTAAAGGGAGGTGGGGTAGAGTTAGGTAGAAGTTAAGAGGTGAGTAGTAGGATAAGTAAAGTAGTTAAAGTAAAGATAGGAAAGTAGTAGTAAGGGAAAGGAAATGGGTGAAGTAGAGGAAGAAGTAAAGTAGAAGTTAAGAAGTAGAGTAGAAGTTAAGAAGTAGAGTAGAAGTTAAGAAGTAGAGGGAGAAGTAAATGGTAAAGAGAAGGTAGTGTGGTAGTAGTAAAGGGGTTAAGTAATGATAAGAAAGTAGTAAAAGAATGAAATGGTAGAAGAAAAGGTTAAGAAGTAGAGTAGAGTAAGTAAAGTAAAGTAGAGTAAGTAAAGTAAGGTAAGAAGTAAAGTAGAAGGTAAGAAGTAAGGAAGAAGGTAAGAAGTAAGGAAGAAGGTAAGAAGTAATGAAGAAGTTAAAAGGAAGTGTGGTAGTAGTAAAGTGATAAGTAGAGGGTTAGAAGTAATGGTATAGTAAGAGTAGGTAAAGAAGTAGAAGGAAGTAAAGTAGAAGTTAAGAAGGGAGTTTGGTAGTAGTGATAAGTAAAGTAGAAGTTAAGGAGGGAAATGTAAAAAGTAAAGATGAGGAAAGGTAGTAAAGGTAGTTAAGAGTATTAGTGAAAGAGTAAAGGTAGGAAGGAAGTGGATTAGTGAAAAGAGTAGTAGAAAGGTAGTAAGTAAAGAGTAGAGGGGAAGTGTGGTAGTAGTAAAGAAGTAAAGATGAAGAGAGTAAGTAGAAGGGAAATGATGAAAAGGGTAGTGGAAGTAGTAATGAAGGAGGAAGTAAATGGTAGAGAAGGAGGTGTGGGAGTAGTAAAGTAGAGAAAGTTAAAGTAAGTAAAAGTGTGAAGTAAAGGAAGAAGTTAAGAAGGGAGTGTGGTAGAGAGGAGAAGTAGTTGAAGTAAAAGTAGAAGTTAAGAAATGGAAATGTAAAAAAGAGAGATGAGTAAAGGTGTGTTAGTAAAGGTGTAGTAGTAAATGAGTAAGTGTATGGTAAAGTAAAAGGAAGTGTAGTAGAATGAAGTGTAGTAGTAGAAGTAAGAGAGTTAATGTAGAGTAAAGGAAGTGTGGTAGTGATAGGGGATGTAAGAGGAGGTAAGTAAAGGGAAAGAAGAAGGAGTAGTAGAGTGGAAAGGAAGAGGGAGTGTGGTAGTAGAGAAAGTTAATGTAGAAGTAGAAGTAGTAGAAGTAGAAGTAAAGAAAGAAGTAAAAGAAGAAGTAAAAGGAAGTGTGGGAGTAGTATTGGTTAAAGAAAGGTAATGTATTAGAGAAAAGGGTAGTTAAAGAGTAAAAGTAGTTAAAGTAAAAGTAGAAGTAAAGGAAGAAGTAAAAGGTAAGGAGAAGGTAGTGTGGTAGTAGTAGTGAAAAGGAAGTGTGGGAGTAGTAGTGGTTAAAGAAAGGTGGTGTAGTTAAAGAGTAGTTAAAGAGTTAAAAGGTAGAGTATTAGGGAGAAGAGTAGTAAAAGTAGGAGAAAGTATGAAAGTGAAGGTAGAAGGAGTAGAAGGGAAGTGTGGGAGTAGTTAGGTAGTGTGTGTGAAAAGGGAGAAAGTAGGAGATGTATGGTAGTAAAGGTAGTTGAAGAGTAGTAAATGTTAAGAAAGAAAAGGTAGAAAGGAAGAGTGGAAAGTAGTGTAGTAGTGAAAAGAGTAGTTAATGTAGAAAAGAAAGAGTAGAAGTTGGTAAAGAAAGAAAGGGTAGAAAGAGAAGTGAAAAGGGTAGTAAGAGTAAAGAAAGAAAAGGGAGAAGGGAAGTGTGGGAGTAGTAATGGGAAAAGAGTAGTAAGAGTAGTAAGAGTAGTAGTAGTAAGAGTAGTAGTAGTAAGAGTAGTAAGAGAAGTAAGAGTAGTAAGAGTAGTAAGAGAAGTAAGAGTAGTAAGAGTAGTAAGAGTAGTGTAAAGAAGTAGTTAATGGTAGTTTAGAGTAAGTTGAATGGAAGTGAAAAGAGTAGGTTTTTGGTAGAAATTGGGTAGAAAGTTTGGATTGTTGGATGTTGGATGTTGGATGTTGGATGTTGGATGTTGGATGTGTTGGATGTTGGATGTTGGATGTTGGATGTTGGATGTTGGATGTTGGATGTTGGATGTTGGATGTTGGATGTTGGATGTTGGATGTTGGATGTTGGATGTTGGATGTTGGATGTTGGATGTTGGATGTTGGATGTTGGATGTTGGATGTTGGATGTGTGGATGTGTGGATGTTGGATGTTGGATGTTGGATGTTGGATGTGTGGATGTGTGGATGTGTGGATGTGTGGATGTGTGGATGTTGGATGTTGGATGT